TGTGGTTTTCAGGAGGTTTTCGAGGTCGATTCGTCTGGTGATCGTGATTGAATCGAAAGATATTGCATAAAGGTAATCGGGAGGCTTGATATGGTGAATTGACTAGTTTGTATGCCCCTAGGTCTTGTGTAATTTGCTGATATAGTATAGCAGCATTGTGTGAAGCAGTGTTGTGTGAAGCAGTGTTATGTGAAGCAGTGTCGTGTGAAGCAGTGTCGTGTGAAGTAGTGTTGTGTGAAGCAGTATTGTGTGAAGCAGTGTTGTGTAAAGCAGTGGTAAGGGCTAGGTGAGCAATAGGTGAAGATCGAGCAGTGTAATTAACAGATGATTCGACAGCAGTTGATTCGTCCTATTTGATTAGGTAAATGCCTGATTTCGCATTCAATCGGCAAATTAGGGTTCTATCACTCTCTTCTAGAGTGCAATTTTTACTATTGAGATAGATTCTAGCGCTTGTAGCATATTCTGCTGATATTAGGTTGATATAGAATCCAGGGCAGTATACGACGTTTTTTAAGGGAAAGGTGCTTCTATCAAGAGATTGTGTTAGCTTGACTTTAAGGTCTCTATATCCAAGGATTGTGGTTTTAGTATTTCCGACTATAACTGAGGAAACAATTAGTCTATAGCTTGATAGTAGATCCTTGTTGTTCGTGATATAGATTGATGCTCTAGTATTATAGCACCAGATATCGTTTTGCTTAGCAGTGATCTAAGTTGTGCTTATTGCTTTAGTGCCTTCGTCTCGGAAGATATCTTTGATCTGTTCCTTTAGAATATATGCTGCGAATACATTTCTACTGGCTGATTTAGTCGAATTAGTTAATTCGTCTGTTGGTTCTTCGGCTAATGATTCGTCTGATTCTTCTGATTCGTCTAATTTTTAATGCTTTTTGATTGCATAATTATAGGCTGTTTTAAATCTCGGTAATGATTCGTATCGTTCTTTGAAAGCTTATTAGGCCTTCTTGTTAGGCTTCTAATTATTCGGTCTGACTAGTGGATTAATATAGCTGTATTGATCGAAATTATGATCGCTGTTGCTTGGTGGACCCTTGTATAGATAAGTGCCCTTTCGGCCTAGTTTCGATAGCTTTTCGTTGTATTCGTTATTAGGGTTTCGGCCCTAATAGGTCTAGTGTGCTATTCGCCTACGGCTAGGTAATACGATTAGTTGATATTAGTTAACAAAGAGATTAACTAGTTTAGTGAGTATAGGCTACTATAAGCCCTAAAGGATAGTATTGTACTAGAAAGTGTAGAAGCCTTAGTCGCTTAGTTAAATAGCTTCGAGGAAGTCGTAGATTAAAGCGAGAGGGTCTTAGAAGTGAGAGATATTGGCCTAAATTCCTTCTGATTAGTAGATAATCTATTTCTAGCCCTATATAGCTAGTTCAGATAAATCGATTGGTAGATTCTTGCGTTTTATCGTATCCTAATTGCGTAGGATTTAGCGATTCTTTGATTAGTCTGATCGAGCGAATATAGCGCGTAGCTGTAGGATTGTATTGCGTAGTGATAGGCCGTTGATAATTCTTCTTCCTTCTGGTGTAACAGATACTTAAATGCTATACTTAAGTAATTGAATTGATCGTATGTATTGCTTGAAATTAGATCTAGACGAATTGTATTCGTCAAGAAGGATTCTATAGATCGATATTTAATTTAGTGTAAGATCAATCAGGCGTATAGGGGTCTTTTGGTCTTTATTAACTATATCTGATAGCTATAGCTTTATCGGCTCCTGCGGCGGCGTAGCAGGTTGTTAATCAGGATTAGCGTATTGCTATACACTGTTTTCTACTACATAGTCTTGTACAGCAGTAATCTAGGAGGTCTAGTGTGAGTAGCTTTTTAGTAGATATTTAAGCTAGGTAGCTTGTATTTCAGTTGAATCTATCACTTATAAGACGAAAGTGATAGAAAGATAAGGTGAAAGTGAAGGTAAAGTGAGATATCCGAAAGCTTTAGCAAAGGGCTGCAGCGATCGGGCTTATAACTATCGGATTTACGCCGTGTGCATAAACCCTAAGGCGTGTGCTTATAGGCGCACACAGGTCGATCGAATACCACGATTATAAAAGAGAGACGAAAGTGCAATAGAGGTAGGTCGGCAGCGAACAGGTTAAACAGTAGAGGGTCAACACAGTTTAATCAGAATTGCCTTGAGCTCTATTCGTGAGTGAAAATAGTGTCAAACTTGTTTTATTTTGCTAGGAAAACAGGCAGTATTTATAACTTTGGGTACATAGCAGGATATCACAGGAAAAGACTGATGAGAATCCGAAATAACATAGGGGCATACGAGAGTGTTAGGAAACTCGTTGCTTTTCCCATTTGATGCAGTAGTTGATAATCAGCATCGTATATCATAAAGCGGTGTATAGGGATGCAGATTTATGTATCCAATTGCATTAGCGCGCGCATACATACATGCGCTCGCTTATTGCGGGGATACGCACACACACACATGTTGACAGGTATTCCTTATATACTTCTATATATATTATTGGCTACTACTAATAATCGTAAGCGACTGCGGCCCTTAATTCGTAAGTTCTTTCTAGGAAAGGGTATATAAAAGGCTATCGATTTAACGCTAACTGTCTACTACTTTTTACCTTTAGACTAATAGTATAACAGAGCGTAATAACTAGGAGATTGAATAAATTCTATACATATTTACTACGTACGTATAGGATAATTAAAAGGATCTACTACTAATAGTCGCTATAGTAATTAATAATCGCGATACTACTTTAACAAGAATCTTACTATTCTTCTTTATCTATAGCTACTACGTTAACCCGATTAGTATTAACGAAGTAAGGTAGCTAGAAGACGCCCTAACCCTACTACGAAAAGTAGGCGAAACGTTCGTAAATCGCCTACAAGAAGCCACTAATTAGGCCTAGGCCGCTATTACTTCGGTATAGGCCCTTTAAGAAGAGCAAGCGAACCGACGTCGACAGGCTACGCCTATCTATAAAAAGGATAACTAGGTTTAGCTAAACCTTTAGAACGTATATACGCAATAACCGTTAAAGAAGTTAGATTAGCTATATACCTAGTACCGAGTAGTAGACGTTCTGTTACTATTTACCGTCCGACTTAATATACCTACTAGTATACACCTAGTGTTCTATATTAAGTTAGTTCGCCTAGCAGCAACAGACCCGTTCCTATCTTAGCTAGTAGACGATTCGCAGCTACTACTTATCGTATATAGACTAATAGAATCTGCTAGAATCTTCCACGTGGCAACCCTAGAAGATTCTACTAAGATATTCATGATGTCAAGACTAGATATCAGCTGATCTATATGATACTATAACTAGGGCATCTAGAATCTAGCAGAACTAAATGACATCAATACAATCTGCCCAAATCTCCCGCTTTCTCAATTATATAAGGAATCTAAATCCCTGAGCAGAGTGATTAGAATTCTAAGTCTCTTTTTATTCTCCAATCCGAATATATACTATCTTATCCAAGATAGTAATTCTTCTTCCACCTATTTAACCCTGCTTCCTACACGTCATAGCCTGCTCACACTACTACTACTACTACTACTACTACTACTACTACTACTACTACTACTACTACTACTACTACTACTACTACTACTACTACTACTACTACTACTACTACTACTACTACTACTACTACTACTACTACTAGTTAATAGAGAAAAGGAATACGATATAGAGCAAATCCTAGCCGTATAACAGAGGAAGATTAGGCGAGGATATCGTGACGAAGCGTTAGTGAAATAGAGAGGATAGGCAGAACAGACGTAGCAAATATTAGGCTTAGTACAGGACTATAGAGCCTTAGATACCTTTGAAGAATATTACGGTCCTATTTCGGATATAATTCGCTAGTAAATCGGCACCGAAACCTATGTCGTTACGCCCCTAGCGAGCTTGAGACTAGGAGGGGGTATTGTCACGGGCCAGTGCCCGATATTGGTCACGTATATCACGGGACCTTAGTATGTTAACGTAGGGAACGCGCGGGATTAACTTCCCCTCCTTAAGCCTTTTGTACACAGCATGTTGGCCTAGTTAGATTGAATCAAGTCTTGCTTCAGCCCTTCACAATTTAACCCTGCCTCCTATACGTTATAGCCTGCTCACATAGGAAGACCTTTTGCGTATCTGGTCTATCCTAAAGTACTAGGATTATAGTGACTAGGTATACTATCACGATTAGCTGGACCTAAAAAAGACTAGAGAGCTAGAGGGATCCTATTTCTCGAACTCCCAACGAAGGGTCTTACTATAGACTCTAGGTGTTATACCTATATACTTTTACCGTATTCAGGCTCGTATTTATCGTCCTTGAAGGCTCCACGCAAGTCTATAATCGAGATTTTGCTATTCTATGGTCTATTATTCAACGCGTGACTGTCAAGATGTTTTTGAAAATCTGTCGGGGTTTCTTACTTATGGAACCCTACTGCAGCTATCAGGGGTTTCGGTAACTTATTATCATTGAACACCAAAAACGATTCTCCAGAGCTATTCGTAGATTCAAGCAAGATATCTATGTTAATTAACCTTGAGATTGGTAGTAGGGTCTATCATGAAGGAAGACATGGAATGCTCTAGCGTAGTCGGCGGCTCTGTTCCGACAATGGTCTATGGTATTATTACCGGTATACGATTTACATCCACTCTCCAGTAGCTGGATAATAATTTACCAGGTACGCCCCTCCCCGTGATTGACCACTCCAATTTATTATTTGTCTACCCAAATTACATATACATTCTTTCGTGTTTCCTCAGAGCATGCCATATGAATACTTTATGGTTATCCTTACATTCTTGCTGGACACCCTCCATACCAAACCGTAATGCCGTAAGATTGTGATGGATTAAGGTTGGTGGGGCCGGGGCTTAGTAGTCACTTACCTAACTGTAAGTGTTAGTTAACTAGTAACTAGTACATAGTGAGCTACTGTATAGGAGGTGACCCCCGCATTTTCGCCCCGGAAGGTATGAGGTCACGAGTCACGAGCCAACCGGGGGTTAGCCTGACTCGCCTCTTCATCCTCTCATTCTTCCCCTTGAAACACCATTTCTTCTGTCTACACAGACACACAGATACTCTCCAAACTCAGCAGTAAGACCCCGATGATGACAACCTCGATCTTGAGCTAATGGCACAGTGACTCGATCCCACAAACTGAATGATCGCGACCACCCAACTGATGGGATGATGGCTCCCCGTGACAACCTTCCACGCTACTTTGGCAAGTCCGGTCCAACTGATGCGGATCCTCGCAAGACAAAGAAAGATGGAGGCGGCAAGGGCAATTGGTGAGAATTGTATCTCAACTCGGGATTCTGCAACGCCGCTGACCTCGATGGCCTGCCTGTAGGGGTCGCTCCGGAGACGAAGTGCAGGATTATGGGTATACCATGAACAATGCTCGCCGCCGTTCTAACAGCAGCACGCAAGGCCTGGCTGACTTCAGAACCAAATTCGAAACGGTTGACCCGGAGCCGGTCTTCGAAGAGCAACTCCACGGACCTGGCGACGTCACCGTGGCAGACGAAAGCACCGTGACCAAAGTGGAGAGCACCAGCAGCAGCAACGACAGTGAAACCGACCAGGCAGGGATGAAGTATTAAAGTATTGGTTGTCCTTAGGTGGGAACCGGGCGCTGCGATGTGCCAGCTTCAATTATGTGATCGTCTCCAGAATTATGTAACCTGATACTTGACTATGCAATAGGACTTATTCCACACATATACTTCACACGGATTTTTGTATTTCGTAGAGCTTACGTGGATGGATACAGGCAGGGAAATGCGTAGAGATTATATGTGACAAGAATTCCCATAGAGGAGCCGCTAGATAGAACACATTACGAAAAACAAGCACATTGATCTCTTGCAAGGTTAATCTATTGCTGCCTCCAGGAGATACCCTACGCGGTGTCACTATCTCAAACATCCGGCGTAGTCTAATGACACCGGCTACTTAGAGCCCTTGAGACCCGTATCACATACGAAGTTTGCCTGAACAATGAACAGAATCATATTGCTCCCCCACCAACCCCCCAGAAAGGGATGCCAAATGCAGATCCAAAAAGATAGTGGCCAACTCCAGTAAGGTTATTCGATCCATAATACAAATCATTCATCGCTGTCAACCACCGGGATAGGGTCCCACAAAGCGTAGCCTAAAGCACTCAAACCCACGTCAGCCGGGCCTTGGAGTCGGCGGACGCGGAGGATTCGGCTGTCGCTGGATTACCATCTGTCACCGCACCTGACGCCTTTTCGGTTTTGATAGAGGCAAGGAGGTTCTGGAACCAGAAGTCAAGTTTGCCAATTTCGATAAACTGACGTAGCAGCTCGTCTTCCCGTTTCAAGTCAGCACTCACCCGGGCCTGTTGCTCAGGACGAAAGCGTGATACAAGAATGTCGGGTTCGGAATCGGCCATCAGCGCCTCTGCCGGTGAAAGAGGCGTGGCAAGAGACTGAAGACTGGGTCTGCCAGTGGCTAAAGAAAGAATTTCAGTACGAGACATACCTGATTGTGCTCGGAATGACTCACCAGAGAGACAGAGAGAAAGTGTACGATACAGAGCAGTGTCGCGTGCAGAGTCGTCCGACGTTCCATTAGAACCCTCGGCGGCCTTCCCTCGAGATTCCCAGTCATCCTTGATCATGCAACGTCGCCAGATCAACTTGCGCAACGCTGAGACGTATGATGGATCCCGCTGGGCGTAGCGACTGTGATCCAGGACACGAAGCGCCAAGAAAAACTCTCGTCCGCCAAAGTCGCTCTCAATTTCATCGTCGTGGTGAAACGGACCCATGAGAGTGAGAAGATCTATCAATCCATCAACACCGACAACGCGCCTATTGAACAGCGTGAAAAGTGCATCGTCCAAAATTTTGTGGAGCGAAGGGCGATCTGCTGCGAGATGCCCGCCAAAGTAACCCAGTGCCAGGTCAGCTGCAGCCCTCCGATCGATTGCATCCTCACAAAATGACTTGACATAGGTATGAAGGGAGTCCTGGACCTCATCGACCTCGTTATAATCATCAAGCCGGTTGACATCCTCTTCTAAGGAAGAGCTATTGTCTCGCAATTGTTTTTTCTCGCTCGAAGCCAGCTTGCTTAGCTTTGCCAACGATAGTTGTACTCGATGGTTCCACAGATCGTCTTCACCACCGAGTGCCAGACCTTCCAGACACACAGCAGCAGTATCATAGTCCTCTTCACCTGTCACGTCGTTGATCCAGCTCATTCTCGAATATGCGGGCGTTTTCCGGAGGAACCGAGTGACGGACGGTTGATACTTGCGCATGGAAAGCAAGGCGCCAGGATGGCCCATTGAAATTTGTCGCGAAAAGTAAGCGTCCGCCCATGGCTCGCCGAATCTATCGAAATATTGAGACACTCTATGAGCGACATCTGCTTCGCTCGCCGCCATAACAGGTGCGTCCACCGAGGGTTCGGGGCCTGACTGGGTTTTCACTTGGTCCTGGAGCTCAATGATAAGCTCAACAAGAGCTCCCATATCCCGGAAGCGCTCCGCTAGGCTCAGTGCATCCCGAAGATGGCCGATTCCCGCTAGCTTGAAGAGTTGCCATTTGCGTTCCTTGACGTGAGACTGCTCAATCGCAACACATTCGTCTGCTAGCTTGGAATCCTCTTGTGCACTCAACCAGCGTGTCCGCTCGCGGTGCATCTGGCCAAGGACCCGGAGATGACGAGCGCTGTTTTCGGCAATCTTCTTCAAAACCTGGCCATCGGGTGCATCCGCACTAGATGTCTTCTGTTGAATCCAAGCCCGACAACTATCCAACTCCCAGTCAAGTAAATGGCCTGCCTCGGTGTATCCAACTGCCCGGGAAGTCCAGAACTCGGGAAGGTTTTCATACCCATCAGCAAGAACGCCATCTTCCACAAAATCGCTGCCCAGTCCATACACCGATGCGTGCTCGTCACGATACCGGTAAGCTGTTTCAATTATAGCCAAGAAAAGCTCGCTTGCCTCCAGGATTTGCTCGGACAGCTTCCGTGCCTGCTTTGAAGAATTCCCCCGACGGGGTTTGATGGCATTCTTGATCCAGGGAATCACATGTTCCATGTGATGCGTATCCTTCAAAAACCACAGTCGCACTGAATCAGCCTCCCCATACGAAGGGCTGGGGAGCGTTTTGAATTTGTCGTTCATAGATTCGATGACGTGGCTAAGGAAGGCATCCTCGCCTTTGCTTCTGCGCACCTCCTCCAACTTCCACATCGCTCGTTGTGCAGCAAGTTTTTCTGCACCCCACAGCAGTTCCCACCTTGCCGGGCGGCTCAGTGGGTTTCCCTTGCGCAGCAACAGTGCCGCGAGATCCCCAAGAGCTTTAGCCCTCAACCTGAGATTCTGGTCTATGGATATGGCAGAGGTAGGGATGAAGCGGGACTCCGACCGAAGGAGCTCCTTGCAAATTTCCAGAGACGCTTGTTCAATTTCAGTTGCGGGGAAGTCGAGGCCAGTGTCTCCGACCAAATTCAAAGGATTTCGTGCCATGGTTCCGAAGAAAATTGCTTGCTCAAGCTTGTGTTTCGCAGTGATTTGGCTCTCATCTGCATCAAGCGCGGACGGGAACTGAGGGACCACGTTCACTCGCACTACGCCAAAATTTCGAACCATCATCACGCATGCTGTGCCGCTTTCATCATCACTAGGCTTGTCTTCTGAGCTATATCCCAGAATCTCATAGTCTTTGCCTGACCGTAGATGGATGATGTCCTGGAAAGGCAGAGGCATTTTATTCGAGTCCAGAAGTAGTTGGGAGCTTGGCGTCTCTTCGATGTTTGTTAGAGACAGGACAACGAGAGATTGCCCAATAAGGACAAAGGCGGTACTCTCCCCCTTTGAAACCAGTATCTTAGGTTTCAAGTCGTTCCGTACAGCGGAGATGCTATGGATATCCACTGCATGAGTAGACAGGACACGGGTACCGGTTCCCGACAAGAAGACTTGAACGATGAACAAAGTTTTGGACTCCAGAAGCTGTGGAGTACTGACAACCATGAAAAGTCGCCAGGACTCCTCAGATGCCTGGGAGTCATCTTCATCTGGAGACTGTTTTTCAGAGAATGCGAAATCCAGAACTTTCAGGTCTGTTTCCCCAGATGACTTGACGACGGATTCCTGAGGAATAGATGCTGCAATGGCCCCTTTAACATCGAACTTTTTCTTCAGCGCGTTTCCGTGATTCCAGTGTGTGTCCCATATTTCCACCTGGCCGGAGGAAGTAGCAACTATCACATCTCGCTGACCTCGCTGGCGTGATCCACCTGCTTGAACCGCAGTCACCTCTTTCCTCCAAGAACCGCCACCTAGAACGTTTTTGATCCCACCTAAGAATCCCCCGGCCCCGCCACCGATCGAAGTGCTGAGGAAATTTACCAGCACCGATGGTTTTCCTTGAGGATCTCTGAGAGTGACATGTGCCACCCTTCCGGAGGAAAAGACGACGACGATTCCCGAAGGCTCACAGTTCATGATCTCGGTGGCGTATTCACCTGAAAGAAGGCCAGGAGTGGATCCTTGAATTCCATTCTGTTTTTGCCGAGATAGTCCTAGTGACGCTGCGCTCGAAACCGTCTCCCAGTAAATGATTCTGCCTGTATTTGGGATAATGACGAGAAGGCCAGAATGTCCCTCCGTGGCAGTGGACAGCAGGACGCCGAGCGGAACCGCGCCATGTCTGTCCCTGCATGCCTCGGGAATCGATACGGTGAATGTTTCCGAGGCCGATGGAGTCGAGGTGGTTACGGAATATGGCCATATGATCGCATGCGAAGGTGTCAAGGCGAGTGCGTAATGGTGACTGGGTGCGAAAAAACATCGGAGGGGATCTGTTTTGTCAAGAGTTAATGACGGCAAGGCCAGTAGCTTGGGAACCCCGGCTACAGGGGAGTGAGCGGCTTACCGGAAAGTGAGCCTCGGATCTGATCAGGTAACGCTGGGAGCTGATCCACAGTGTAGTAATTGGTGCTTGACTGGTTGCATTTGGCATTAGCAAAAACGAGCTTTGAACGCGAAGTCAAGATATACGAACCAGCACGACAGTCCCTTCAGCATCATGAGTAGGCCCTTCAGGCTGCTTTGCGCTTCGAATTGGAAGATGCGACTCTGCACCAATGGGAGTGGTAGCCACTTCGTGATCAGAGGGCAGGGCAGAGATAGATGGCTCTGCTACCTCGCGCTGCTCATGGTTCAAGCTTGCGGGCTGAGAGTCGCCCGCTTGTCGCAGCACTGAGCGCTGTCTTTTCGCCTTGGGCGGTTTGACGGAGTCATCGGAGCTTGTTCTATGGCGTCTGCGAGGGTTGCGCGATGCGGCTGCTGTTTTGGGGACGAACATTTTTTGGAGGTAGAAAGTGAGAGGGGAGTAGTGATGAGAAGGCGAAAACGTTCGACCTCGCTATGTTGGCCAAGGCCAAAAGAGAGGTCACGGCAACTAAGCTCCCACGAGATCGATGGCTAGGGCGGAGTGGACAATTCGAAAAGACAAACTTGAGTACCGTAGACCGCGCAACTGAGCAACCTTCTTCGAGAGTGTTTGGGCCGGGCGGTGAGACAAGCAGATTGAAGGACGCGAGACGCGGAGACAATCACGTGATACCAAGCCTGAGAGCTTCCACCAATTCTGGAACATGGATAACCTTATGTAAGTACTCCGTAAGTAACCCCTCTACCTAACTGTAACCAAATAAGCACAATGATAGATACCATAACTCAGACTTGGAGAGAATGGATGCCACTATACTGTATAGAACAAGTATACAGCACTCTAGATTGACAGGCATAAATGTGGCTACTACAGTACATTTCCTCTTCTCCTTTTTCTCTGTACGGAGTACTGTGAATTGTATGTGTAGTCAGACTCCGTACCTGAGTGTCCGGAGGTCTACCTCCAGCCCGTTTCCGCCGATCTGCGGAGGCTTACGTGATCGCCCCCTCCGAGTTCCGTCGGTGCTGTTCGTAGACAGCTCCAGCACCGGGGTTGGGCTACTAGCGATGTTCGTTTCGATGGAATGGCGTCGCCCACAGCAACTGCAATGTCTGAGATGCCCGTATACTGCACTGAATAGACTATGATGAAGGCCGGACGTGCCGTGTTTGCACTCAACAATGCTCTGTGCCGTACCCTTCAGACGCCTGGCGTCGCCCGGCCGATGCCTAGCGACGTCCATGTTCCTTCCAACACAAACCCCCCTGGCCTCTTCCACTCGAAGAAAGTTACTGCATACAGCCCTGTTCTTTCCAGGTTTGTTGCTCTCCTTGCTGCTCTCAAACTTGAATCAAGGTTAACAGTGCATCTTAGGACATGGGGTCCAACGTGTTGGCATGGCTAATGCCTGGATGGACCATTTCCCTCACAAAACAACCCGCGCTTTGGATGAGATGGATTCAATTCTCGGATTCAAACTTTCGCGTATCATTCTTGAGGGGCCCAACTCCAAACTAAATCAGACCGAGAACGCGCAGCCCGCAATCATGGCGGTTTCTGTTCTCATCCTCCGTATTCTTGAGGAGGAATTCGGATTTGATACCAAATCCCGCGTCGATGTGATGCTCGGGCATAGTCTCGGAGAGTTTTCGGCCCTGGTGGCAGCAGGCTATCTCCAGTTTGCTGATGCACTCAGATTGGTCCGCCGCCGGGCCGAAGTGATGGCTCAATGTACTCGACAGATAGTGGAGTTTTCAGGCGAAAGCTATGGGATGGTGGCTCTCATTTGCGAGCCCGATCGTCTTGAGGACCTACTGAAGACTGTCTACGAGTTTCTGGGGCTGGGAGCCTCCGGCCTCGACGACACAAGCCATGCGACGCCACCAATATCACAAGTGATGGTGGCAAATATCAACTCTCCCAACCAGATTGTCCTCAGTGGCAGTATTCCCCGGATCAAAGCCCTTCTTGTCCAGCTACGTCAGTTCGGCGGCCATGATCCTCGTGCCGTGAGACTGAACAGTGACAGTCCGTTCCACAGCCCAGTAATGTCTCCGGCCGCGGAGTTTATGAGAACCGCCGTGGAAAAGCTTGACATTACGTTCCCTGCTATGCTGCCCTGTATCTCCAATGTCTCGGCCCTACCTTTCCAGTCGAAGGAGGATCTCATGCTGCTACTGTCCAGACAATGCACCGACACGATCCGATGGTGGGACAGCGTTCGCTATCTCCATCAAGAACGAGGGGTTCGATGCTGGATCGGAATTGGGCCCGGGAAAGTGGGCCGAAATTTGGTCGGCAAAGAGGTTGGCCGGGTGGACACCAAAGGGGGTGGTGTCTGGGCGGTTTGCAATCCTCGGGAAATGGAGGAGATGATGATTGCTTTAGATCAAACGCAAGCAGAAGCAACAAGGTAAAGGCTCCAGGGCCATATCAATTTCTTTGGATAAATAACCCCCTTTGCATTTTCATTATTTCCTAAGGCCGTACTTGAAGGCCTTTGTTCTTTTGTTTGGAGAATCGCGCGTATCTATACTACCTCTATTGTTTGGCCATCTTGTAACTATGGAGTAGAAAAAGTCCTAGATCTGGGGACTGGTACAATTAAGAACTATGGTAATATCGTTGAAGCATCCAAAGCTCTCAAGACCTGCATCTACAGAGCGGTCCCAGGGGCCCACGATTCACCAATGCGTTGTACATCTGCTATGAACTTCGGATTAGAGACGGGTTGGCAAGCGGAGGCTGCGCCTGCAGTCGCTCCGGGTGTTGGCGCATGGTCGTCTGGGGAATAGAAGGGATTTTGTAAAAGCTGGATGTATGCACTTTGCAATGCTCGGAACGCCTGGATTTTAAGGATTAGCCATCAATACTGGCAGACTGGGGGACGGACGCTTTCCGCATACCGGCTTCAGATCAGAATCCCTCAGGCCGCTGACCGCAGGCCCGGTTGGCTTTCCTGCACTCACGGATTCCTGGCCGAACATATCCACGATGATCAGTAGCTTCACCCCAGTTGTCGTCAGCCAGCCGTAGGCGGCAAGCCTTTCGTCAATCGCATGTAATAGACCGAGGTCCTGGTCTATAGAGGTTTGCTTGCGCCTAATTTCGAAGATGTCGAGACAGGAGTTAAGCAAGAAGGAGAATTCAATGGTGGCATCTGTGTATGGAGGAAATAGAGAGATGTGGAGGGGATTGTCCTGGTAGGTGCCGTTAGCAATGGACATGCGGCCTAGGGGCTTCTGTTGAACATACTGTTTTCCCAATGACTCCAATGCAAGCAATTCGCGGACCAGCCATGGTTGCGAGTAAGAAGAGCTCAAATGCTCAAGAGAGTTTCCCAGCTCCTTTGAGGTGCCAATGCGCATACGATTGACTGGCGCTCGTTGATCTGAATAGGTTTCCCCGCAGGACCGTGAAGGAAGCCGCCCACAAAGATGCTCGTCCTCCAAGAGTTTCAGCGCTCAGATGTCAGGAAAGAAAGAGGTCTCATCTCATTCTCCCCGGAAATTGGTGGTTAAGTGAGTGAGGGCGAGGGGTCTTGCGGAACCAAAGCACAGCTTCATGTTGTGATGTGGCGGGCCCTGGCTGACCGCCCGGTGCTGGAGAAAGAGTAGCTTTACTAACAAGCCGCAGCAGCTGCAAGCGCCAGAGATCCTCGGGGTGTTCCACGCCGAAAGCTTCGTTCAAGAGAATAAATCCGACGTAGAATAATTGCCGTTCCCTATACACAACTTGTCTCCAAAACTCAACCCAGTGACCCTCTAACTCGATCAAATTGAAGAATCTCGAATCATTGTCCAATCCCACTCTGCATAACCAGACAATCGCATCAAGTGGATCCCCATTTATCAGCCAGTTGGCCCAATCACCAAAAAGCCAAAGCTGGTTACCCAGTCACGTGCATCCCGGGAACCTCCAAAGTCCTCCGCGACAATCCAGCAATCCGCCACCCCGTTCAAGTTCATTCCGGGTCCCCTCCTGCTCCTTCAACAACATCAATCATGTTGCCCATGGTGCGACCCGCTGTCTCTGGCGCTCTGTGTGGTAAGGCTACCCATTGACTCTCTGCGTCGGAATGCTCCTCATCTAAACCCGTTCGCAGTGCGCCCTCGACTGGCATCATGCCTTCCCCGTGCCAACCCCATCGCTGCCATGTCAACCTCCTCCGTGAAATCTGCGACTGCGCTTGAGCGCCAGTCATCCAATGGCCAGGGACTCACTGCCTCTGGCAAGGTCCGGAAGGAAGTGCCTCTGCCTAGCCAAGAGAAGAAGGAGGGTGCTATGCAATATGTCCTGTATGTGCCTCGGCCATGATAATGGCTGTCACCTCGAAGTCGCCTCTTGCTGACCTTATTGTACAGGACCACCCTTGATCAGGTCACCAATTGGGCCCGTCAGAGCTCCCTGTGGCCCATGACTTTCGGTCTCGCCTGCTGTGCCGTCGAGATGATGCACCTTTCCACCCCCGCTACGATCAGGATCGCCTGGGAATTATTTTCCGAGCCTCCCCCCGTCAGTCCGATGTGATGATTGTGGCCGGCACATTGACGAACAAGATGGCGCCCGCTCTCCGTCAGGTTTACGATCAGATGCCCGACCCTCGGTGGGTTATCAGCATGGGCAGTTGCGCCAACGGCGGTGGTTACTACCACTACAGTTACTCGGTTGTTCGGGGATGTGATCGTATCGTCCCTGTCGATGTTTACGTTCCTGGATGTAAGTATCCATTGATTTCCAACCACTTATTTCCTCTGAGCCTTCCTGGCGATACTAACTAATATCCAGGCCCCCCCACCTCCGAAGCCTTGATGTACGGTATCTTCCAGCTGCAGAAGAAGATGCGACACACCAGAATCACTCGCATGTGGTACCGGCGCTGAGTCCTGGGGGTTATGCAAATTTGTTGTTTCTTATGCTTGCGCCCATCATGGACGGTGGACCTCAAAACATTCCAGCCATCGTGAAGTCTTTCGTGCCGTTTCTACCTTTTTACTATTGTATATCATCAATACTCAGCTTCTGGCTGCGACGCTAAATTTTCTTTTCTTCTTTGCTGTCTTTCATGCCTTTGGGAGCATATCAGAGTAAATTTATACACTGGGGCAATGAAATTATCAAAATCTCCCCCGGGATGCCAGGTAAGAATATTGGAGAAACAAACGAAATTATTAACAGCTATTTGACAATGGCTCAAACCCATTTGATTTGATTCTTGGCACGAGATTAGTTGCCTCATTTTGTTCAAGACGAAGCAGACGTATCGTCATCGTCACCATATAGCAATAGCAGAAGACAGAGCCTCAATCTGGAGTCCGACCCGCGAATTTTGACGTGCATCTTCCGTTAACCGTTCACCATGACTCCGCCATTCGGGTGAAGACACTGGCCCGCAATATAACTGCTATCTTGGCTAGCCAGAAAAACGAAGCATGTTGCCACTTCACTCGGTTGCCCCGGCCGTCCAATGGGTACTGTGTGGAACTGCTCCATGGCACTAGTCTGCATGGTTGATGGAATGAGGGGGGTCCAGACTGTGTAAATCAAATTAGAACACGGTACTTGAGAGAAAAATCACTGGGTAGGCAGTGCAAGACGTACTAGGACCTGGACAAATGCAGTTGACGCGAATACCATTTTTGAGCTGCTGATTCGACAAGGCTCGTGTGAATGCCACGATGGCTCCCTTGGTCGACGTGTAGTCGAGCAAATCGCCACGGCCGATGTAATGGTTGACAGATGAACAATTGATGATGGTAGATCCTCGTTTCATGTGAGGCAGAGCATACTTTGAGAGATAGAAGAATGGATGGATGTTCGTATCGAAGGTTCTTTCCCACTGGTCCCTGCAGCAAGGTTAATATAAGATGATCGCAAGTCCTTGGACGAAGGTTATATCCCCATAGATGTATCATCTCAGGGTAAGAATACTCACTCGTCGAGCTCACTGATATCAGTGAGCATATGTTGAAAGGCCGCATTGTTGACCAGAATATCGATGCCTCCCATAGTTTGCAGAGCGGTATCGATCACCTTCTTGCAATTCTCTCGCTTCCGCAGATCAGTCGCCAGACAGTGGCATTTTGCTCCATGCTCCTCAACCAGTCTTTTCGTTTCCTTAGCATCCGATTCCTCCTCCGGCAAATAGATGATCAAGCTTGACGCCCCCTCCATCGCATAGAGAATCGCCGTAGCTCGCCCAATTCCAGAGTCGCCACCGGTAATAATGGCCCTCTTGCCTTGCAGCTTACCGGCTGCCTTGTATTTCTGGTAGCCACCGTCTTCGGTAGGAATTTGGTCGAAGACGGGCTTTGGGTCTGCCATGTCCGACTCGAGGCCCGGCTTGGTCAAATGTTGGATTGGAATTTTATGGCCTGATATGATGTTCATGGTCAATTTCCCAACGCCGGTCGACGGATGGACTTGTACTATAGCCCAAATCATGGCTTACCTGGCTTGAACTGAGATTTGGCACCGGTTGCGGGCCGTTCGACATACTGGGAGACGGGAGGCATTGTGCTTTGAGGAGAATTCGACAAATTATGTTCAAATCAATCAGTATCTAGTCAGATCGGAGATAACAGTATTTGAAGCCTGAGAGAAGTAATCAAATTGTACTAGAAGGACAACACATGTTGAAATCGAGTGGGTTCTATATAAGCCGCGTTGGACAAAGTTTCCGTCACTATGACTGTGAAGATGAACCAGCGATTGTTATATTCGCCTGTGGGATGGAAGTCTTCCGCCGAAATTAGAGCCACTAACAAGGAAAGGCGTTTCAGCTCTTTTCTGACCGTAATCATCGGGCCCTAATAGGCTCTGTAATTCATGCAAGCATGGTTCACAACCAGGTGGCAGCAAGAGGCTGCGATTCTTGGTGTTCTAGATTGTTGGCTAGAATGAGACTTTCAAACTGGGTTGGTGCGGTTCCCTAAACCCGAGAATTTCTCTGATGCCACAGTGCCACTCTGCGGCGAAGAATGATGGTGGGTTGTCGTCATTTGGTGATCCTCTACTGATGGACAAGTAAAAGGGAAGGGAAAAGGAAAGACATAGACGGAGAGGGGAAATCATCATGACCTGGCAGCAAGAGAGGCTCATTTTCTGTACAAAAATGAAGGATCTATGAAATCTAGCCTCTCAAAAGCCCGAATTATGATAGACCATGCAAACTTCTACTTCCTGTCATTTAGTAATATTAGTGGTTCGGCGATAAATTTGTGCAGGTCGTTCAAGCCAGGTTGTCTCCTACCGCGCACTCCTGAGGGAGTGACAACTGTCAAGTCTCATGAGGAGAACATAAAAACAATAGAGATAGATCATAATGACTGCTCAATATGGCTCAACTTAATAGACTAGAAACTGGTAGTACTGCAGTGCTGGGTATAGTCCGGGTGCCTTATCTCTTATCTTATCGGAGTGCCTCTTCTACTGTCGGCTGGTCCGTGCGCGCAATAATTTTTCTTCCCGTCGCTCATCTTGGGTCTCTCCGCCGTCCCTACGCTGTACTTCTATTCTCGCCCTCCGTCACGTTCGATCACTCAGACCTTTCAACATGGCGAAAGGCCAGACGGGTGCGAACCCATCCGAAATTGAGCCTACACTCCCTGCCATGTTGTCGACGCCCTGGACGTTCCTTCATCCGACCGATCAATTGCACGCTCAAATCGCAGACTCCGCAAAGCAAATTCTCGATCCGCTAGCAGCTTCGGTCGTCGACGGCCAAACCCTCCGCCGCCAAATCAACAAGAAGCGCAAGAGAGTCGATGCTGAACTAGATGGTGTTCCGCCCCTTCAACTGAAGAACCTTTATGTGGCCGGCTTCACCTCCAACCAAATATGGGAACAAGCCACTCGGATCCTCGAGTCCGCTGGAAGGGAAGTTGAGCGTGATATCACACTGCTTACCCGCAACGATGACAACCTATCCTCAGCCGACGAGGATGAACTCGATGTCTCCGACCCCGAGGGCTCGGCTTCTGAAAGCGACGACGGCGACAGCTTGTCCGACGATTTCTCGGAAAAAGCGATCCTCGATGACAATGACGAGGAGCTGCTTGAAGAGTCTCAGCATTCGGATGAGGAAGTTTCAGAGTCTGAGGATATAATGGACGACGCCATGAGCGTGGACGACTCGGAGGAGAAAGATCCAGGCACCTATGTGGAAGATCGGTTCGGTCTCAACGACGGATTCTTTTCAATCGACGATTTCAACAAACAAACCGAGCACTGGGAGAGGCTAGATGCCAGAGGCGCGGGCAATGATGCCGACGACAGTGATGATGACGAGATTGACTGGCATGCCAATCCCATGGCCGGCATGGGAACAATTTCCAATCCCTCGGACTCAAGGAAAACACGCGGTTCAGATGACAAGGACGGCATGGATGATGATGATAGCGAGGAGGATGGTCCAACCTTTGGAAACGCAGATCTTAACGGCGACTCCGACTCAGACGATGATGCCTTTGATGGGGAGGATGCAGGTATGGGTGGGATTGAGAACGCAAACGACATCAGATACGCCGATTTCTTTGCGCCACCCCCGCGCAAAGCCTCATCCAAGAAGGCACGCGCATTGCCAAAGACCCAACCATCTGCAGAAGTGATGGAGGGTGATGTGGAACGCGCCATGGCCGACGTTCGACGTGACCTCTTCGACGAGGAATCCGAAGGCGAAGCCGAGGTTGATGAGATGCATGAGGCTGGCGATTCAAACGTGCCACGCTCGACCCACGAAAAGCAGCGCGCTCGGATTGCCGATGAGATTCGCCGCCTGGAAGCGGCCAACGTGGCCAAGAAAGAGTGGATGCTTACTGGTGAAGCCAGAGCGGTTGAACGTCCTGTGAACTCTCTCATCGAGGAGGACCTCGACTTTGAGCGAGTGGGCAAGCCAGTCCCCGTCGTGACAAATGAGACCACCGAGGACATCGAGGAGCTTGTCAAGCGTCGCATTCTTGCGAAGGAGTTTGATGAGGTGATCCGCCGTCGCCCAGGCGCTGCCGATGTCGAGTCTTCCCGGCGTGGAAGATTCGAGCTGGCGGACACCAAACCTCAGCAAAGCCTGGCGGAAATGTACGAAGCCGATCACCTCAAAGCAACGGATGCCAATTACGTCGACCCCAAGAACCAGAAGTTGATGCGAGAGCATGCCGAGGTGACCGATCTCTGGAAAGAGATCAGCTCCAAATTGGACCTTCTCTGCAACTTGAACTACAAGCCCCAAACACCCCAAATCAGCATCAACGTGGTCAGCGATGCTCCCACGATCATGATGGAGGACGCCCGACCCACGGCTGGCAGCGCTGTGGGAGGACCGTCAGCCCTGGCTCCTCAGGAAATTTACGCGCCCGGCGACGATGGCCGCGTCGCTGGCGAGGTGGTGCTCAAGACTGGTGCAGTCATCTCCAAGGACGAGATGAGCCGGGAAGAGAAGGCTCGGAAGAGGAGGCAGAAGAAGAGCCAGCGGAAGGAGGATGTGTCCACCAAGCCTTCTGGCAAGGCTGCCGAGAAGCAACAACTCGTGTCCGACCTCAAGAAGGGTGGTGTCAAGGTCATCAACAAGGAGGGCAAGGTCACGGATATGAGTGGAAGCAAGGTGGGAGCGACTACCAAGAGCAGTGGAGATACCCTCAAGCTATGAGTTACTTCAATGTTTGTGAAGTAATTCTATGTGAATATAAAATTAGATGTTCCTTTCTATTTCTTTTTAGCATTTGAATTAATACACATATTTTTCAAAGGCTCTTCTTCAATTCTTCATCATTTATCATTGCCTTTCTTATTTTTCTATTTCTGATCTCGGTGATTGCGCAGGGGGAGATATTTGGGTGAGAGTGGTAGGCTGCTTGGCGGGCTTGAGACGGATCGTGTAGAGGTAGAGAGATTCCCGGCTGTACGAGGCAGCATTGGGATCATCACGAATCTCCTGCACATCAAAGGCTTTCTTAGCCATTTTCATGAAGCGCAAGTCTGCTCTCCGACGTCTTTTGTAGCAAAAGTAGCACACAGAGTTGGGACCCAGGAGATCATGCAGGGTGGCGATGAGGAGGGGGAATGCGGGTTCGAAATAGACGCAGTCGGCCGCAAGGATGATATCTGGTTTGGAAGGGATATGGCTAGGGACAGGCTCTCCCCAATCCAAAATTGATGCTACCACGGCTGAACCGAGGTTGTTGAGGGCGATATTGTCCTTCATGAGCTCGAACATGGGTATTTGGTCTGTGATGTGGATGGGCATGCCAACTTCACACCCACGAGCAACCGCCAGTCCGACGAGACCACCTCCAGCTCCCAATTCCACGCTACACGGTGCATTAGTAGACAAATTCCCAGGCGGGTGTAGGATGTAGAGAAACCACACGGCGTTTCACTTGAGATAGTGGAACATCGTTTGGGGGGAATACCGACACTGATTTCCCGGTCATGTCCTTCGAATGTTGTGACAGAAGATATTTAGACAAAATCATGCCTGCCGGCCATAGCTGACCACCACATCCGTTCTTAAGGTCCTCTTTCAACAACAATGGTTCTTGCAGGAGACCGTCAAATGTGGTGCTCGTGGTCCCCGCGGTTCTGATGTCCCGCGGGGGAGCCAACGACGCGCTCACATTGAACGGCGCTTCGGGATCCGACTCGGGGGATGATGATCTTTCCATGAGTCCGTTTGTATCGAGAATGGGGACTGGGGAAGATTTGGTGTACAACTTGAGCAGCTTGAACGATTCGAAAAAGCAAAATGCAGAAAGTAGAAAAACGGGGTGGTGCGCCGATAAGCAGTCGTGCGGGTCTCTTTTCTCGCCTTATCGTGCAGATCACATGATGACCGATGACCCCCGAACAGGAAGAACGTGAGGCTGTTCATTTTTTCAAGAATTTGGGGATCCTGGGGGTGAATTGTTCATCGCAAGTGTTGTAGATAGAGGTCTCATCAAAAGATTCGTGGATCGAAGATCGGACTTTTATCGGGGTAAATAGCCCTACGGTTTCAACAGATCCGAGCCTAGGTTACCCTGAGAACAGCTATTACTGATCGCGTGCCTATGGGAATACTTGGGGAGACAAAATACTACGTGACCATATCCTGAGAGTGTCAAGCAAAAGAAGATTGAGCCCGTGCGTCTGGGCCTGCAGATCGGGACCATCTCGGCCTTCTCCACATGGCGATGCCTACTCCGGACTTGCGTAGACAGCCTCCAGGTCCTGGAATAATCATGCAACACAGAAACTTCCACATTTCACTCCAAGTTTAAAACAGAAAATCTAGGTCCAATTAAACAAATTGACTCCATCGGATATGACTTTTCCGCCGAGGGCGTTTCAAAGAACAAGGAAGCTCCGAAGGTTTACCAGATAAAGTGCCAAGCAGACATGCGACCTGACGTCATGGGCTCTCCACAAAATCGGGTTGCTTGTCTGAATCATGACGACGTCACTCCATTCCCGGCCATTACCAAAAACCCTGGTTACGCGCCAATGGTCAGGACTTCATAAAGCTCGCCTCTGCTGGCTACAAGTCACTTTTTTCAGTCAGATCACACTTTCTGCATCTCTCTGACCCTCGAATCCAAATCAACCACCCAACATGACTACTCTGCACTGTATGTATCAAATATCTTGTGTCTCTATGAGACTTATAGATCACCTTGAGCTAACCATGGACTTTCCCTTGTGATCTAGACCTCCCCCGGTGAAGCCCTCCGCTATTGCGATGGGAACCTTCTTCACCCACACTGCCTCCCTCGGCATCCTCGCCCCTGTTTTCGGTGACACCTACCACCGTGCCCAGTCTGCCAACTCCAAGGAAGAGTTCATCAAGTCCAAGGAGGCTGCCGGTGCTGCTGCCGCATGGGGTAGCTCCCTGGTTGGAAGTGCCGTCCAGACCTACGGTGTGGCTGCTTTGATCAACGCCACAGGCACTCTGAGCTACAAGGGCGCTGCGTACCTTGGAACATTGATCTTCTTCGCTAGCTCCGCTCCTGGTGTATGTCTTTCCCCTGCAGGCAAATGTATCCCCTTCTGTCATTCATTAACTAACCTCTGCTTTTCACACAATCAACAGTTCGTCAGCCAAATCTTCTCCGAGAAGCGTCCCCTTGATACCGTTGCCGTTGGCGCCGTGTCTCGAGTGTTCGAGACCGTCGGACTCAGCTTGTTCCTGACCTGGTGGGGAACTCGCACCAACCCCTTCGACTAAGCTTTTCGTTGGCTTTTGAATACCTGTGAACACAATCGATGATCAACGATCAATGATGAATATTGACCAGGACACTCCATTCCATCATAAATCGGAAAGTAGACACGATGTATGCGAGGAGAGGCGAACCCTGTATATCTAGTTTCAATTTTATTTCCTTATTTTAATCGGCTGATGCAAATGCAAATGCACGTCACATTTCATATCTGTCTCTTAAATTTACCTCTAGCTATTTAAGCATTCCTATATAGTTATTTTCTCGCGTTCGGCGTCTTCCTAAATCTAGTCCTTAAGACAGGCGCCTCTAACCTGCCCATATCGTTGAGCCAGCATATGCAGACATAGTCACCACTCTTTAGTCTAGGGGTGCTGCTCGGAGATTTTTCGCTCTTGATATGCGTAATACTGGAGACTGGACCAGTTAGGTCGTCTGTACCTGAGAAGATATCTTAGACTATGGCGTACTAATAGCAATTCCAGTTAGCGTATTCGATTTTATGAGAAGGTAATGTGAAAAGGTAATTGTTGATTGGTTTCAAATACCTCTACGCATGGCTTATCACCAAACTCCAGTTGTGTCTAGCACTCGCCCCCACCAGTGACCTACAGTAGGTAGCAGTCTTATGGACCCGAGCGAGAAACTACTGGGGATAAAGTGGGAAGCTTGCTGAGCGCTCCCAAGGAGGCAGGATGAGCTTCCTCCTTTTTATGTTGGTATATTACAAATCTACTGTCAACTTGTGATGCTTTTTCAATATCTTTTATTACAAGGCAATGACTATTCAATCCAATAGAGTGTAATCGCCCCTCTATAAGCCTTTTCAATGGGGTTAGTGATTGTATGTGTGTGATACTTGTTGGGTGTGAACTTTGGGGTGCTGTTATTGGGCATCATGGAATCGTACAGGTTCAATTCATGGGTTTAGAGGATTAGGAGATTGATTTATTTATGATTAGAGGGCGAGGGATATGTTTGCTGATCTATGCTGAAACTGCGTGGGACAAATGAAACTCGGGTCACATGTGTGCTCTGGAGAGAGGTCCTACAAAGCTGGATTGGCCACCGTCATTAGGTAGATCTCTGACAAAGAGCCACTTGAGCTGCGCACCTCCTTCCGACCTAGTAATCCCGAGGTCAAATGATACAGAATACTACGAGACAAAGTGAGTGAATACCGGCTGGAGAGATCGAGCACGAGTAGAAACAGGGTCAGAACAAAGAAACAGTGGAATCGATTTGTAAAATGACCGATTGCTCTCTTTTGCAGGCAATCTTGTCATCTTCTAAGGAGGGGCCAAAAAGGAAATATCTAATCAAGCAAATGTGCGGCAAGGGTACCTAGAGAAGAGAAGTTAGTCGCGGATCAAGGAGCAAGCATCAAACTGGGATCACTCACACATTGGGGTAGCTCTGCTCTGTGTTAATCTGGTACTTGGACTGCGAAGCCTGGGCAACGGTGTTGATGTTGGCAGGCGTAGGAGGCAGGCCATTTGCACCCAAGACGCCCTGAATGCTCTTCTGATCCTTCTCGAAGAGAGCGGCCAGACCACGCTCCTTGCCATGCTCCTTAACCTCCACCAATTGCTTGACACCAGCCTCACCGATCTGCAGAACATCGTCCTTGGGAGCGGCTTGGCTGCCAACGGTAAGCAGGCTAACGGCATCGGCCTGGCTCACAGTGCTCAGCTTGGGGTAGCTGCGGCGGGTGTCGCGCTTCCAGTAAGGGTTGTCGGCAAGGTCACCGGCGGGGACAGTGACGGGGTCATCGTAAGACAGAGGGGGCAGAGAGCCGGGAGATGGGAGGCGGAACTGGGAGTTCAGAGGGACACCGGTCGAGCGGTTGGGGTCGACGGCGAGGATTTGACGGAGACGCTCCCAGACTCCGGTGGAACGGACTGTGTATTTCTGTTGCGCAATCAGCATGGCTCTTGGATCATTCCCATTGAGCTGTTGCCGAAGCTTTTGCTTACCTGGGCGAGCGAGAACACATTGGATGCCGGAGCCATGATTGAAGACTCTGACCTATACCTCCTGGTCAGCTTCACACTTCACGTCGGGTGTTCCAGCTAGTCAGGCGGGCGGGTGATTGGCATGAGAACAAGATGATTGAGCCTCTCACTTACCTCCTGAAGGCCTTGGAAATCGGTCAAGCGTTTGCGGCGAACTTGAAGGTCATCAATGCGGCACGTCGGGACAGCCACGGAGGTGCGATGATCACGTGATGATCCACTGGTCATGGGGATTCCACCCTATCAGGTTCAAGAAGTTTGCAATCTTGCCAGTTGATTGTATTTTTTGACTGCTTTCTAATTTTTTGATCTGTACAATGGTCAAATATGGCTAAAATACAAACGAGGGAGAGGGTAAATAAGGATGTATTTGATTCCTCATTATGGCTGTTCCGTGACTGTATCTCGAAGTATGGAGTCTACTATGCTTTGCGAACATGCCTGGGTAGATATCAGGACCATTCAGCAGTCAAAAATGTTTTGGACCAAAATATCATGGCGGGACAAGGACTTGCAGTCATGTTTTCCATTTGCGCATTGGGAATAACCTGCGTCTGTGGATTTATTAGTGGTGCGCAAGGCATTCCGGGTCTTGGGAAGTGCTCGGTCAACAGGGAGCTTGGAGCTTGACCGGGAATAACAAGGAACTACTTGAAGGATCGCAACTGATGGCAGATACCTTTGACATGAGAAAAAAATACTGGCCTCTGAATCCACAGATGGAGGAACATGCACTGAAGACGTGGAAATCATACTAGCGCTGTGCGTGTTGTTTCCGAATATGGCCCATCCGTTCCCTCTAGGACTATTGCATTACCATATCACCAGATCGCAGGATTGACAGGCTACATGTTCGAACTGAGTGTGAGACAGGTGCGATCGAGATGGTGGCATTTGGCGCCAAGCAGCTCCCAAATGGCTCACGGACATGCGACCTCACGACTACTTAGCTTCAGCGTCGTCACCAGCCTCCTCCTTCGCTTCACCCTTGGCGGAGTCTTGCGAGACCAGTTTCTGAACGGCATCCACAGTGGCATCGGGACCGCCAGCTTCGCGAAGCAAGACCTTGCCCTTCTTGTCCACGGCGAACACGCCGCGAGTGGTTCCCTTTGGCGTCTTCTTGAATCCTATGGCACCAATGAGGGTGGCACTGGGGTTGCAGAGGAGGGAATAGGTCAGATTCTGCTTGGTCTTGAAGGTGGTATTGGCCTTGGGGGAATCGGCCGAGAGACCGTAGATGGCCAATCCAGTTGAAGTCAGATGTGTGTAGTTATCGCGGAATAAGCAGACTTGCTTGGTGCCTATGGAAATCGTGATGAGAGGGTGCGCTAATAAGGTATGACACTGGAGAGTGGGGAGGAGGATATAGAGAGGAATTCATGAGGAAAAGGGGACATACAGCCAGGGGTAGAAGCCTTGGGATAAGTGAACAAGACCACGCCAGACTTGCTCTCCTCGACCAACTTCTTCAGAGTAGTCTTGGTACCGTCATTGGTCTCAATTTCACCGCCAAAGGTATCGAGGTCGATAATGTCGCCCACTGCAGGTACGGTCGACTTCGGGGCTTCCTTGGTCTCCTTGGTGGCCTCCTTTGGGATGTCAGCCGCCTTGGATTTGGGGGCTGGCTTGCTCTTTTTCTCCACAACGGGAGGCGGCGCAGGAGCTTTGCGCTTACGCAGTTCAACCATTGCGCACGGCGATTGAGGATTGAGAAATTCTTGAGGTGATGTCGAGGGAGGGTCGGGTAAGAGGAAATAAGGTGGGCGAAGAGAAGAGGAAGAAAAAGAGGGGGGAAAGGGACAGGGGGAAAAGGTATGTGGCTTGAGGGGGTGATTCGTGATAGCTTGGACCAAAAAGGGAAGTCAGTGTGGAGGGTACAGCTTAGTCCAGCTTACAGAGCGGATGAAAAAAGTCTGGAACGATCGGATAATTTACCCCACTCTTACTCCAGCTCTATCGTTAGCTATGGGTAGATTCTGGACGGAGCAGTACTCACAATATCATTGCAGACTGTCATGGAACCTAGAATACTGCTATGACACTACTATTGATGCTGGGAGGGCAGTACATTATGCATGGAAAAGTGACATATATAAACCCATCCCCCAAGGTAAAGTATTGATCAACTCAAAAACCAGAACAAGATGAGCCGGTATCACCTGGGATCTGATTCGAGACGGGTCAATTTCAATTGCATTATCTTGCAGATTTATAAGTGTGTTATTGGTGAATCAGCAAAGAACGAGTGGGCTCTATGCATTACTCCTGTTGAGTGCCGTACAATAGTGATACAGTATATATACAAGAGTTTGTATCTTACCCTACTACGGAGTACAGAACTATGTACAACAAAGACTCACGTGCACTGACCTAAGTTAGTCCAGTTTTGTGTGATGACATAAGCCGGAAGTGGCAAACTTTAACCTGCACCCGGCTATCGCGGCCTGAGGCAGGATTCCTTCGATAGGCTGGTTCTCCTTGGACCGCGGGAAAATTCGGCACGCCCTGAACCACACGAAGACGAAAAAAACTCGATCTGACAGTTCTCGCAGGATCGCCACACTCTCCACCTTCTCCATCTTTTCCCTGCGTCCCTTTAAACCTGACTCATCCTTCTTCGACTTCTTTTTGCTTCCTGCGCTCGCCACTGGTGATCTTTATCTTTCTTTCGCCTGAGCCCTCATCATCTGTTGTTCACTCGCTTTCGACAACAACTCCTCCCGTCAAGCGCGCACGCAATCAAACACAACACACACATACACCAAGATGAAGGTCTTTTCGTCAACGTGCAACTTCGAGTACTCATGGGACGAGGTGTCCACAGCCAACTGGAGGAAGTACTGCCCATGGAATGACAAGGCTACCCATGTCATCGGCGTCGATACTCTCTCCCGCACGATCGACCCCAACACCGGCATTGTGAGTCCGATTCCACGTGAAGGTATCTAACAGAATATCAAACTAATATCCTTTCTCCTGATTTTAGCTCCGAACTGAGCGTCTCATCACCTGCAACCAGTCGGTCCCTTCATGGGTCTCTTCACTCTTTGGCGGCGACGCCGTCTCCCACGTCTACGAGATCTCCTACGTCGACCCGGAGTCCAAGAAGGTCACCATGTGCTCCACCAACCTGACCTGGTCCAATGTCCTCAACGTCCGTGAGACAGTCGTGTATCAACCCTCGTCTCACGCACCAAACACCACCACGCAGTTCACCCAGGAGGCCAAGATCACTGCTCTCTGCGGTGGCTGGCAAAAGATCAAGAACAAGGTCGAGGAGGCAAGCGTGGAGCGATTCCGCGAGAATGCCAAGCGTGGCCGTGAAGGCTTTGAAACTGTTCTGGAGATGAGCCGTCGCGTCTTCGGCGAACAACGCGATCTCGAGAACCAACGCATCCAGTCCTGATCCCCGCCCTTCGGCCCACATCGATCCATCGATGAATCTGTTTCAAAGCCTCGCCTCTCTATCTCTTACGTTCTTTGCATCTAGCGATTGCATTCTTCGGCGTCTTTCTTCCCTCTCTTTGCTACACTCTCGCATTACGAAGCCTGCGGCGCGATTGGAGTTTCTTTTCATTTGATCTTTGTTGTCTATCCATCCCAATCGCGAATCGGGAATCTCCATGCTACTGGCTCCACCCTACCGCCTATGGCTTCACGATGCGACACGACCCGGGAAAAAAGTGCCTCCTGATTTGTTTTACAGCCTGCCGTTCTTACTGTTTTCAAGACCAGCGATATCCGCCTCAAATGGCATCCCTGCATAGAAGAATTTCAACATAGACCTCATGTCTCTTGTCATCATTATTCAGATTCTTTGACTCGCTTTGTGTATACTTCCTCTCCGAAGATCATATGTATTGGTAAACCCAAAAACAGGAATCGTGAAACACCCAAAACGCCTTCCATAAATCGTGAGTATATATAGTAGAAGACATGATTATCATATTAGCCCAACAGTCCCCCAAGAACCACTCGACTGACACCTGCAACCTCGTTTTTGACACCGTTTCGGCTCGCGTCTTCAAACTCCCGGACCGCCCCCGCAACCATAATCTTTCGTATCCTGGCATCTGCCTTGGAAAATGACTCTCCCAATGCCACCGTGCAGACAGATGGAGATGGTACCAGAGTTGTGATGCGACTGTAGCAGTCTATCAAGACATCGCAGAGAGTGGCGAAAGTCTCAAAGAAATCCGGCTCGAAGGGTAATGATGGTGTCAAAAGGTACATATACTCTTCGCCCGGTAGGAGATCAGACGATTCAGTCAAAGGGAAAGAGATCACCGAAGCTGCAGCAGTCGAATGTGAGTCGATATTGCTAGTCATACTCTTCAGGTTCGACGGGTCACTGGTTTGCATGGGCAATCCAATTTCCGTTGCCGAGCTGGCACGACGAGTCTTTGTACCCGCATGTGTTGCTCGCTTGAACATTTGTGGTATACGCGCTCTCGCTAGACTTGAGGAGGAACTTCCATCTGGCGGATGGACTTGTTGGAAGGCTTCGAATTCAAGGAGAAGGGCGTTAAGAGCTTTTAGGTATTCGGTCGGGGTGGTATTAACGTCGAGAATGGGAGGTAGGGAAAGACCCAGAAGGAGGTAATTCACGGCCCGACGAGAAAGCTTTCGAGCCTCGAAATATGGTAAGCGATTGATGTCTGCCCGTGAGAAATGCACGGTATTGAACCAGTAAACCCGGCCTTCGAGTCTATAGATGCGCCAATGCCAGTTAGGAAAGAGAAGTTCAGGCACACCACGCCTATTTGGTAGAGTACGATCACTCACGCTTTCCTCAAATAGTCCAGGGTTGAGATTCGCTTTGCTGCCATGTCGTGGATCTGTTGATAGATGGCGCTAGCACTCTGCGGGCCAAACGGACCTGTTACCGGGGGAAGTCCCCCGTGTGCGTTCTCATATCCACCGGTTGATTTGGCGGTATCTCTTCGAGTCAGACTCGGCGCAAACGAGGACGAAATCATGGTGTGTTGGTGAGTGCTTCTTCTACCGGAAGAAAAGCGGTGCGATGTTCAGTGCCGTATAAGGAGGCGGCGGCCGATTTTCCCCAGACAGATTGGCGGTCCGATCCAACAGAATATGACCAGTCTGCCTAGGTCTGCAAAGATCGGATTGACAAAGGAGCCCGGATCGGAGGAGAAGAATAGAATGTCGTCCGAGGCAGGGTTTCAGGAGAGAACCGAGCCTCTGAGGAGAAGGAGGAGACGGAGGAGGAAGTGGTCCCTGAGCTTGCCCCACCCCCTCCTGATCTTCAGGCCACCTGATTTCCATTCCATATAATAATTCCAATTCCCCAAATTCCCCGTCTTTATTTCTTTCGTCCCAGACATTCTTTCAAATCCAGAAACCCCCAATGGATACTACACCTCTCGACGAGCAAGTTCCCTTGCCTGGCCAGTGGCCAGTAGATCCTCAGGAAGATATTCCCATCTCTGAGGATCGCATTTGGGTTGACGGGTGCTTTGACTTTAGCCACCACGGTAAACAGTGCCCATTGCGATCTCGACTGGTAACATCCCGCTAATTGGAGGGAATTGTATAAACTAGGCCATGCTGGCGCCATGCTTCAAGCTCGTCGATTGGGGAAAGCCCTCGTCGTGGGCATCCATTCCGACCAAGCAATCCTGGAAAACAAGGGTCCAACGGTCATGTCGCTGGATGAACGGTGAGCTCTGTCGCATAGGCTGACATTCAATGCCAACCTACTGACATGCAATGATTCTTGCTATAGTGTCGCAGCGGTCGACGCCTGTCGTTGGGCCACTCAAAGTGTTCCCCATGCCCCCTACGTGACCTACCTGCCCTGGGTCTCTCATTACGGCTGCAAGTACGTCGTGCACGGCGACGACATCACGTCTGACAGCGATGGCAACGATTGTTACCGATTCGTCAAAGCCGCGGGTCGCTTCAAGGTCGTCAAGCGTACTCCTGGCATTTCTACTACCGATCTCGTCGGCCGCATGCTTCTTTGCACCAAGAACCACTTCGTCAAGTCCGTCCGAAAGACACTCGCTGGGGAGGAAGGATCAGGCAGCCCAGAGGAGCGCAAGGCCTTCGCCGAGGATCTCTTGCAGCGCATTCAAGATTATGCGACTGACGAGAGTGGCTTGCAGCGCGGACCTCAGGTTTGGACATGGCTAGGCTCTGGAGAAGCCAAGATCGACAATAAGGTTGGAGAAGCTGGATCTTTCGAGTCTCTGGTCGAGGGCAAGGGTCCCAAGCCTGGACAGCGCATCGTCTATGTGGATGGAGGCTTTGATCTCTTCTCGTCCGGCCATATTGAATTCCTCCGAAAGGTGACCGAGCTGGAAGAGGCCGAAGGTCGTCGACGAGGCTGGTATGAACCGGAGCAGCGGGAGAAGCGACTCCAAGAGTTCAATGAAGATTACGCTCCGGCGTATATCGTTGCTGGCATCCATGATGACGGTGTGATCAACCACTGGAAGGGATTGAACTACCCCATCATGAACATCTTTGAGCGTGGTCTTTGCGTTCTCCAGTGCCGCGTAAGGACTTACATTTTTCCACTTCGATGATGTTGATTATCTTGCTGACAATTCCTTCCAGTACATCAATGCTGTTGTCTTCTCGGCGCCCTTCACCCCCAGCCAGCCATACCTTGAGGCGATGCCGCTGGGCACGCCGGATGTTGTCTATCACGGGCCCACTACCTTCATTCCCTTGACGTATGACCCGTACAGTGACCCCAAGAAGATGGGAATCTTCCAAGAGGTGGACCAACATGCTTTTCAGCACGTCAATGCTGGTGAGATTGTTGGCCGTATCCTGAAGAGCCGTGAAGCATACGAAGCTCGGCAGCGAGCCAAGTTGGAGAAGGCCATTGCCGAGGATTTGGTAAAGGCCCAAGAGCAGGGATCCTCTGCCTAAACCAAGTCTTGCGTAATGTGTTTCCTTTTGGAGCAACACCTGTCTGCGTGATGGAAAATCTTGTTAAAACGAAAAATCCCCCGATGCCAGCGGTACATGTGCTGGGCCTCGTCGACTGGTAATTTAGGGGATGGGTCTATATAATTTACACTGTGCATACTTAAGTGCTATCAGGCATTAATTCAGGAAAAGAAAGAGTGAGAGATTCTCGTCATCGAGTTTGCCATCCATTATCCAGCGTCACAAGGTAGAGCATTCGCTGTCCATTATCCGTCGTCTAATCTCGAGTGTCCGTAGAGATATAATCATGTATGTCGTGAGAGCAGGAGAAGGTATATATGAATACTGTAGAAAAGCAGAGTTTAATAATTTTACACGGTGACACCAATCACCAACCCGCAACGGGAAGGGGGCATCAATCATTTCCAACCCGAGGCTAAGCGGCCACTCCCAATTATTGATCCGCAGCCACCAGGACACCCTTTTCCTCGAGCATCTTAGCAAGCTCACCATTCTGATGCATGGACATCAGAATATCGCAGCCGCCAACAAACTCCTTGTCGAGGTACAACTGGGGAATAGTCGGCCAATCCGAGTACTCCTTGACACCTGAAATAACGACCGGAATTAGCTTTTCTGTCCAGCGCAAGACCTCAATCAGTCAATCAGATATCACTCACCTTGACGCAACTCAGGGTCCTCCAACACGTTGAAAGCAACAAACTTCTTAGGGTCTACGCCCTGCAGACCGAGGATCTGAATGCTGGCACGGGAGAAGCCGCACTGGGGAGTTTCGGGGGTACCCTTCATGAACAGGACTACTGGCGCGGAGGCCACGGCCTTGTCAATTGCCGCCTTGGTCTCGGAGGACAAGAGGCGGGCGTGGAGGACCGAGGGGAGGGTGAAGGCCGGGGCGCGGACTGCGTTCAGCGCGGAGGGCCGCGAGATCGGGCGGAAGGCCTGTGAGAGGTGAGTTAGATGTTAGTTTTTTTCGGCAGAGGGAAGAATGAAGACAGTGAACAGGGAGTTCGTACCGAGAAAGCTGTGCGGGAAAACATTATTGGTTTGTGTGTGATGATAGTTGGGGAAGTTCGGGGACTTTAGTTCGGGCGGAGTTTCGAGGGATTTGGTAATTTGGTAATTTAGTATTATTTAAGCACTCGTTGGCTGCCATTACGTCGATGTGCCCCACTCACAGTACTTGCAGTATGTACAGTAGTTGATTTATAGTTGTGTAGTACACTATTGATCGACTGGCTGATTATAGACAATAATGCTATGTGTTTAGATATAGTGAAATACTAATTCTTAATGAGGGCAAATACCCGGGAATAGTCGAGTTGGTACAATATCTTCTTAGTCTTACATTCTCTAGTAACTATACAGTATTCTCTACTCCAGCTTCGCAAGCTCTTCTTTATCATACAACCCATAGTACTGCGCAGCATACTCACCGAGGAGACCCAAGCTGATACCACCACCTGTTAGGAGACAGCCATTCTTGAACCACCACCAGCAGCTGCTGACACTCTTAAGCTGGACCTTCCAGATCATCAGGCCTAGGGTGAGAATGGCACTGCCGCAGCTGCCAGCGAAGAACACCGGTCCACAGCCCGCAGCAAGACCCGCCGCACCCAGCAGGGATACTTGAGCAACCGCTAGTCCGGTGAGAACAGCCTTGGTGTTGTGTTCGTGACGCAGAGCGATGGATTTGATTCCAGCAGCGACGTCATCCTTGATATCCATATGTGCGTAGATCATGTCGTACAGGACCGCCCACGAAATACAGCTGGTATACAATGCCGCCGCGGCCATCATGGCGTCATGGTTGGCAAGCAAATCGACACCCAGAGCAGGGAAGCCCATGATTGCACCCCATGAGAAGGCGAGACCCAGGACCGCCTGGGGGTAGTTGGTGACCCGCTTGGCCAGAGGGTAGATCACCACAATTGGCAAGCTGGGAATACCGTACCAGAGGCATTGGGAGGGAAATTGAAGCAGGACCCCGAGTCCCGCCAGTAGTTGGCTGCCCGTAAACAAAATGGCATTCTTCGGCGAAAGCGCCCCGCGGGCAATGGGTCGGAACTTGGTGCGTTCAACATGAGGGTCCAAATTTCGATCCCATAGGTCGTTGATTGCACACCCGGCACCACGCATAATCAGGGCGCCCGTGAAGAAGAGTCCAACCGTGCCTAGGACCTGCAGCGGTGCCACGCCGGTGGCCATCGGGGCGGCGAGAAGAGTGGAGAAGAGGGTCGGAAAGAAGAGATAGTAGGTGCCCGTGGGCTTGTCCAGGCGGACCAATTCGGCGTAAGGGATCCATGACTTGGGCAATGAGGCGATCAAGCCCGTCTGAGGCGGCGTATAATGAGTGACAGGATTGGGTTCCATCGAGTCGGTCGCAATTGGCGTGGTTGTCGCTGTAGAGTACCCTTGCCCAGTATGCCTCGGTATGATCGCTAATGGGTTCGCAGTGTGAAGGTGTAAGGTAGAGGAGGAGCCTGTTGACTTTGCCGGTGTCAATTGACCAGCCAGAGGAATGGACAGACGGCTATGGTATCGGCTACCAATGGAGGAATAAGTGTGGCGGCAGCAGTGAAGCAATTGTGCCCGGCGGAACAACCGGTTGCTCGAGGTCGATAGCAGCATCGCGACCGGAGGAGATGGAGAGGAGGATTCGGACGTGGACTTGATATTAGCAGGGCACTATTGATGCATATTTGCCCTACGATGTTGGTTTGCAGTCAGGAAAAACGGCCGCAAGTTGCCAACAGTTTGGAGATCACCAATTCACCAAGGAGACTGCAATAGCAACGTTATCACGATAATAATAAGCATGTGGACTGGAATGAAATGCGGGTTCAATCAGAAAATTGGCCGCGATGAGTCTAAACCCTTTTAGGGAGTCGAGGTCTGGGCCCCTTAGAAGTTGATCGGCTTGTGGGAAGGGAAGTTGGAGAGTCCGGGACTCTTGGAGAGGCGGAGAAGTCGCGAAGAAAGAGAAAGAGAAAGAGCCTCGTTTTTTTTTTTTTGGAGGATCCTTGGTCACTTTCCTTCCTTCACTTCTATCCCACATCTCCACTTCGTCTCCTCCTTCTCTTTACCCTCTTGACTTCTCTGTGATTTTCTTTGGCCTTTTCAAATCTTCCCTGCTCTCCAACCTTGCTGCTACCTTTGTGCCTGAGGCTACGCGACGCGCCTGCGCCGCTGGAAATCCGCGCAGGCAGGAGCAACTTGCACTTCAGACCTGGGCCTCTCAGACCTTCAGACCTTTAAACATCCAATCGCCTAGCTGTATCTGAATCTTCCTCTCTGCAACATCCCATCTCTCTTGTTCCTGTTCGTGTTCTGTCCAATTCGCTGCAATCTTCAGCTTCGGCGCAAGAGGTGAGTCTCAACTCCCCACACCTCGTCCGATTCTATCGCATTTTTCATATTCATGAGATTTAACACATGCCTTTACCAGTATCCAAGAATAATCTGGTCATGTACTTTTCTGACCCGAATACCGGCCTCACTTACTCTTCCCACCGCATCCCAACTTGATCGAACTCTCCCCCCACTCTACATACATTGTCGCCATGATTCAGCGCTCACGGGCAGTGTTTGAACCATTCCCTCCGCACCTGGACATTGAGGAGGAAGTCAGGACAACCAAAAAATTTGAGTTTGCCAAGAAGATTTCGTTTGATTCAATCGCTCAGTTTCCTCGGGAAGTCCTGGAGCTCTACATCCTCACCCATGTCGTGAAGCTGGGACTCCCACTTGTGATTACGGGGTTTGACAAGCATCTGGACAAGGATCTGTTCTCAGAGAAATGGCTACGACGGCACTATGCCAGTCAAAGTAAGTAGTTCCCGAGACCTTGGACCATGATGTTTTTGTTTGTTTTGTTGAGAGTTTCCTCTAACTGGTGCTTTCTTCACGCAGCATATGATGCCAGGGATTTGGGCAAGGCAGCCAACATGCGTCTGACACTAGGTCATTATCTCAAAAACATGTCGACCTTGACTGAACTTGTCAGCCCGACCACCTACAATCGTCCAAACATTCAACGATTGTATCTGAAAGATATTGACTGCCCAGATGAATGGCACAAGTCTTTGGAAGAAGTGATTCCTTCGAGCTTCTTTTACCTGAACCAGTCCCCCTTGAAGGGACCCAGGTCGCCCGCCTCCCAGTTCCCTGATCCCCCAAAAACTCCACAAGGGCAATCTGTGGCCCGATCTGGCGACCTCATGAGCAGCCTTCCGGAGGCCATGCGTGCGCAGAACCTGATGTGCTACATCGGGCATGAGGGCACGTACACCCCAGCCCATCAGGAAATGTGTGCAAGTCTGGGTCAGAACCTAATGGTGGAGGCGTCCGATGGATCCTTCGAACATGGAAAGCCAACTCGGCCGGGCTCATCCATCTGGCTGATGACTGGGACTCAGGAACGCCTTATGGTCGCGGAATACTGGACGTCCATGCTTGGTCATAATCTGGATCTTGAAAACCACTTTGCCCAACTCAATGCATGGAAAAGTGCGCCTTTCACTACGTATGTGGTCGAGCAAAGACCCGGGGACCTGATTCTCGTTCCTCCCTTGGCCGCCCACCAGGTCTGGAACCGTGGAACCAGGACCATGAAGGTCGCATGGAATAGGATCACCGTTGAGACGTTAGAGATGGCCTTTGACGAGGCGCTCGCTAATGCCCGTATGATTTGTCGGGATGAGCAATACAAAAACAAGGCCATTGTCTACTACACGCTCGATCGCTACTCTGACTTGTTGCGAAAGGCTTCCAAGTCGAGTCACCCAGAAGTCAGAATGCTACAGGAGGATTTTCACCGATTGTTTAACATTTACACTGACATCCTGCTGTCGGAAACCTTCTCCAAGAACTCGCCCGCAGCGAAAGAAATCGAATTCGAGAAATTTGAGAGCAACATCACTTGCTCATATTGTCGCTGCAATATTTTCAACCGATTCTTGACCTGTCCTTGGTGTGTGGGCGAAGGCAATGATACCTATGACATCTGTATGGACTGCTATGTGCTAGGACGGAGCTGCCAGTGCATCTCAAAGCTCAAGTGGGTTGAGCAATTCCCCTGGAAACAGCTCACTGGAAAGCATGAGACCTGGCGGCAGCAGATCCTTGCCTTCAAGCAAGATGATCGTGACCCCAAGCTCAAGGGTCCCCCCACTCTGCTGGTTGCCCGATCCAAACTGGGCCGGAAATCCTTGGCTGAAATATGCCAGGAACAAATGCGCCTGCGGCCGTGGGTGGACTACAAGAAACCGAAAGAGATAAAGGCAGCAACACCAAGCGACGACGAAGGTTCCGATTCCGAGTCGCGGGCGCGCAAGCGAAGGAAATCGAACGGGAACAAAGCCCCAAGCGGAAAAGGCCGATGCCACATGTGCAAGTCCTCGGAATGCCTCTGGAAACTTGCTGCATGTGAAAAGTGCAACCTTTATTACTGTTATGGGAGCTTATTCCGAGCATTCGATATGCTCCCCCAGGACGCAATGCAGAAACCTCATTGGCTCTGCCCGAAATGCCGGAAAATTTGCAACTGCTCGAGCTGCCGGCAGGATGACAACATGAAGCCACATCAACCGTTCAACATTCTGTTAGGACATGATACGCGCAAGATTGCAGATCCGCGCAGTGTTGAGTCTTTGGTGAACATGCGGTTGTCGAACCTGGCGCTCCTCAAAACATTTGGCGACGACAATGCGGACCGCTTGGAGCGCCTGCGGTGTGACGAGGAGAAGCGTCGGCAGCAGCAGCAGCAGCAGCTGGCAGATAACGACATTCATGTAGGTCTCGACTCGCCGCACTCAGAGCCAGTCATCGACAATCCAGTCGTGGATGATAGCCAACTGCCTGGTATCCCTATCGACCCTGCATTGGAACTTGATGGATCTTTTATGAACTTTGGTTGAGAGATGCCACGACCAGTGTCAACTAGAAAGGGAAGATATTTTGTTTGTACTAGCGATTGTTTGAAGATCCTGTCTGAAGGTCTCATGTGATATCCCCATCCGCAGCGTTGTGTATGTCTAGAGTGACTACTTGTTCTTACATGTTTGAAGCTATGGCTACACAAATAATGACGATTTGATGAACATTCAAAAGATAAGGGCTATTCATTTGTAAACACACAAGCCGGATTAAATGCTAGGTGGTTATGCACCCTTGTACTCGTACTGCAGGTCCTTGAGTGCCGAGATATCCACCGAGAGTATTGTTTCTCGGGCAAGCAAGATGGCAGCGAGCATAGCTGTCGAGAAGATGGTAAGTACAGAAAAAGAGAAGAGAATAAGAGAATAACCCTTGCAAAACATACCTCCCGGAATCAGATATAGAACAGGTCGGATGGTAGAAGTAGAGCCCGTCCCGACAAAAAAGTAGGCAACAGCCAGCAACAAACATACAGCCCCGTTGACAGGAAGAAGCGCCGAATGTAGTCGGGCTATGCGCTCATTCTCAGCTGTAATAGGCTTCTTACCCTTGCGATCTGGATGCAAAGGGGACAGTCGCATGGTATAGGCTGTGCCTAACAGGGAGAGTACTCCGAAGAGCGACAAGAACCATTCTGTCAGACTCGAAGCTGAGAATATCGAAGGCAAGAAGGCGATAGTTGAAACTAGCGGGATGCTTGTGAAGATGATCTGAAACATGTTAGAGCTGCGGTATAGCCTCGAGCAAAGAAAACGAATAAGGTTGTATATATATTTACATGATATTGGGCATTGCGGGCATCATTTTGGCGTTGCAACTGCTCGATCAGTTGTTCCTGTTCCTCATCGTCGAGCTCTTCGCGATTTTCATCGTCATCCTCTGGATATCGAAATGCTTTTCGAAGTCGTACGCCCGCCATAAGTAGAAGTGATCAAATCACCGTAGATATGTCGAGCAATAATCAAAAATAGTGTACAGTTAGACAGTTAAGCCCGTGACGTCGAAGCCAATGTTTGTCCTGTTTGGTTCTTTTTTGTGCCTCGCCGAAATCCGTCGTTCCACCCTCTCCTGCATTTCTTCCCTCCCTCCTCCAAGAGCACGCATATCCTCCCCTTCAAAGCTCACAATGCTTCTCCCACGGGCTCTTCCCCGACGACCCGCCCTTTTCCGGGTCCCCAGAATCCGCCAAACAACTCCTCGCCGCACACTGATCCCCGCGCCCGGCCCAAATACGGGGCCACTCATGGAGCGCCGCGCAGACCGCGAACTCCCCACCATCAACAACAGCAAGGGCTGGTTGAAGTCCCTCCCCATCTTCGTGGTGGCCGTTGGAGCCGCCATGCTGGGTATCTTCAATTACCAGAAATCCTCATCAAGTGTGGTCAGCAGTACTTTGTATGCATTGCGCACGTCGCCGCAGGCTCGTGAAATCCTGGGCGATGAGATCTATTTCGCGCAGCAGATTCCTTGGATTAGTGGGGAAATGAATCAATTGCATGGGCGCATTGATATCTCTTTTTGGGTGAAGGGGACGAAGGGCCAGGGTAAGATGCGGTTTAAGAGTGTGAGACCGGATCGGATGAGTTTCGTGAGTGGCCCTAAATCAAGAGGAATTCTCGTTTTTCCTCGGCATGATATTTCTTGCGAATTGCGCATTTTATGAACCTCCTATGGCGTGGACTTGGCTAACGGCTTAACAATTCGATTGTACAGTTCCGCACCGAAGTATGGAGCCTGGAGACCGAGGATGGAACCGTCGTGCAGCTGTTGGATAGCGACACCGATCCCTTCCGCCAAGAGTGAACGGGCTCGATAGAAAGATATGGGATAGCTGGACAGATGAAAGGCGACATTTGTACAAATAGAACTGCTTGTGCATGGGATATGGCGTTTGGAGGGCAAATCATTTACGGGATACTGAATTGTGTGCGGCAAACCGACTTGGAAAGACATCCTCGGGCATGGAGGAAAGAGCCAGGGAATTGAAGAAGAAAAGGATATCATTTGGATGTATCATATACAAACGCCGCTCAAAGTGAATAATTCTGCGCGAATAGTGTAGTAGTAGTACAATGCGTCCCCTAAAACCAACCACCGAGTCTCTCGTCAATCAAGCCGCAGTCGCAGTCTCCGTGGCGGCAGCGGTCTCGGTCAAGGCAACTTCTGGCCAGGGCTTCTTGATCGCATCCTGGATGCGGACAACGCAGCCCTTGGGACCGCTGATAGCACCTATATCAGATAATGATTAGCAAATGACCAAATATAGTGGCAAAGCTCGTGGATAGCATGACATACCGCTCACAACCACAATTCCAGACTCAACATCCACCTTCAGGATCTTAAGATTCTGAACAGTGTTTTGCGTGTTACCCATATTTCCAGCCATCTTCTTGCCGGGATAGACACGAGAACCACCACCCTGACTAGGACCCGCCGAACCCATCGAACGATGCGTCAAACTCACACCGTGACTCCGATCCTGACCATGGAAACCATGACGCTTCATAACACCCGCAAAACCCTTACCCTTCGTGTTGGACCTGGCATCCACATACTGTCCCTCCTGGAACCAATTGGCCTGAATGCTCTGACCAACAGGGAGCAGGCCCGCCTCATCCCTAACGCGGAACTCAAAAACATGACGCTTAGGCGAGAGACCGTTGGCAGAGAAGTGACCGAGCAACGAATTGAGCATGTTACTAGGATGTTTCCAGCCCGCACCGACCTGGACGGCGAAATAACCATGCTTTTGACGGGTCTTGTGGGAGACGACCTCAACGCGGTCGAGTTGCAGGACGGTGCAGGGGATGCGCTTGCCGGTTTCGGTATCGAAGATGGCGGTCATACCCTTTTTGATTCCGATGGCGCCGGTTCGAAGGGGGAGGGAATTGGCCTTACGACGGAGAGCTGCGGTGGACGTGGATTCGAGGATTGGCAGGCCGGGGTTGTTGTTAAAGCGGCTGGGCTTGGGAGGGTTGAGGGATCGAATGCCGAATGTGCGGATGGAGACATGGGGGATAGTCAATTGGGTGTCCCAGAGGGACTGGAGGAGCCCTCCAGGGAGTCGTGGTGCCATTGTTGGAGGGTATAGTTTGGAGATGTTGAAGAAGTGGTTCCTTTCTGAAGTTTTCTGGACTTTGCGGCCGGCTGAGGTAAGCATCTTTCTCCGCAGTCCAGCGATGGGAAAAGAAGTATACCAGCAGAAGATCATGAAGGGGGTGTTTTTGATATTATTAAAGATAGATACTATAATAAATTGAGAGTTGAAAGGAGAGCAAAATATATAAGATACAATGTACTCTTTATTTTAACTGAATCTTCCTTTCTAGGGTCATAGAATATGTAGGTTCCAGCATCGTCAATCTTCTATCTAATAAGATCATTGACTCTTTCACTAATAGTTCAGCAAGAACTTTTACTTTATATTTTACCCTATGGAATATCTACTGTCAGTTTCTCGGTGATAATCGAACTATATAAGTTCAGTTTATGAATCCCGATACATGCCCGACCGATCTACCAAACCCGATATACACTGCTACTACTACTATTGCAAATGTAGTCGGAGTATACAACAAGACAACAAAACCCCTACGTAACCAGCCTCAACTAACCAATAATATAAATCACTAGGATATACAAAATGACTCATTAATCTAGTTTTCAAACACCCTCAATTCCCCCAACATCCATCAGACTCCATCAGCCGATGCGCCCATAAGCCAGTCATCCCGCTAAACTCCGACGGCATCACCGATCGGAAGCACGGCCTCCGAAAAACCCGGGACAGGAAAAAAGAAGAACTATACACTATTACACTTTTCCCTCTCTACCAAAACACCCACTCAGCCACCACAGTCCACCACATTCCATCCTAACCACGTCAACCACAATCAATACCAGTTGGCATCTACAAACAAGACAAGAGAAGATTAATCATAAATGGCTCTCCGGCCATCCCTGTTCTCGCGCTGGCTCGCGCAACCAGCAGAGCTCCTCCAACAATCCACAATCACCCTTCGCGCAACCCGATCCCGAACCTCCCCGTCGCAGACCCTGGCTCTGACTCGACGAGTCCTTCTTAACGGGCAAGGACAATCGACCACCAGACGCTCATTCAACTCGCTAGCAAACCGATTCACCACCCGAGCGAATCTGACACCACGAGCAATCCACCTCCCACGCCGCAGCACCCGCCGCGCAAACTCAACCAACAGCAACAACACCTCCCAATCCAGCTCATCCACCAAAGAAGGCAGCTCGCTCTCACAGCGCCTCCGCACTTTATCCCGAGAATACGGTTGGGCCGCGCTGGGCGTGTACTTGGGCCTTTCAGCACTGGATTTCCCCTTCTGCTTCGTCGCGGTGCGATTGCTTGGTGTAGAGCGGATTGGGCATTGGGAGCATGTTATTGTTTCGTCTGTGAAGGATGTATTTAAGTCTGTTTGGCCGCAGGCGGAGAGTGGATCTGCGGCGGAGGGAGATGTTGGGGAGGGTGCGCTTGTGAAGCTTGATGGGGAGGAGGAGGGGAGTATGGAGGAAGCTAGTATGTCACCCACCCACACACACACACACACACACTCTCTCTCTCTCTCTGTGTGTCTTCTTGTGATTTTGTTGCGGGGGCAATGGCTAATTCTCTGCGCTACTAGGTATATGGACTCAATTGGCTCTGGCATATGCCGTCCACAAGAGTCTCATTTTCATCCGTGTCCCATTGACAGCGGCCGTGACGCCCAAGGTCGTCAAGGTTTTGCGACGCTGGGGTTGGGATATCGGCAAGCGCAAGCCGAAGAGCACCTAATCCAATCCTGACAAAAGAGCAAAACACCTCGACAATATACAAGTACAGGTATATGGATGAGGTACAAAGACTATAGACGGTTGGAAGAATGATTTACTGTATAGCATATAGCGGGCGACGACCTGACCTGCCCTGACCCTACAGGAAGGACGGGTGTTGACAGGTTGGAGGGTCACATTTTCCTTGTTGTACATTATGTATCCATAGCCATTTTAGATTTTACGACGCACAAAGTTTTTTGTGTGATCCCCACTCAATCATAATTATCAAATATCATCATCGTCATCATCAATCTACAGGGTTTATGATACACCAAGCCAGGACGGGGGACCACGAGCTAGACTTCGCATAGACAAGGAGTAGTCTAGTCTAGCAGGTACAGAGCAGAAAAAAGCCATCAACCATCTATCCCAGCGCCAGCAGAGACGGGACGAAAAGGAGAACCACAGATATCAAAGATCAAAGATCAAAGACCGTGATTTTGAGATTGGAACTCGCTGTAGAGAAAAGAAAAATGGTCCACCCTTTTAGATTTGAGGAGAAGCAGAAGATGGAAGAGAAAATGGGTGATGAACAACCAGTACTGAACTGGAACTGGACAGACCACAGACCCGATAGCAAAAGGAAAAAAAAAGAGAAAGGGAATAGAAAAATCGTGGAACATGCATGACTGGACAGCAAAATAGATACTGGAAACTCGTGGTCTTCGTCTCAGAGGGATATGGGAATAACGGGATGGGATGCAATTGGAACAGGTTCAAGGTGAGAGAAATTCAGGGAAGAACTGGGGAAGGTGATGTGATGGGATGCAATGTATGTGGCGGTCACATGTCGATCATATCGTTGAATCGTAGGACACCGTTGGCTTTCATCACGCCATTCACGCCGTCGGGCATCCGGTATGCCCACTCGGCCACACCCATGGCATTGGCAGAGGTGAGGGCGTCAGCGCGGTCGGGTTGCCCAGTCTCATCGCAGGTGTCTGCCACCAGCACGAGGCCGAGTTCTTTGATAGTCTCCACGAGAGCAGGGACGACGTTCTAAAGAGCGCCATCGATTAGTAAAGAAGTATACCACTAAGGTTAGAAATGAGGATCGACATACCAGAAGGCTTGACCGGCAAATCAGACCCATAAAGTTGTTACTTTGAGCGATACGAGCAGACTCCTTGATGGACATTGAAGCCCGGCCGCTACTGTTCACAAGGGGCAATGCATCCACATCGCCAGCGAGGTCCCGAATTTGACCAAGATCGTTGCAAAGGAGGACCGGGTCTAGAGAAAACAAATTAGTCTTATACTCAATCATCATGGTCAGAACTCGAGGTAAATGCTTACAGTTAGGCTGCTTCCAGTTGAGCGCAGTGCAAATGTTGAGGTTATAAGAGGTGAAGACGATGGAGCGCATAAAGTCAGGGCTGTTTTCGCGAGCAACGCGGGCGTGATCAAAGACATCAGTCAGGATGGCGTCGGCAAAGCTGTTGACATCGGCCAATGCGGTCAAGTCAAGGGACTTCTCCTCGGCACCGGAGGGGTAGAGAATAGAAAGATTGACGTTCAGGTCAATCGGAAGCTGCCGCAGGACCTCCCGCAGAGACATAAAGGAGCCAGCCAATAGGCGATGAGTCTGTGGCATGTCGTTGACCGCTTGTGTGCCCAAGTATTGAAGGATCTCTTGTTGATTGACGCCCCGCTCGGCACCGAGGGACTGGAATTGAGCATACGACAAGTGGCACACGGGGATATCAATTCCGTGGTGGTTGATCATAAACTGGGGGTAAAGAACTGGCACACGGTCCCGGGTGAGCTGCACAAAGAGTTGCACATAATCTCCCGACAAACTGGAGCCGGTGACTAGACCATTGTGTTCCGAGTCGACTGCACTCGTCGCCTTCCAGTAAGTCGCGAAATGGGTGATTTCCAAGGGATCACCGTGGTACGGCTTGATGACCTGGAAGTTGAAGCGCAGTTGACCAATGGCACGAAGACGAGGGTCGAACAGAGGCAAGCAACATGAGCCCGTGCTAGACTTTTCCGCACCAAACACCACCGGCAAAGCTACACTCTTTGCAATCACCTTGGATCCAAACGTGGGGAAGATTTCAAAATCGACGGCAAAGGTGTCCAAATTGTCCACGTGGAAGGATATCGTTCGAGAGTCGTCTTGAATGGGAAGGACGATAGTACGGGGAATGAGATCGGAGAGCTTGGAGGAAATAGTCAAACGGGCCGCAGGATGGCGACCAGCCTGATCGAAAGCGATGGAGCCCAAGTTGCCTTGGTCGAAGAGGAGCTGGACAAAGACCTTCTTGTCCAGGAAGTTGTGACCATAACGACGGAGAGGAATGATAGGTGGGGGTAGCTCCAAGTCCGGGATACCGTCAGCAATATCCATATCAGCAGAGCTAGCACGGCGCATAGCTCCCGAATCCTCCATCATGCCAGGCTCATGGAATGATACGCCGTTTAGAAGATCCAGCGGCCGTTGGGATGGGCGACGCGATTGCGACGGTTGAGCCCATAGAAGCAGCATACACTCCAAATGCCCTTCCCACGCGGCATAGTACATGGCCGACAGACCCTTCTCATCATTGACCTTGGCGTCCACGCCCAGTTCAAGAAGCGTCCGGAGACACGGTACGCAGCCCTCGCTCGCGGCATGGAAGAGAGGTGTCCACTGATACAACTTGTCTCGTTGGTCCAGATCGGCACCGTGCTGCTTCAGCAGTAATAGGAGGTCGGGGGATTGGGAAGCTCGAGCCACCATATGCTGAGGGTAGAGACCTTCGGCATCGGGCAGCAGGCGGGCCTTGCGTTCCAAGAGCATTTTCACAATCGGGAGGGAGCCATGTTGGCAGGCCAAGTTGAGGGGGATATGATCCGATTCTGAGGCTGGATCGATCCGAGCATTGCTATGCAGTACCTGCTCGGCACACGAAAGCTGATTCTTGACGATGCTGTGAATCAAAGGAGTAAAATTATCGTGATCCATCACATCCACCATTTGCGGGCCAGCCGCCAGCAGCTCCCGCACCATATCGACTCGACCGTGCATACACGCGTAATGTAGAGGAATGCGTCCGTAGACATCGGACCGGGAGAAATCAACCCCGGCCGTAAGACCAGCCTTGAAGACAAAGTCCCGCCCGGAAATCGCGGCTTCGTGGAGACAGTTGCGCTCATTGATATCATCCTCGGCGTGGATGTCGACCAGGCCACTCTCGAGAAGAAGACCAAGGACATCGTCGGCGAAGCCATTGATCGCGTTCAGGAAAGTCCGCGTGGCTCGATCACGAGAATCTGGGAAAGAAAGCAGCTTTGCAATCCATTCCCGCAGGGTCTGTAGGTTTCCAGTGGATGCAGACTGCAGGACTTGAAGATCCAGCTCCTCTTCCTCTGTGCCAAAGGGCGCTCCAGCACGCTCGGTCGGCCGCGAGGTGTCAAACTGTAGGTTCTCTCCTTCGGCCCAGGCCTCCAATTCCAAACGAGCGGTCGTAGCGCGATCAGATAGATCCCGGAGGACCTCGCGATTAAAACACGGTTGCACTTCCACGGCGCGGTGCAGATAAAGCTCCTTCATGCGAGACTTGGACGTTTTATCCCATTTCTTCAGGATCTTGGACATAGCGGTCTCATTGATCTCGACGAATTGCTGCAGCTTGTTCAAATCACCATCAAATTGCTGGAATCCTTCGAAAAGCGCCACAAAGTTTGAGGGGGCCTTGGAATTTGAGACGGTTCGCGACTGGATCACGCGCTTTTTGTCGACTAATGTTTTCAAGCGTAGCGAGAACTAGATAGCGGTATGTGAGTATGCTTGTAAGGTTTAACCCCCGTTTGAATACCACGGGGATCAGGGTTTCCAACGTACCTCTGACTCTTTCTGAAGATAGAATGCGTTGACTTTTTCAATCTCCCGCTCCTGTTTTGCGCATCATATTAGCTAAACCATACTAGAGACTAACCCGGTATTCAGATCAGGAGGACTGATTAGCTTACCAAGCGGAAGAAGAACACCTCCTTGTTCGCGCGCAGGGCAGCCTGAGGATCCAGCGTGCCATCTTGAGCGATCTCTTCGGCGGTCCTCTGCGCGGGGATAGTAGGCGTGGCGCTGAGTTGCTTGATAAGCTGTGACGAAGGTTAGTTAGCAGCGCGCTCGGCGATCGTTCGCAATCCGACGGAGCTGCCAACACAGCCTCGGCCATTCCAGCACCATTCCACGGGGAAGACAGAGTAAAGCACACCTTTTTCAGCGCCTTGTAGTTGACGAAGCTAGCCGCATATTCGGGAAGATCAAGCTGCCGGCGCTGGATCTGTTTGCCGAACTTCCTGCAGGAGGATCAGACATCAGGTATTCCGTCGACGAAACGTGGAGGGATTGTTGGCGGCTGCAAGGGGCCGGGATGCGGGAGCTTACATCTTCGCAGGCGCGCTCTCTCAAGACTTTTAGTCTGAGAGACGTGCGCTTAATCCCGAGGTCGAGGAAAAGAAGCGGGAGAGAATGCGTCTCGTCGCTGGTTTGACGGCGGAAGCGTAGGGGCAGCAGTAGTAGCCGAATTGAGGCAGACAAATGAGTTTAGAAGAGGGTCAGGGTAGAGAGAGAAAGAGAAGAGAAGAAGAAGAGAAGGAGGAGGGGAGAAGGAAGAAGAATCCAGGACGAGGGATGGTTCCGCGGACCTCGAGTCGAGGGGAGAGGGGGCCCGCAGCAGCGACAGCAACAGCAGCAGCAGCAGCAAGAGAGACAGAGAGTAGTAAGGTGGGGAATGATGATGATGGTAGTGGGACAGGGCGTGTCACTAGGTGTATAACAGAATTAATAGGGTGAGCGAGGAAGAGGCGTATTATTTCCCAAGGCTCCAGGGTCTTCGACTAGTTTGAGACTCCAGACTCTCCAGACGCTCGGGGGTTACACGCGGAGATCAAGTGAGAGAGTGAGTAGTGAGAGAGCTTGCTTGAGCTACCCGTCCGAGGCGTAGTCGGTTTGAAAAGGAGGGATGTGTTTGAAGGTGTCACCAACCTAGTGTTCTCTCTTCTTTCTCTCTAGTCTGGAAATGAGATCACAAGGCACCAGGGGATTCCCAGCCGTGACCACCTCGTTTTGGTATAACTCTGGTTACTGGACGAAGGGGAAAATTGGAGGTTCAACTTAAGCCGGAAGTGGGGAGCTGCGGGTGCGCCAATCATGATGATTAACCCGCGCACGTTTTGGGTCTCTTGGGGCTTGCTGACTGATAATCTTCTGGAAACTAACTTAAGCCTAACACGACGGAGTCCTAACTACTACGGAGTGCGCACACTCTTCCTCGGTACTTTTCACTCATAAAACATACGCTAACTTAGTTAACAACCAGTTGGTAACCCTCTCACTAACTAACTACCCGATTCACCCTAGTCCTCGATCCCCTCCGCCAATAAACGCCAACAATGCTTCGAATGCTTGTGGCTCACAAATGAACTAGTCAGAATCGCTTGCATTTCCGCGTCTCCCCTCATGTTTCAACACGACAACTATCATTCTCCATATTAAACCCACCGCTTTAAAATGTCCCCATAGACCAGCCCTGTGCGGACTCCCTAAAACTCCATATTTCGATATCCTGCACCTATCATGCCAAATTGTGTCCCCATTGTGTCCCCATTGTGTCCCCATTGCCGGCCGAAAAATCGCGGCCCGAAGAGATGGAACTAAAGCTGAAGAGGAGAGCAAACGTGTCCAGTCATCGGGGGATGCCGAGACTCTCGTCAATGTAAACTGAATCATATTTTAGCCTAAATAATAAGTATCAATGGGGACTCGTTATTGACTATACCTGAACATGCAACGCATCAATCTACGACTACCTCACTACTGTAGAAATATGACAGTCTACGGGTGTAAGTTAATCAGAATACTCCGCTTCATTGACTTCACAATAACCTATACACGGGTCATTGAGACATGATGACAAGACAGCGAGACGGAAAAAGCAAAACAAAAAAAGCCCCCGGGCCAGACACCCCCCCCCTGACCCAGAGATCCTGAGCCACGGCGCTATGGCTATACATGATGCGACGGGGAGCAAAAAGGCCACAATACACAAGAAAGAAAATCAAACAGCGATAGATGATAGCAACAAATGCCAGGATATATCAGAACAAAATCAATAGCGAAAACGGGGGAGGAGACTGAGAAGAAAAGAAAAAAGAAGAAGAAGACAAAGTATCAAGGAAAATCAGGTAATCCAGACAATTCAGTCAATTATTGGAAGACAGCAATGGAAAAAAAGTAGTAAGAGGTCAATAATAAACATGGCGAAGCGAAGGTCCATCACGCCGGGAATCAAGAGAGAGAGACAAGAGGAGTTGGGCCTGGAGACCGACAAACAGCAAAAGTTACAGGAGGCTGCCCCCATAAAATAATAAAAAGAGTGACGTCGGCGGTGGGGTTCATGAAGAGAGGGTATGGGGATGGTGTATGAGTGTGCAAGAATGGAAAGAGAGATGCCAAGCTTTTTTGAGGATCAGAGGCAACGAGAACGCGGGATCACAATCATGGCGGATGCAGGATATGCAAGATAGGTAGGTGGAGAGAGTCAACCAGAATGAGTCTAGAAATTCTGGGCAATGCCGGCGTTGCCGGATCGCGGGTAGACACCGGGGTTCTCGATGCGCGTGTTACGGCGTGCCTGGACGTCCCGGATGACGGGTTGGTAGTCCTCACCACCGTAAGCACCTTGGTTGTTCATGTCGCCATAATAAGGGTTCTCTCCATAGTAGCCGGCAGACGGGTGGCCCCCCGACATGTGGCTCTCCTCTGAAGCCTCGGAGTGGTTGGCAGCCGAGTAGGCCGAAGAAGCATTGGATGGCCCCCGATGGATGTCGCCATTGCGGGTGTTGTTGGCCGCAACAGGAGCAGCACCCAGCACGCCAATGGGTTCAACCTCGCCCGAGTCGGGGCGAGTACCTTCGGAATACTGCACAGTGCCTTCACTAGGGGTCGCCATGTGGTGGTACGCGCCGCTTCCTTCAGACATCGCCATACCACCCATGCCGCTAGACAGATTGGTGGAAGCTTTACGACCGGCAGAGGTGGTACCCCAGCCACGGTATCCAGCAGATGTATCATCCTTGGGAGCGACGCTACCAGCAGCCATCATGCCGGGTAGAGTGGGATCATTGTTCGGGTTGAAGCCATATTCCTCGACTTCCTTCCGGCGCTCTTCCTCGGCAGCCTTGTTCGCCTTGCGCTTCCGCCAGAACCAGAGCGCGGCCAAAATGATCAACGCGACGGAAGCAACGGGCACGACAACGGCAACGGCAATCTTGCCGCCAGAGGACAGGCCAGAGCTGGCCGCGGCAGTCGAGGTGGATAAAGAAGCGGAGTTAGTCGCGCTCGTCGAGGCGATGGTCGAAGCTGCAGTGTTCGTGGTCGAGGCGTCGGTTTGCGTCTGTGTCACGACCACGACCGTTGAAGAGGAGCTAGTAGTAGGCTCGGCGACAGAGGTAGTCGAGGACGTAGAGGACGTAGACGACGTAGAGGACGTAGAGGTAGTATGGGGAGCAGTTGTGGTGGTGGAAGTGGACGACGTAGTTGATGTCGGCACTGAGGTCGTCGAAGAAGTGGAAGAGGTGGAAGTGGGAGTGGAAGTGGTCGACGGGGTACTGGTCGTGCTGGACGTACTGCTAGTGCTGCTCGTTGTCGGGACAGCTGACGAAGAGGACGATTCCGTCGTTTGGGCCACCAAGGTCGAGTCGACCTTGGTGGTCGTGTTGACCGTGCCCGAGCCGTTGGCAGTCGACATGGCGAAGAAATTGGAATTGACAAGCGCAATGGCAGAATATAGAGTTCAGCGCAGATTCCTGGGGAAAGAAAGAGTGGGAAGAGGATGCGATCCTCCAAGCACCCTAACCGTTAGAGAGGTAAAAAGCGGCACGAATCGCAACGTTGCACCAGGGGCTCTGAGACCGGCGGCTCGGATTGGAATATCAAAGTCGCTGGACGATGACAAGTGGATGCGATTAGGTAGAGACGAATCGACCGAAGAAACGAGTGACGGCGATGCAAAATCCAACGCGTAAGGAGAGAAGATGAGAGTTGAATGGGGTGGGCGGATGAGGCGGCCTCAGGGGGTGGAGGTGGGCTGTAGATTGGGATGAAAGGTTGAAAGATAACCGGAAAGAGAAGAAGGAAAAATGGGATGAGAGAGGAGAAGTGAAATGAAGCCCCGGAAAAGGTGAGTCTCTCCAGTCGCCGATTCTAGTCGGGAGCCATGGGAGGATGGAGGAGAATGCAGCAGCCAGCAGAAGAGAGAGAGAAAGAGAGAGAGTCAGCAAAAGAGGAGGAAGAGGAGAAATTGAGTGGGACTGCGAACAGAGTGGAGAGTGGGTGGGCTTGGCAGTTATTTTGGTTTGGAGATGGTATTTCATACAGCGTTGCAGTGCAGATGCAGTAGTTAGTGTTATGCATTCCTAGTGGTTCTAGAGGTATGGTATGGTAATCCTAGTCCATACAACGGTAGTACCTCGTAGTATTAATAGATGCTGCGTGCGTCCATCTGAATGTCCTCGTATTGAAAAGGATTTCTCACTCCGGCCTTCAGAAGCAGATTCTCGTTTCAATTCATCTGTTTGCATCCTAAACAGAGAACCTCTCCTAGTATCTCTTGCAATGTTTATATCCATTCATCCCTAGATCCGGGCCATGCGACCGACTATGCCCTTGCAGGATTTCCCCCGATCGGAACCACAACAAAGGGAAAAAAGAAAAAGAAGAATCTCCGAGGCTCCAACCACTGACCAGTAGGGCCAGTCCCATGGAAAGACCTGGATCGAAGGATCTTCGGTCAAGAAAGTTTAGTCCTGGAATCATAGCACAATGCTATTCTATTCATATACCAATGGCATATTATATCTGTATATCATTCGATAATTTTCCCTGTCATGATTCAATGATCTCTGATCTCTGATCAATGATTATGTGCATATTCCCCAATCCCACGTCATGATGCACGGCGTACTCAGTTGCCACTGATACGATTCCTAAACGGCGCGAATCAGAGCCGATCCTTTCAACGGTTTTGATCCAAGGTTTGGCGGTGCTCGGTACACAATACTCCGTTTACCATGGACACGAGATATCAACATATGATTATTACTCTTCTACGAGAATATAACTATAATAATTACTATTCACCGAGATACGCCAAACACTACTGCATTGACATCTCTGTAAACTACTCGGTCGCACGTAACACAAAAGGGGGCTGAACTGTGGTCGGTAATTAAACCATCTTACGTCGCCCGGGGCCTAGTCGCTGCGAGTGGAGTCCTTAGGCGTCCGTCGACGTCCCGCGAATAATAGTGCTCCATTAGACTCGTAAATAATCCTGTTATGCTCGTCCACACATCCAGCACAGACCTAAAAATCTCGATAGTGACGACGAGAAGACCGTTTCATCCACGTGAAAGACCCAGAGTCTACGAGTACATATATCTCAGAATTATTAACAAAATAGAAGAACGGAGAAGAAGATCAACACACAGTTGGAACCCAGCCGGAAGCCGTCCACTAGGACCTGCTCTCCGGCCGAAACAATCCAATGTCAATTCCAATGTCAATGTCAATGGCATATGTACAGGCCCGTACCCAAGTACCAGAGAAAATGCAAAAGGGCCGGTATCGAAGAAGAAGAAGAACAAGAAAAAGAAATTGGTGAAAAATCCATGGGGGAACAAAAACAGAACCCAACCATTATCTATGTACGCCGCAGGACAGCAGATTTCCCAAAATAAGAGACCCCAAGGAGAAAAAAAGGGTAAAGCGAGTGCAAAAGACACAAGAGAGAAAAAAGAGAAATAACTATCCGGAAGGAAATGGAAGTAAGAAACCCATTCCTTGAATATATGGTCAAACAACTGGAGGTTACCATGAAATGCGCAAGGTCATCACAGTTTTGTTTTCGAGAGACACCAAAAGCAGCACAGAGTCGTTACGGGGAGAGAGAAGGATGATAGACGGGCAGGAGGAGAGGGAGTTGCTTTTTTATCTTGTCATGCCCCAGTCTGGGCGCAGACTGGTCATCATGTCGTCCTTGGTACCGACCATGTCAGTCGGCAACCGGCTAATACGATAGTTGCCCATGCGAATGTTGTTCATGTGGGTGTTGGAGATGCCTGTCCGGTTACTGCGGATACTGCCGGCATCGCTGCCAGAATCGCTGTTCTTGAATCGGGGTGGGGGTGCAAAGTCCAGACTCGTGAACGTGCCAGATTTCCGCAAGGCGTGACTAAGATATAAAGTTAGCTACAAATCAGACCAAGGGAGTGGGTAGGTAAACCCAGGATATATGCAAAACTTACGGGCTGGGAATCACGGCAAGCTCATCAAACACCGAAACAAGCGGAGTATGGGCTCGGATGGCAGGGCTGTACGGCATCGAGCCACCGGTAGGAGTCTCGGGACGACCCTCACGCCGATCACGGATTCGCTGGCCAGGAGCAAAGTCTGCCGCCATGAAGATAGAATCATCCTTCAACATGTGGGGGGTCGGGAGCATTTGAAGAGGTGCTGGCGGAGGCATGGGCTTCCGGGAAGCACCACGAGGACCGGGCATTCTACCAGAAGCGGATGAGAACGCACGAGGACCCGGGCCGCCGAAGCCATTGTGACCAGCCGAGTTGGTGGCCATATGGCGAGCAGCACCCTGGAATCGTGGAGGAGCCCGAGGAGGCGGGGTCATGGCACGACGGGTCATCGGCTCCGCGAATGGAGCAGCGGGGGGAGCAGCCGCGTCGAAATAGTCGCCAGTAGTCGGGTCGTAGACATAGCCAGTTTCGTAGAACTCGGGACCATAGTCTTCGTAGTAGGTGGTCTCCCGCTTACTGTCGTCAAAGTATTCCTTGTAGAAGGAACGGATGCGGTTGGCACGCTGCTCGGGGTTGTCCGCCGGGTCCTCTGGGGGCAAGGGGCGTACACCGAGGGTCAGCCGGCGGGTATCGCGGCGGTTGTTATTGTCAAAGGCGATATCGAGGTTCTGCTGCGATTCTTCGTGCAGCTCAGGCTGCTTGTTGTCATGGTGTCCCTCCGCAGCGTGAACATTGATGGATAGCTCCGGCTTGCGGTCGTCACCGTAATCACTAGTAGTGATATCACTGGCGGGCAGAGAGATACGAGGCAGTTGCATAGGAGTCGAAGTCTGCGCGTGCAGGGCAGGGTCGTGGTGGTCGGGAAGCGGAAAGTTCAGGCGTTCTTCATGGGGAGAGGTGTTGGCATGGTTGATTGGAGGCTCGATCTCAAAGTGTAGTTCCGACATCGGGTTGTTGTTCAGGTGGAATTGAAGCTCGGGGGGTGATGCCGCTCGGTCATGACCCTGGCTGTGGTCGGTCATAGCACTGCCAATCGCCATGGCATGCTCATCACGCTCCTTCGGGGCCAACCCGGGTGACGGGCCACGATGGTCTTGATGGTGAGCTGGGGGAGGGGGCTGCGGCATCTGTTCACCAGGAGGGCTGTTGTAGCGAGGAGGGGATGAACGAGACATTCGCTGGGCATTTTTCAAAAGACCCGAGTTGGAATCCTCGGCACCTCCGTATCCATGACGAGTAGAACCTCCGATGCTGGATCCATCGTCACCGCGGCTTCGAGGGAACGACCGAACAGAGCCATTGTCTTGAGTTCCCAAGACCGCCGGGCGGTACTTGTCATCATCGATGGATCGAGAGAGCGAGTGCAGGGACTCTCGGGAGCCGTGCAGACCAGGAGGCATCAAGTACGGGCTGACATCGAGAGACAGACCCTTCGAATGGTTGGGTTCCATCATCTCTGCTTGTAATCCGTTGGGCAACTTCCTGGGTTTTCTTCCACCAGGTCCCACCATGTCCATGCCGAAATCCAGGGACTTGTGCTTATCCATAGCATCCTCACGTCTCAACTTCTTAACATGTCTCCGATGCAGGAAGATTAGAACCACAATAGCACAGATAACAGGAACACTGCTCGAGTATTAGATTCACATTCACGAGTGCACCCCCTAACCGTGTATTGACTCCGCAGTGAGAAAAGGTTATCAACATACCCAGCACCCAGGACAACGGGAAGCACTGTCGTTGTCAGGTTACTTGTCGACTTTGTACAGCTTCCACCGCTACTGCAGTCTGATGTTCCGGTCGTTTCTGACGAGCTCGGTGCTCTTGCCACCAACGCGGGGAAGCCCGCACCCGGCATGGTGGTGGTCGTAGGTACGACGAGAGGAAGTCGGATGGAGGGGATGACCTCCCGTCGAACCACGGAGTGCCTCATCACCAGATTGGGATCGTGATGCTGAGGCATGGTTTAAGGAGGCCCGTCAGGGCAGGTCAAAACGGATGTATTTGTATTCGATCACACAGGAGGAGGGCCCGATATGCTTGCCAAAGGCGAACCAGTCGACAGGCGCAAAGATCAGGCGAGAGCCGCAGAAGATTTAAACCGAAGTCATTTAGGGTTTTTTCACACCGATCGAACGAGGCTTTCGAAGCCTTGAAAAAAAGGAGTGTCGTGGGAGGGGTGGTGAGGGGGTTGTTGTAAAGGAATGTGGCGGCCAGCAGCCAAAAGAGGGAGTGAACGAGGGTCGGAGGGGGATCGAAAAGAGTGTTGAGGTTAGAAGGAGAGACGAACAAGAGAAAGAAAGAGAGACGAGAGCGAGAGAGCCGATGAGGAGCGACTAGAGAAAAGGAGGAGAAGGGGGGGGCCACCAGTAACACGTTAGCCAGTTCTGGGCCGTTCTTAGCGCACAACAATTAGATTACATCTGGGCTGTATGGACTGTATGGACTGTATGGACTGTATGGACTGGATGGGGCTGTTTTGAAGATAACCGGTGTGGACAAAGTGAGTTAACCTGAAGAAGTTAGTGACAAGACCGCGCTGTACCATACAGTGACAACGTATTCAATGTGTATCTTTGTATCTTCTCGAATCTCCGCAAGACTGCAAGTCGCCTCCCCCTGAAGCTCTTAAATTAGCACACCGGCAGCTGTCTTCTCCCTTGTCTGCTTCACCAGGACAACCCCGTCTCTTCGACAACAATCTCATCTCCTGCTATAGCTAATTACAGCATGTCATTTCAATTTGTTATGTCTCCTCTCGTTGCCATGACTCTGCCAAAGTAAACTGCACCAAGCAAGGTCAACTGTGAGACCTTTTCTGCTTCGATGGGGCACCACTTTTAGCGTCAGGAACCCGCCCACTTGTCCCTTTTGGGGGGCCAATCAGCAGTCGCGTGCCCCTGAGCCGGAGATGAACACCACAGCCAGCAATAATAATAATACAGTATGTATGTACGGAGTACCTAACTCCGTATACAGGAGGGTTATTATTACTCCGTGTACGAGGGTGTACGGGTACGGATACTATGTAAGGGCCACCAGGGGGAGGCACTGCACTAGGGGCAGTGGATATTGATGATGATGATGATGATGATTGAGAGAATAATTGGCGAAATCAAGGATCACGGATGGGAGCTCCTCAACTGACCTTCAATCATTAGTTCAAGGATCAATCCGACTATTATTATTATCGTCGGGCCATAGCCAGGCCTCGCCTCGCCCCAATAAATGGGTCAATAATGCTAGTCGCGGTCTCGGCCTATCAGGCTATCATTGTTATCACCTTCAGCTTCTTTCCTCCCTGAGACTATCACTACTACATATACTCCGTACTACTGCCATCGTCATTGACCCTGTCACAATTCAGCCCTGGAATGCGGGATCGAGGCGGACGGTCCCCCTCAATCTGAGACGTTGGTGGCTGTTCCCCTCATTCCACTAGAATCATGACAGGAGGAATGCCGCCCACCGTTCTTCTGGGGTCGCGTTTCAGTGATCTCTTGGCAGGGCTTTCTCTACCATAAAGATAGGGCCATGATAGGTCAGGTTCAATTAATATACATAGTGCTAACCCTTTTGATTAGATGCGCAAGTACCCTATGTAAAGTTCGACCAGTCCTATCTCTCTAATGATCGAATGTTCTCGGTCGGATATTGAGACTACTCATTGACATGATAGCATGACAGTACCAAGTGCCGAGTGACTACTGGGCGATGCTTATCAAAACTAAGGATTCTCTCGACTTTCCCGATCGATAGGCTTGCCGACTACCTCTGTACCTTAGTGGGCCAAGCCCATTTACTTGGCGTAAACCCAGTCTTGGCTCATATCTTTGGTATGTATTCAATATTTCGCTTGAACAGCTGCTCTGTATGTTGGTTTGAAATTTAGTCAACGCTGTACTATAACTCGTCAACCCCTCTACATACCATCAAGAGCTCAGAAACTCTACTGTATGGTCAGCTATCATAGGCCTTATCTTCTAGGCGCCAGCACTCGGGCTCAACGTCTAACCCAAGCGCGTAGCGTTCACATCACTCCATCCCTATGTACTGCAGAGATAACGTGATGGCGCTTGCCAGGAGTCTAAATAATATTATGATTAGTTGCTCACAGTTGCACATTAATATTATTGGTCGCTCAGTTCCAGTTCAGAGTGCCGGGCACGTGACTACATACTCGGCATCAGCCACCACGCCCATGACATGGCGCAAAGGTAAACCAAGAGCCTCATGCAGCCCAGGCATCGATATGCCAGTAACGCCCAGTCCAATATCCGGCACTGTGATCGCCTCCAATTCTACGGTTCGTGGAAATGGTGATCTGCGATCTAGAGATGTGAAGCAAGTATGCTTCCAAGAAAGGGACTGGACGGCTAGAACTATGAGCGTGTACGATTGCCTTTTTGTAGCAGTTCATTGATTATTGCTGTATGATCAGGATAGTACCTAGAGATAAAGGGTCAGTAGATACATTATCGGCATTGTGTCTGCCTTTTTCGGGATAATAATGACAGTACATAATGGCACCTCGGCCTAGAGCGGGAGTGCAATATATATCTGTCGAGTTCCGTCCGCTGCAGATTACATTCGCCCCCACGTCTGCCCAACACCCGGACACCATAGACCCATCTAGAAGAGATCAGAGACAAGCATCACGAACCGGCTAAAAAAACCACATTATCCCGTGGCTACAGCAAAATTTTTCCAAAGCTTCAAATTATCCAAGATCTTTGGCCAGGTTCAAGGGACCGGGATGACGTAAAAGCCTCGAATAACCGAGCCAGGCAGTGGAACGCCGAGAATACCCACGGTCAACGTCTCGATAAGGCCCCATCACGACAAAATTTTTCAGCCTAGTGCACGCTGTTATCAAACACATGCTCCGAGAAAGCTCGGCCAGGCACGGACAATCGAGTTGGGCATGTTCGCGGTGTTTCTCTCGGCTAGCCGAGTGGGAGGTTAGGTCGGGATGTGGTAAAAAGTAAAAAGTACGTTTGATGGGTGTTGCTCGGCAAGTGATTCTGACAGGATGGATTGAGTTACTATGTAAGATTGGCCGGCATATATACATTTTACTGAGCATTGATATTGCGAATATAGAAGAGAATATCAAACTACGAGAGAAACAATGGAAAACAGGAACCAGAACTAGAAGCTCCCGTGGTGGCGCGTGGCCCACAGATAGGACGGTGCAAGTGGCAGCGGAGTCCCGCAAAGCCCTGAATTACTGGAACCATGCCAATGAGGAAAAGAGGACCCAGGCAAAGGACCGATGCAATCCGCAGCTTTTTTCCTATCCATCGTAGAAGATATTGATAGTGTCTCCATATTATTTGCCGCTTGGCAGCCATACTGTAGTGACACCCGAGCAAGATATGGGTCCAGGCGAAGGCCGAGAAGGAAGGACACAGATTGTCCGTGAAAAAAACTGGGATATAAACGATTGACGTTTCCCACTTCCCCCTAAAAAGGAAATTATAGTATAAACTCTCCCCAACTTCTCCTAATTTTTATCTTGAGAGCGCCTTTACGTTGGCTACCAGCCATCATGGACTCCAAATGGGATGTAGAGAAAGGCTCAGCACCTGATGCTAGCCCTAATACGACCTCCTCTTCCACAACCCAAAGTGTCGATAATGTTGCCTATCGTTCAGATTCACTATCTACTACAGCAGCATCATCCTATCTATCATCCCGTGATGAATTCGAATATCTATCTCAAGTCCCGACTTCACATTCCCACCGTGTCACCGGCCTGGACCTACATCCTACCGCATTGGAACGCATTGCAACCCAACGAAGCCAACACAATGCCACCGTCGGCGCCAGTCACAAGAAGAAAACAGAAGAGGCAGGTCCTCTTCCAGATTTCGGAGCTGGCAAACCCTATCCACCCCCATTACCCGACAAGGAGGAATACGTGGTCGAGTTCGCCGGTCGAGACGACCCTCTCCATCCCCAAAACTGGCCAACAAGCAAAAAGATATTGACGGCTGTCATCCTGTCTTGGACAACCCTCAATTCAACATTCACGAGCAGTATATACTCTGCTGCCATCGGCACCGTGGCGCACGAGTTCGGTGTCTCAAGTGAAGTCAGCACCTTGGGTTTATCACTCTACGTCCTCGGCTTCGCAATGGGTCCTATCGTATGGGCACCATTCTCAGAACTGAAAGGTCGACGTCTCCCCCTACTGCTATCAATGTTCGGCTTCACAATCTTTCAATTCGCCGTTGCAACAGCCGAGAATCTCCAAACCATCATGCTATGCCGCTTCTTCGGCGGTTTCTTCGGCGCATGCCCTCTTGCCGTCGTTGCCGCCGTACTGGCAGATATCTACAACAATCGCGTCCGCGGCCTCGCCATCGTCGTCTTCGCCATGACAGTCTTCACTGGACCACTAATCGCCTCAACACTGGGCGGATTCATCGTGCAAAGCCTTGGCTGGCGCTGGACCGAATACCTCACCGGCATCATGGGCGCCTCAGCCCTACTAATTGACCTCTTCCTCCTCCACGAAACATATCCCCCAATCATCCTAGTCCACAAAGCCGCCGAACTCCGCCGCCGCACATCAAACTGGGGCATCCACGCCAAACAAGAAGAAATCGAAGTCGATTACCGCGAACTCATCCAAAAGAACCTCCTCCGACCAATCAAGCTGCTCTTCCTTGAACCAATCGTCCTCTTTCTGAGCATTTACATGGCCTTCCTTTACGGTCTTTTGTATCTGTTTCTCACGGCTTATCCAATCGTTTTCCAGAATATCCACGGTTTCGCGCCGGGTGTTGCTGGACTACCGTATTGGGGGTTGGTCGTTGGTGAGATTTGTGGTGGCGTGTATATTATTCTCACGCAGCCGTCGTATAACCGCAAGTTGGATGCGAATGATGGTGTTCCTGTCCCGGAATGGCGTATGCCTCCTGCTATTATCGGGAGTGTTGCGTTTGCGGGGGGTTTGTTTTGGTTTGGATGGTCGGGGTTCAGGGCGGAGATTCATTGGGCTGTGCCTATGGCGTCTGGGTTGATGATTGGATTCGGTTTGTTTTGCATTTTCTTGGGGGCATTCAATTATATTATTGATGCTTATACATCGTTGTAAGTGTGATGAACCATGTCAAACGGAAAGAGAGATCACTTACTGACATGCTATCTTCTACCAGCGCCGCCTCAGCCCTCGCAGCGAACAGTATCCTCCGATCCTCCGCTGGTGCCGGATTCCCTCTATTCGCTCCCGCCATGGTATGTTTTCACACTCTACTCTTCACATTGATACTCAAACAGCACTAACATATAACTACCTATAGTTCAAGTCAATGGGGGTAAACTGGGCGAGCACATTGCTCGGTTGTGTTGCGGTATTGATGATCCCTCTCCCGATCATCATCTACGTCTACGGTCCTAGTATCCGGGCGAAGAGCAAGTTTGCAACCGTCCATCTGGCCTTGGATGGAGACGATGAATGAGTGTATGAGTGAGGGCGAGGATAAAGATAGAGATAGAGATGGAGATGGAGATGGAGATGGAGATCAAGATGGATGACGATGACGACTTTGTTTAGATTAAGATACCCCTTTGTTCAGAAAGTAATGCATCGACCTACCCAAGGTTATCAATAATGTTTCCGAGTAATGAAATGAGGTCTCATATTTAACACGCAGTATTTAGCCACTAGCTCGAAGGCTAAGTAACGATGACAATTTTATCAAAGCAAGATGCAAAGAATTACAAGACAGTAGCACCAATACCTACAAAGTCTGTACATCCGGATATCGTACTCTTGAAAAGAGATCAGCATCTCAGGAATAAAATCTTATTTCGAGGCGTATTCTACATCTTATCAATCAAATACAATACTCAAAACCAACTCAATAATGGCTCCGGTCACCAGGCCCAAGGCCCAGCAAACAAAATAATATGCATGACATTGAAACTCATTGCTCTTCGTCTGGTGGGGTCTTTGCAAACATCATCACAGCTCGGAGCCCCCCTTCCACGATTATTACAGCGCAATTATGAGAATATGAGCTGCGCAAATATATGCAACAGAGACGAACGGGGAAAGAAAAAGGAAAGTGGGAACAGTGCTGGAAGGAGGACTGGAAACATGGAGAAGAACAGAGAAAAGAAAGTAAAAATAAAAATAAAAAAAGACGTAGACCCCCCAGGATGTGCTCGTACAAATTCGGGCGTGTGTGTTTTCACACGGATAGAGAATAAAACAGAAAGAAAAGAAAAAGGAAGTATGAGGTTGGCAATGTACACGAAGGAAAAGTTGTACAGAGATGCAATGGCTTTTGGTTTGACGCCTGACTGAAATAGGGTGGAGTCATTCGCTCCGAGGAGAGTTAGAGGGGAGAAAATTAAAGAAAGTCTGTCGGAGTGAATGGGAAATGAATGACGTGAGAAGGAAAGACTCGTATGATGGGGGTCTCGCAGGAAGTTCCATGCTAGCATAATAATTGAACAGATGAAGGAGAGGGAACAAGACAAGGGATGGGTTTCGGGCATAACATTGCAGGTTGTATTGGTCAATCTACCAGACGGCCTGATCAATGCATCTCAGCCGAACGCAGCCTCGAAGCTTGCAAGGTCGTCATGGGAAGGTTGGTCGAATATCCGTCGGAAAGGAGGGTCGGAGGGAAACACATTTTGCGGGCTCGAGTCAACACCTTCTGCCTTGCGGATGACTTCCTTCAAGGCGCGTGTGACCACCCCAGCCCGGACAACAAGATCGCGAAGTGATTGGGTATCAAAGGGAAGTTTTTGAGTGCGTGGAGGTGGAGCCAGAGAAGAATCCTCGGTGCGGCGACTAGGTTGTAGGATATCGAGGACCGATTTGGATTTGGGAGAGTTCTTGGAAAGATGACCAAGGGGAGACGTAAAGAGCCGGTTTTCAGATTGCGTGTTGCTGTTCCATGAGCTGCTTGGGTGATTCTCCTTGGGCTGCTTGGGTGACGTGGATTGGATTTGGATGCCCTGCTGGGGGCCTCCTTGCCAGGAGTTATCACTGTTGCGCTTGGATGCACTGTTCACACCTTCATCATCCGAGTCGTCGAAGCTGAAAGTGAGCGAGGATGGCGATCCAGGCGGAGACCGGCGGTCATCGTCATCATCAATGGTAGCCAGATTGACAATCCCTTCTGCTTCTTTCCACAGTTCACTCGAAGGACCGGTCACAAGATCCAAAACACTCGCCTGGTGGCGAAGCCGTTTCAGTTCTTGCACGAGCAGCGTGAGCTCTTGTACCTGTCCGAATTGACCTCGAAGGCTTGCCTGCCGTTCGAGAATCGCCTTGGGAACCATCATGCTTTGAGGAGCAGCTTCGGGCTCGGAGCTCTTGGTGTCGTTGCTCGCGGCGGGCTCTTCACTGTCGTCAAAGTCAAAGTCGCTGTCCCAGTCCTCACTCACGCCCTTCGACCCCAAACCCCACGTGCCAAATTTACCAGATGGCTGGCGAGTTTCATTCGCGGGGAGTTCTCTTGCCACCGGCACACTCTGACTCCGAAGGTGGATAGCAGAGGGCACTTTGCGACAAGCTGCACGGCTGCCTCTAGCAACCCCACTTTGCTTTCCATGCATCGTCCGCGGGCGGGCCTCGGTATCCGTTGCGTCACGATCAGGGCGAGCCTGTTCCGACCAGTCGAAAATGTTCATTTTCTGACTCATGTGTGACTCGGCCACAGGTGAACCTGGCTCAGGAATCGCGGACGAGAAAGCGGCGTGCGCTACTGATGTTCTTGACAAAGAACCAGAGAGCGGAGACTGCACTGCAGCGCCATTCGGCTCACCAGGAAGTGCGCCAATCATGCTTGCATTCTCCTCATCACCCTCTGAGATCCAGGTGTCTTCATTGAGGCGGACCTGAGCCACTGAGGAAACGAGAGAGTCAGGGAACAGAGGGGTTTCCTGTTCCAGCCGGGATGTGAAGGAACCGCGTGGGAGGAGGTCCTCCAGAGTGGTGACTTCCTCGTTTGACAGACGGGAACCCGCTTTGTCGAACATTGTCTCAATCTGCAATCCTTTCAACCCACCACCACTGGTCTCTCTCGTGCGAACTGAATCCCAATAATCGGTCATCATATCAGTTTCATATTCGTCACCTGATGTGAAGACACGAGTGTCATCAGAGCCTATGACGGTAGAAGAGGGATCCGAAGCCGCAATGGAATGGCGTTTTGGTTGACGGCGGAGAGAAGAGAAGGTATAACTATCTGGGCGACCAGAATGTTGCCATGCAGACAAAGCAACAGCATCAGATGTGAGTGCACGCTGACCACGCATGCCGATAGTGTAGTCCTGGGAGACCGAACGTGGAGCCATAGGATGATCCCTACCAAACGTCGAAACTGCCAGGCCAGGTGGTGAAAGAGCGAATGGGCGACGGAAGACAGAAGGGTCTGTGATATTACGCCGTTGAGGGGCCTGCGGGGGACTTGGAATTACGCTGTGTAGTTTCGCAAGCTCTGCTCGAGGGATAGAGAATGTCCTGCCCTTGACTCGTTTCAATGACCCAGCACGAGCACGTCCAGGAATTGGAGTACCCGAAGCAGTCACTGTGTTAACGATGATCTTCTTTGGCTCCACATCAAATGAGAATGAGTGCTTATGGGCCGATTTCTCGGGCTGTTGTGGTGATATTAGCGCCGGGGATTCTGGCGCCTGTGGCACATGTGTCGAAGAGGGCGGAGGGGCAGCAGAAGCAACGGAAGTTGTCGGTTCTGTCTGGAATGGATTACGGAACATCACTGGAGTGGCAGGTACCGATTGATCATCTCGTGGCAGAGACGTTCTAGAAGTGAGTGTGGTTGCCAGTACCAAAGCGGGAAGTGTATCCTGCTCGGGTATAATCCGTCGCACCCCCGGAGGTTTGGGGCTTGCGGTTGTTGATATCCTTCGGGCCAGTCTCTCCGAAAAGCCCTCCGATTTTGGGAGCAGGTATGGTATCCAGTCGGTTTGCAGGTGTGTTTCAAACTCTTCGGCCGTGGGGGATTCCATGGAGTAATTACCCGAGAAGCGGGATCCAAAGTCCATCGGGAGCGGCGACTGCAAGCGCATCGACTCTGATCGCTGGTGGCTTGTCGCGGGCCTGCGAAGGGCAGATGCCGGGGACACCGTGGTATTGACGAAGAGGGGATTAGCATTAGAATGTTGTGAAGACGTGCGCTTTACTAATTTATTTGGTGCGCGGCGTGAGCTGGTCGGACGAGGAAGGATTGGGCTCGCCGAGCCATTAAAGGACGGTGTGACAGGGCTGTTAGTCGACGGACTCTCTGTTTGGAAGGACGCCATTGACAGCCGACGCATCCAACTGGTCGAGGGACGACGTGAGTGAGATTCTTGCGACGTTAACGATTCGGCGGGTTCATCCTCGGGGATTCGCAAGGGCGGACTGCTTAGTGTTTGTCCACGACGGCGACGTCTGGCAGCACCAAAGGACATTGATACCCTGCGCAGATCAGGGCCCTGCAATGGATCTTGAGCCGGTCCATCTTGTCCCTCAATGGCTTTTTCTGAGAAGTGTGTCCAGTCTGGTCCGGCTGTGGTTGGTCGAACCAATCGTGAAGTCTTGGGTCGGGCATTGACCGGGGTGGATTGTTCTGAAGGAGTGGCAGGAGGTTGGTTATAGGAGAAAGTCTTTCGCCGGAAGATGCTCGACTTGGAACGTTCGACACGACCGAGAGCCAGACCGGAGGTGGCTATTCCTACTGTGCTGAGGGCACAGAGCTGATCCAGACAGTTGCGCGTTAGTCGAGTGCCCCGGGACAATCCTGGTTTGGATCCGCACGGGTAGAGGAGAGGCTTACCGTGGATATGTGATCCATCCTCAGAGGATGCTGTGGAGCGTGTTAAACACCCTCCAACTCAGCTCCGCAGGGTCGAGGGCTGTTGCGAAGGACATCCCATTTGGTGTTGATGAAGGGGGTAGGTTTCGGGTGCGGCTGAGGCTGTTTTTTCGGGGGTGGAAAATAACCGATTGTCGAGATGGAGGGTGAGATAAACAAAGGTGGGAGAATCTGGGGGAGATCTCCTTTTTGTTGGTAGTGGTGGAAGAGGTTAGACCCGAAAGAATTAGAATTCCAGCAGGAATGAGGGTGAACGAGCGAAGCCCTCTTTTTTTTGTTTCCTGTTGTAAGCCGAAATCCCTTCTGGGCCGTTGAAGGGAAAGAAAGAAGTCGATGACGACTTGGAGAGAGGAGAGAGAGGAGGGGGGGGGAAGAAGTGGAGTTTGGAGTCAACAATAACAAGGCGAGTCGGGGATTAAGACGCTAAGCTCAGCTGGTTTCTGGGCAAATCGGGCGACACGCGAGGAGGGAATCAATAATACTGGGAACAGGACTGATGATTAAATTAGAATGACAGGGGGGAAACAAAGAGTAAGATTTGGAAATAATCATCATAATCAAGGGTGATGGTGAAGATAATGACAACAAAAACAATACCCTCCAAGACTGTACTATACTATTACTATTACTACTATTCTACTTCGTCTTCACTTTTTCCCCTCTCCTCTGGTTGAAAATCCCCCGAATTTCCTCCTGCAACCTGCAAGTCTGCAACTGCAACCGCAACTAAACTAACCAGGACGCACGATCCCTGCGGATTATTGCAAAAGCAACACGATGGACCTGGACCACTGACCCCATCCCTTGCGGCTCACATTGCAGCTCCTCAACAGCTTTAGCGACCGACCTGCTCGTGTCCTCCTGTCGAGCCCAGTCTTGGCTCTCATCCTGAGTGACCAGGGTCAGATATGCCAGCAAGTTGCAACGTCTGGAACTGGGGACAATGGAACTTCCAGATAATGATATCCACAGGAACCTCCTTTAGACTTTCAGATATCAGACTTTCGGACTGGCCAACCCGGAAATGCTTCCTCCTTTACGGACAAGTCCGTCTCTCGGAGTGGGCACCAAGTGGCTGAGGGTCAAAGGAAATTGGGCGAAAGCCATGCGATCCAGAATTCCCCACATATCTCGTCTCGGCTGGCTGGGATCGCGTCTTTTAGGCCCCTTAGCCCTTCCCAGGATCGTCTTAGTCGATCGCAAAGGGCCCCAGTGCGGCCGATCTGAGTCCATCTTGTGTCCACTGGTTGGACCAACCAAGGTCCCGAGGCCCTGGTGAGCGGCTGCTGACCTGGTGGAGAGGCTGTTGTCCTTTTTCTTCTTTTTTTTTTCCTTCATGGGCCCAGAGTGGCCTGGAGCCTTAGTCTTTCAGGTCCTCAGGTCCTGTTCCTGCCCTGGAAAGTCAGTGGGTTATCCTGTCTGCCATGCGCCGCAACGCTGACTGGATGACACTTTGACAAGATAACTGGATGACAGATGTCAGCCATTTCTTTCTTGCTGCGTTAGTCGGCGCGGCTGCAGGACATCTGCTGTTCTGAAACGCTTGCTCGTCCAATCCCCAACTCTGCTGCTGATCCTCAATTGGGACTTCCAAACACACCGCATCAGGAAATTGAACGAGGGAACGAGGCCCTGGCTACGGTTGATATTTGTCGATCACCTTCGACCGAACATGACCGTGGCCGTGATCGAGATTTTGGTCTTTTTCTCGACCTTCAAGCTTCGAGAAGGTCTTCATATCCACTCGATCCATTTTTCGTTTCGGATCCTCATCGTTAATTAACTTCCGTTCCACCGCGATTGACGTTTTTTTTTTCCCTCGGGTTGTTTTGTTTTGGTTTTCCCCTCTCCATTTCCAATGATGCAAGCGGGGCGCCCGTTTCAAGAAAAAAACAGGAACACAATTGGGGGAGCCTACCAGCCTGGAAGCTCCCCAGAAACTAACGGACATATTACAGAGTCCAGACAAACTCCCGATCGAAGAATATCGTCATATCTCTCCACCCTGTAAATGAACTGGAAATCTCCGTGGGTCAAGCGGCGAACGCAAGCGACAATCGGTTCTTCCTACCGATGTTGTGCCGTGTACCTAGTCCGATGGAGGTTTAGCCTTGCACCGGTAACCAGCAACCCAGCCGACAATGCTTGGGAACGCGAAATTGCTGCCGAAAATTTGCAAACCTCGTGCTGCACTCCGTTACGGAGCACGTCTCCTAGAAAGAACTCAAGCCCGATCACTGCCGCTGGGCACCGAAGCCACGAACGCTTGCGGTCGGCATGGCCAATCGTCCCCTTGGAAAGGTCTATAACACTATCTATTATAGCGGTTCATTGGTAGGGGGTTCCTGGTGTAGACAGCTCGTGGCTTACCGACCTATAGTACTGTACTCGTGGTCGACAAATTCGACCTGATGCTTTTTTATTTTCTTCGCTACACCAGTCGTTGGCGAATGTTGGCTGTAAACTAACACACGGGTTCTGGTCTAGCTCTTCTCTCTTTTGACTTGGTAGAGGCCTCTCGCGGGTCTCGATAATGCTGTCGATATCCGTTGTATTAGTCTCGCCTGCATATCAACTGCAGATCGCAACAAAATATCCCCTGCACTGTCCGTATTTATTACAATTCTGCCACCATTATATTTGAATTTTCCTGACTCAATGACCTATAAAAGAAAGTCGATGGATATAAGATCGGACATATTACCCTGGGTATAGCACGAGATTTGAAAGCTATCACTACCAGATCTTCCTGTCCTATATTCAGTCTGGGGCCGTATATAGACTGACAAAAATTACATACTACCAGACCAGAATCTAGAAATAAAAGACAAGGTTGCACTACATGCTAGTAATTCAGTTATCCTCACCCTTGGCCTTATCCTCATCAGACTGTTTGTCGTTGAATGCCTAGCCTGTAGATTTGACATCAATGTTTTAGTTTCATCTTGACATGATGTGATCTTTATGTGGCCAAGTTTTAGTTTATGTCAGTCCCCAAAGAATCAAGTCAGGTGCTACTATAAAAAGAATTAAGATAGATGCATGCAGTCCTGCCGACTCCGAAGCCTATCTAGTCATGGAAGGAGCTTCTTCGGAACTATGATATTGATGCATGAAAATAGAACGTACACTCAGCACAAGATACAATCTGGCATTTCGTATTTTTTTAGCTGCAACTAGAATGTCTTGAAGTCTTCAGGCTGGTCTCTACTGCACGGTAGATCAGAAGCTTCGCCGCGGATGGTGGCGATTATCGGGTTGAGTCGATGAATCCAATAGGAATATGAGAGACCTTAAGTTTAGAGATCTGAATATTAAAGGAATGCAAAGAATTGAGAGATCATTACTAATGTTATTTTATGCTCCTTAGCTTCCAGGATTCTTATCTTGGTCTGTGTAACGGCAGGGTGACATGATCCTTGTCTCCTGCAGGTCCAGCTTAAGCAAACGCTATATGGTAATTCAAAATCTACCCACTGCCACCTAATGATGGTCCTATCGTACTGTGCCTTGAACTTGTAGGTTTCGAGATATACCTCTTTAGGCCATCCAACATACTGTACTATGTAAAAGACTGCTGGATTACTCCTCCCTGAACCTCAACAGTGCCACTATCAGTTGACAGTCAGAGTCTATCTTATCAACAGAGCAGAATCATTGACAGATTTTAATCAGGCATAATGACTCCTCTATAGGTCGTACAAGATGCAAGTGACGAGATCAGTTATCCCCAATCGGGAAACAGGAAGTGATAGCTCCAGAAGTAGTCACGTGACCTTATCGATAACGCACTCGAAAAACACCCCTCTGCGGTCTGCGGCCAAATTACCCCGGACCACGAGGACGTCATTAACGGTATTCAACACGTCGATTCATCCCTCGGACGGAATACATCTGACTACTTTGAGTTGTGATTGATTCATTGAAGAGCAAAATGGAGGCAGAACTCCAGGCGCAGATCCCTGGCCTGGATCATGTCATCTCAGAGTACTCGGTGGTACGTTCAAGATGCTCTGCCGAAGGCAAATTTTGGCAGCAAAGCTAATGATGGGATAGGGATACCTGACCCATGCCTCGAACCTCTATGTTGAAGACTCCAACGCCCAGTCCCCTTTGTCCGAAGCTGCAGAGACCGTGACGGAACTGCTGATCTCCGCCTCTGGAGATTTCTCCACCAAGAACCGCGATACGATCAGCGGCCTGGTGGAAAAATTCATTACATCGCTGAGCTCAGCAAACGGTGTGGATGCCGAGAGGAGACAGATGCCTTTGACAGCCAAGAAGCTCGACCAGGCTATCAATGTGGGCTCCCAGCGGAACATGTCCTCTACCCTGGGCTTGACCGGTACAAACGTGGACCTGGAGTCTGCCAATGCCAGGAAGGTGGAGTCGCGTGTGGACAAGAAGAAGCTTGAGAAGGCTGAGCGGAAGATTCGGGCTAAGCAGGAAAAGAAGCAGATGAAGACTGTTCAGTACGAGGCTTCGCGCTTGCTCAACCAGCCGGATGAGGCCATGTCTTACGAGGAGTTCTTCATGGCTGTTAACCCTCTGCAGCTGGGCTCGGACTCGCAGTCCAAGAGCAAGGATATCAAGTTGGACAATATCGATATTTCTATTGGTGGTCAGCGTATCCTGACAGATGCTGCTTTGACTCTGGCCTATGGTCGGCGCTATGGTCTTGTTGGTCAGAACGGTATTGGTAAATCTACTCTGCTGCGGGCTCTCAGTCGCAGAGAGGTTGCCATTCCGAATCACATCTCGATTCTTCACGTCGAGCAAGAGGTATTTTCACACACCCTTTTTTGGTAGACAACGGATTAACTGACAGTACTAATCAGATTACTGGTGATGATACCCCGGCTATCCAAGCGGTTCTTGATGCAGACGTCTGGCGGAAGCATCTGCTGGCGGAACAAGATGTGAGTCTCCATTCTGGTCATAGGATGGTTCATTTGACTAACATGGGGCCTTTACACAGAAAATTACCAAGCAATTGGCTGTTCTTGAAGAAGAACGTTCTCAAATGGCAGACACTTCTAAGGATGCTGCCAGACTGGATCACGAGAGGGAGGGTCTGGATATTACCTTGACTGATATCCACTCGAAGCTCTCCGAGATGGAGTCCGACAAGGCCGAGTCCCGCGCTGCCAGTATATTGGCTGGTCTTGGTTTCTCCCCCGAGCGACAACAGTTCGCCACCAGGACATTCTCCGGTGGTTGGCGTATGCGTTTGGCCCTGGCTCGTGCCCTGTTCTGCGAGCCCGATCTCCTGCTTCTTGACGGTTCGTGAAATTCCGAAACAATTTCGCCAAACCATGTTGCTAACTTAACACAGAACCGTCTAACATGTTGGACGTTCCGTCTATTACTTTCCTGGCGAACTACCTCCAGGGCTACCCCAGTACCGTTCTCGTGGTCTCTCACGATCGTGCATTCTTGAACGAAGTCGCTACCGATATTATCCACCAGCACTCCGAGCGATTGGACTACTACAAGGGTGCTAACTTCGGTATGTCTTCTGCCGTGGGAAATTTATGTATTCCGCTAACTTGTATTTCTTTCAAGAATCTTTCTACGCCACCAAGGAAGAGCGGAGGAAGAACGCCAAGCGCGAGTACGAGAAGCAAATGGCAGAGAGGGCTCATCTTCAAGGTTGGTCTCATCGCAATCACCGCAAAATGACCTTCATGTTAACTCTCATACTAGCGTTCATTGATAAGTTCCGTTACAACGCGGCCAAGTCATCAGAAGCTCAGTCCAGAATCAAGAAGCTCGAGCGTATGCCCGTCCTTGAGGCTCCGGAGAGCGAATACGTCGTGCACTTCCAGTTCCCCGAGGTCGAGAAGCTCTCACCTCCCATTGTCCAGATGTCCGACGTCTGCTTCGGTTATTCCCCCGACAGGCCTCTTCTCAAGGACGTCGATCTCGATGTTCAACTGGATTCTCGTATTGGTATTGTGGGACCTAACGGTGCTGGTAAGACTACCGTGCTGAAGCTTCTTATCAACCAACTCGCCCCCACAAAGGGTCTGATCTCCGCACACTCGAGACTGCGCATTGGATTTTTCGCGCAGCACCACGTGGATGCACTGGATCTGACGACCAGCGCTGTGAGTTTCATGGCGAAGACATACCCCGGTAAGAGCGATGAAGAGTACCGACGACACCTGGGTGCCTTCGGTATCACCGGTATGACCGGTCTCCAGCGCATGGAGTTCCTATCCGGAGGTCAAAAGTCTCGTGTTGCATTTGCCTGCTTGTCCCTGACCAACCCGCACATCCTCGTTCTTGACGAGCCTTCTAACCACTTGGATATTGAGGGTATGGATGCGCTTTCCGATGCTCTGCAACGGTTCGAGGGTGGCGTGGTTATGGTTTCTCACGATGTGACTATGCTTCAGAATGTCTGCAAGAGTCTTTGGGTTTGTGATAAGGGTACTGTGAACAAGTTTGATGGTGATGTTAAGGCATACAAGAAGATGATCACCGCGCAGGCTGATGCGGCGGGTGTTGTGGCTAAGCACTAAGCTGTGGCACGACATGAAAAAGAAATAGATCATTCAAAACGTATATGATAATGGTCCAAATGAAATCTCTGTCGATCATGAAATTCACATGTACTATGCACTTTCAATAGAAGCCCAGGCTAAAACTAAAGAAAGAGAGTGAAGTAATGCCTTTGCTGCGTGGCTGCCGGGGGGTCCTTACCATCTACACGCTCATCTGTGTTATATGATAGATTGCAGGGCGAAGCATTTATCCAGAGACCAGTGGACTCGGTGGACTCGGTGGACTCGGTTTTGAAGTCACCAAGAGCTTTATGGCTTAAGAATAAGGCACAGAGGAAAGTTTGTGTAGCATGGCAAACAATCAGCAAGAATAGAACAGCCGGTATCACTGAATAAGGAACAGTATAATCTGGTGCCTTAGAAAATCGTTTGCCTCACCTCACCTCATCCCCAACTGGCGCGCTCCAATACAAAAGATCGCTGGATCCGGTTTCATCCTTTTTGTCTTTCCTCATTCACACGACCACCTACCTATCATCCTTATGCGAGTGGATTCACTTTTCCACGACACTGATGCACAATTTCTGAACATACCCTATCCTTATCCTCAACAAGTATATACGAGGTTCCCAGGGCAGTGTCGATGCCCTTACATATCAGGATGAACGGAGCAATGGACAGACAACTTGTGACGAAACGGACCAAGATGGGACCAGACGAGGACATAGAAGTGGTCACTGGCATGAGACGGTCACTTCTCGAGCTTCCGAACGAGGTGAGAAAAGATTCTACGTTGACGTGAATGTGAAGGGGGTGTTCGTCAACTAACATGTTTTGATGCTAGATCCTCCAACGTATCGCAGGCTTCCTTCCCGCGGATCAGGATCTCAGAAATCTCAATCTGGTTTGCAGAGAGCTCCGAGACCGCGTGCTAGCACCGGAATCAACCCTCTGGAGGACTCGCTTTAACGAAAAGTACGATCTCCCCAAGGGACGAAACTACGCGGAGCTCAAAATGGAATACCAGACTCGCGCTATAGTACTTCCCCAGACCATTGATTTCAGACAAGAAGCCAGTGAGCACCAAACCCTTTGGCTCGAGGTTCTGCAGGGAATGCTCCTTGAGTCTCTTACCCTACCACTGAGATCTGATGTATCCAAGACGTACGAGCGAATCCGGGAGACTCTGACGAAGAGTGACTTGCTGGAGCATCCATGGAGGGAGGATCCATCGGAGCGTTTCTGCACAGTTCAACTGGTTGGTTTATCGTCACTACATATTCCATTATGGGAGAGCTATTCGTCTAATAACAGCTACTTATATCGTTTATAGTGCCTTACTTCTCTGGCTTTGACCCTCGATCCTGCGGATGCAACCACCCCAGCAGTCAGGAACAAATGCACCCGGTCCAAATACGATATCGCGACTGTATACTCCCATGAAGACAAGCTCGATGGTCCATTTATAGACCACGAGAATCTTGATCTGGCCCCCTTGCTACACATCCGAAGCTTTTGGCAACGCCATCTCTTGAACAAGGCAGAACAGACTTACCATGAGTCGTTCGCCAGGCTAGCCGAAGCATTGAGACCGCAAGCTCGCAAGGCCAACGGCGATTCGTCAATCCTGAGCGTTTCCTGGCTCGGATACTATTGTACGTTGTCAATCCTAACTCCACCGGATCAATCTAACATTTCGTCCAAACCAGCATGCCTTCATCCAATGCCCGCTAGTCGCAAGGATTTCGAAGACCAAGAGACCTGCGCCGATCTCCGAGGCGATCACTTAACCCAAGTCGAGATCATGGTACGAATCCATCATACCCACCCAGTCCCAACTTTAATCATAAAACGCCATGATACAAACTAACACTATAAACCAGACCCTAGACCTCCACATCGAACCAGACAAACCCTTCTGGCCAGACCAATGCAAGCGCATCATCCCACTCCACGACGGCCCCAACACAATCCGTACATACTTGCGCGGCACCCAGTCAACCCTCAACGGCGATCCCGCCGACAACCCCGTCTTCGGATTCACCGAGACTATAGCGCGTCCTTACGGCGGGTTCCCCGGATGGACGCGCATTTGTTTCGCTATCTGCGAAGAATCCGATGACATCAGCGACCAGGATGATGAAATGGCGATGGTTGTCGATGCTGATGATGGCTCGGATGATACTTATCGTTGGGTTCATGGATATGAGGGTGTCATTTTGCCTGGGGGTCGGATTAAGCTGGGTCGTTGGATGGACCTCAAGAACATGGATGCGAGTGGCCGGGGACCGTTTATTTTTTGGGACGTTTGAAAAAAGGGAAAAAGGGAAAGAAGGGAAGGATGTTTTACAGGCACAGAAAGGTATTTACGTTGGAGGATTGGGAGACTGTATTTAGCCATTTGAGATATAGTTCTCTAGCATAGGCTTGCGAATCGCATATATCTCGGCAAAAGAGAATTTTTCTACCCTGCATGCTTTCATCCGAACACTGTGGTTATAGTGTAGCTGATACCATCTAAAACTGTCCAGTCCTCGAAGACGCGACCAGAGTGTCTTCCCCGAATCAAGAAAAGTTGGAACATGTGAAAAGTATGAAGGGGGTGTTTGAAGTTTATAGGAATAGAAATCTTGACATGAATTATGCGGGAACAAAAGGAATCAATGCGAGAAAAACCAATTACTCCTCGATATCCTTAACCTTCTCCCACTGTCCCTTCAAGTTCTCCTTCCACAAGCTGACCTTGTTGTCACCACCGCTGACAGCAAGAATGTTGCCGCTCAGACTCCAGCTGACGCGCCACAGAACGGTATCGAACTCGAGTGTTTGGCTTGTCCACTGGCCGGGGTTGGAAGCGTCGGAAGTCCAGATGCGGACAGTCTTGTCCTGGGAGGCCGAGGCAATGTAGGATTTGGACAGAATGCTGGGCGACCAGGCTACATCACGGACCCAGTCTGAGTGGCCCTCCAGGGTCTGAGTGAGGTTGTAGGTCTTGGACTCGGCGCTGTGGATAAGTAGTTAGCACATGCGCCTGCTAGCTATGTTTCCTTCTCTCAAGACATACCTATAGTCCCAGATCTTGATGAGGTTGTCGCTTCCACCGGTCACAAAGCGTCTCTGCTGGCCGGGACCAGGGTTGGAGCTAATCAAGCTGCCTGCAAAGGCCGCAGGAGCCCAGCTGATCGAGTTCACACCCATACCGTGGGCGTGGAAAGTCTGGTGAGTCCAGGCATTGTCCCGGAACTCAAGAACACTGACGTGACCATCGGAAGAGGCGCAGGCAAGGAGACATCCGCTCTCGTGAGGGGCCCAAGATACCATGTTCACAGAAGCGGTGTGAAGGGAGAAATCGAAGACCTTGGTCCAGGAGCTGCCACTGGCGGGAGAGGTAGCGTTCTGCGGTTGTTCCCGCCAGATCAGGACCTTGCCATCGTACGAGGAGGAGGCCAGAATCGTGCCGAACTTGGGGTGTGCCTGGGAATGAAACAATCGCAATGGTCAGTCAACTTGCGCTGCACATAGGATATTGGATCGCGCATCCTACTCACCCATGCGACACACCACACAGCACCTTCGTGACTGTTAGGATCATTCCAAGGTCAGCGATCATGGCTCGATATCCCCGCTGACTTGTGATCCATATCGACATGCTTACCCTTTCAGGGTCTCAACCAGGCGGTGTGATTCTCCCTCGATCTCGAAGATCTTAATCGTCTTATCGGAGGAGCAGGTTGCCAACCTGCGGCCGTAGTAATCTAAGCCGGCATCGTGCTGTAATTAAGCCCCATTCGTTAGCTCGATTGCATCCAGCCAAAGTAAGAAGCTCCAGCGATGTCAATTGAAGTCCACCCCCGAGATGGAACCCCCCGTACGTACAATCATGTCTTCGTGCCCCGAATTCGAAATCACTTGAGCGGCCGCCTGGGCAGCAATAGTTAGTGAATAGAATAACAAGCCAGATGAAGTAAATACTGCGCACCATTTTGTAGGGACCCCGTGGGGAAGTAGAAATCGCGAAAGAGTTATTAAAATGGACTGTCGAGGGGAGCTTCGCGAGGCGCCGCTCCAAACAACCTTACCTGGCCGCTTTGCTTATCTTATCGACTTTGGGTCACGTTTTGGGGTCACGTTCTGATTGTTCACGTGATGTGCCTCGGTTTGCGGATTAAAAGAGGGAAGAACCCCACGGAACTCCGCGGTCTTGGTCGATTAGTCGTCGATGAGTCGCATCTGCCTTCTCCTTCCTTTGTTGACTTCATAGATTCCTTTTTTATTTTTTTCATCGTTGCCTCCCTCGCATCTAATTCATCCCGAAACTCCCCTAATATCTCGTTGATTCATCATTTGCAAAGTTGTATCTCGACGACATTCAACGTGACACCATGGGTGATGCACTATGCGGCCCGTCGAATGCGCTGCAGAACTTCCAGAAGAATGCGGCCGTCGACAGAACCTTGCAGCAAGATCGCTTAATATCCAGACAACCATCGGCTCAGGTATGTGGAAGCTGCCTTTACATAGAAAATTCACACAACTGATCTCATACTTCTCAGGGATTCCGATCGCAAAGCCCGCGGGATGGAATCCTGGATCCCGAATTCGCCGCGTTTGAAGCCACCCACGGAGGCCCGGCAAATCTGCCAGACCTGCAGCATCCAGCTCACTTTGGACCTCCAACACAGCATGGACACCCAGGCATGAATTGGGCGTCGGATTTCCAAAACCTACATATCTCAGGACCCGCGCCACCTCAGTTGCATGGCCCATCTATTGCGCCAGCCCAAGCTGGATGGCAAAATGAATTTATGAGCCAGCAGCAGCATCAACAGCCAGCTGCGACACAACGTGTACAGGTACAGCAATTGGCGAATCATACGTTTCAGCCTGCCTTTGCACCAAGCTACCCGATGTACAATGCACAAATGAATATCCCCCAAGTTCCACAGCCAGCTCCCGCGGTGAATGCTGCACCAGCAGAGCAATTCGACGAGTCTGCTTTCGAGGCTGCGTTTGAGCAAGCTCGAATCGACATGGAGGAATTACCTTGGGAATTACAAGAAACCGAAACCACCTTGGAGACCGAAAGTCTCGCCACCGAGGAACCCGCCCAACTTGAGCCCGTCGTGCAGGAGCATGAAGTAATCAGAATTGGAGCCGATGTCACTTTCCCCCAAGAACAGCAGCAAGACACACTCACACGAGACCAAGATGCGGATGATCTTGTACAGACCGCGGCGAACCTTCTCGACAGTCTTCGCCACGAACAAGACCAGAAGTTCAAACAGAGCAACTTCCTAGCACTGATGCGGCGAATTCGTGATCGGGAGGTACGAGTGGAGGGAGACGAATTGCGCGAAGTCAGTAACAACCCGTAAACGGTCTTGACTGTCAAGCGCGACAGAGATACCGGTATCTTTATGACAATCTGTGTGTGTTCACGTTCATGCTAATTAATATCTTTCACAGACCGCGCAATCCCTCCACCCTGGCGGCCGGTATTACCCAGGCCAGTCCCCTGAACCGATCATTCCACACGACAGTACTAGTAAGGAGTCTACCTTTTCCACCGTGCCAGCAACCCCTCATGCCGTCTGACTGGCCAGACCTTCCACCGGAGAATAACCTCGAGCACTTTTTGACCGCCGAAGAAGAATCGCCTCGCCTGGGGACTAACCCGATTGCCCCGAGTTCGCCGGGAGACAGCAATGCGCTGTATGAAGGGTGGATTCACAGTCATGGGTTGGTGGACCGGCAGCGTCCGACCTTTTGTTTTCGAGGAGAGCACGAGGTTTGCTCATGGTGAGCCCAACTTGGGCAAGTGGGTTTTCATGATCTATTCTTATGTCCCTGGATCTCTTCTCACGTCCCCTGATCTATCTGTATGGCCTCTGGTCCATCACTATGTCCACTGATTTGTTCTCATGTTCCCCGATCTATTCTTATGTCCCCGGATCTGTTCTTATGGGGATCTGTTCTTATGGCCCTGGATCTATTCTTATACCCCCTGATCTGTTCTCCTGCCACCCTGATCTATCATTATGTCGATTGATCTGTTCTTCTGGCCCCTGATCTATTCTTACGGCCATTGATCTATTCTTATGGCTTCTGATTTATCTTTACGGCTTCTGGTTTATCATTATGTCCATTGATATGTTCTTCTGGCCCCTAATCTGTTCTCATGTCCCCTGATCTAACTTTATGGCATCTGGCCTATCATTACCCTCCCCTGATCACACATACTTAGTGATATTGATCTATCTCAAGATCTACATGCAATATGAAACGACAAGATGATATTGATATTAATCTGCCCTCTTTCTTCCTTCCCAGTAGTTCTCTCTCTAAGCGCCTGCCACTCCATGACCGTTAATTTTTAGCTGCCCCACGACTGATGGCGTGATACTGACCATTCCTGGCCTGTTTAGACAAACTCTACACTATCTTGCTGCAAAATTCAGAGGCTTTGCCAGAGAACCATGGATTTGATTGGATTCGCATGAACAGTACTTCGGCCCTTGCAAATGGTTTTGGGGCACGTTATGATCACATGATTCCATTGATGCGGCAATGAACAATCGAAATGAGTCCCATTCATCTCTCCATTGGGACTAGTCCCACCTATTCAATCTATTCAATCTATTCAATCTATTCAATCTATTCATTCCATTGAGGAATTTTCTATTGATACAGAATAGAGTTTCTGGGATGCAGCTGTGGCTTTTGACTCATTTTGTAGGAACTTGATTGTTCTCGGCATACTACATGTTATTCCTGAGCCCTGTTCTCCGTAGTGTTCCTGTACTTATATATGTAGATTGTCCGGTCTCAGAATCAAGAGATTCCTGTTATAGCCTCTTGTGTCTTCACCTTTTTATTCCCTCTTTCCAATAGATTGGTGACTTGCCGGCTACTGTTGCTGAAATATTTCGTCATTCTACATACTTCCTCACTCCCAAACAATCGACTACCCAGTACTACCTTGACCAGCGGATCGATTCTCCTACATTTCAAAGCTACAATCAAGAACAACTTCAAGATGAAGCCTTCAGACAACCACCGCCACCAACTACTCAAATACCTCGAAGACCGGGCAAATCGACCCTCCTCCACAGCCATCGCTCCCCCACCATATACAACCAACCCATTAAACACAACCAATCCACCAAACACAATCCAACGTCCAATGATATACCTCCAAGACAGTATATCCTCTCACATAGAGTACGACTGGGATGAGCCAGCCCCAGCAGCTATCTCAATCACAATTGACTGCTCAATCACCATCTCTGGTGATAAGAACACCGTCTCTGTGTCCTCGCCACGAGCTGGTTCCCTGGTGAACGATGCTACCAATCCAAGTATCGAGGCGACCAGCGCCAAGGCAATCGAGAACGGTCAGGAGCAGATGGGTCAGCTCGCTACCACTCTCATCAACGCCCTCAAGGCGCAGGATTTGACTGAGGAAAGTGGTCGCAAGCGCCCTATCACCGTTCAGTTCAAGCGTGGAATCGCTGTCAAGGGAGTTGATAATAAAGTCTGCCTTTGGGATGCCCGCTCGAAGTCGATGGTGTTGAGACGGAATTACTCGGTATGTACCTGTCTTTGTGTAAACATTATATCCTGCAGACTTGATCATTCCATCTTATGGACATTGATACTGGTGTACGTTGATTTATAGCAGGCAGAAACCCTTGATACGGGCGTTAAGGAGAACACCAAGGCCAAATCTGAGGATGGCAGCCAGCCGCCGGCCGAACGCCGTTGCTCCTAGAGTGGCTTTGAATGATAGTTAGTCTATCATGGTGGCTAGAAATATCATTCATTATTCATATCTTCCTCTGTTCTCGCGTGTGGTGCGATGGAATTGGTTTGACAATTGATTCAATTGTACTGTTGTAATATTCTTGAATGCGGACATGATATTTCTATCTTCAGTCTTCTGTTATATGTTACCCCAAGAGGTTGCTATCTCGTCCGCTATACGGACGCAAACTACACAATCCAATAGTGATCCTGTCGAGAATATAAGGATGTCCCGAGCCTTCATACAGCCAGATATTTTCGAGAGCCTTTTTGAAGCCACCGGTATTCTATCAAGGAGCCTGCTATCATCAGGCCCCGTCGAGATCGGCGGACTCCAGCTAAATGAAGAAAAAATGAGGATGGTCTCTAGCAACCGAAATTTGGCAATATCAGCCCCAGCTCCCAAGAGGGACTCCACTGGAAAAGCCCCCGAGCTGCACCCAAGAGAACCCCTCCACTACATCTTTCCTCAAGTCTAAGCAACTAAGCAAGAAAGAACATTCACCATGAAACCGAATCAGCTTATAGTCATATTCATACATTATCTTAATGAAAAAAAAAAAAAAAATCACCGTCTGCACGCCCACCAATGTATCCCTTCAAGAGAGAAAGAAGAAAAACAACAAGGACATAACCAAACCCTATACCCAAACAAGATCGTCCAGTGGCCTTCGACTGATAGGCGAAGCCAAAGACAAGAACGGGAAATTTGAAAAAGAATACAATGTCCACTGGGACCATGAGCCCAAAGGAGGTCCTTGCTTACTCTTATTCTTTAATGCCAACTGCCGAGCAAGCATCAAAGCGATGGACGCAAGGAAATGAACTGGAGGATACATGGGGCGAATGAAGGGAGCTAGAATGATCAAGTCGGTATGTTTGATACCAGATTCCGGATTTCTAACACGGTTTCTCGATGGAAGATCTGCCTCGCTGAGCGTAGACGAGGATATAAGCCGGATGAGGAAATGGAGGAGGAGGGCTATCATTGGCCGCTGTAGGAATCGGTAGATGACGTGGGGAAGACCAAAGTTGGGACGAAAGTGGTATACTTCGAGATCGTGACACGAGGTAATCACGGGATATCTAGGTGAATCGTCCGACGGGGATGTCGTGGCGGTGGAGGTCCCTTGACCATTCTGGAGTGGTCTTGTCTCGCTCATAGAGGAAACCACAGTTGTGGCAAAGAGTCTGGGAAGAAACGAAATTGGTCAGGATGAGTTGAATAACGTGTCAAGGAGAATTGACTTACACGAGGACCATCCGGTCCATCTCGGACTGCCCAAACGGCTGTACCCCAGACCATGCAATTGCTGCATCGCCAGCTTTGTCGTTCCCTGGCTTGACATTAGTAGGATAATCTTCAAACTTGCGTATTGAAACACGTACCAATCTGTAAGAGTGCCACCTCCGCCACCGTACCCTGCGCCTGATCCTGTTTCCGGAGTGCCTCGGCCGCCAGGAGTGCCTCTACCCAGTGGGCTCAGACTGCGGAAGCGACGCTTCCGCTTATTTCGCTCGCCCCGGCCCAAAGGTGTCTCACTATCAACATCAAAGTAGCCACCGCTGCTCTGCCGAGAAACTTCGGGCGTGATGCCTGTCGTAGAAGAGAATCGAGCAGTCTCTCGTCGTACACGTCGGATTTCGCGCTCGCGATCACCCTCCCGCCTCTCAATCTCCTCCTTAGATAGAGCCTCCACTTGAGGCTGCCACTTATCACCCAAAGTCTCGGGATCGTATCGCCAACCAGCCTCGACACCATTCGCCGCTTGGTTGTCGATCTCATTTCCGAAGCCATTGATGAGGCCTCCGCTTTCACAGACCTCCTTCTTAAGCTTCAAGACAGCCTCGTAGATAGCATGTGAAATCGCGCTCACCCATTCTCCACCGAGATGTAGATCGGCGCAAGTGATTTGGGCAAATTCCTCAGCCATGCCAGGAGGATGGAGCAAAGACCACTCAAATCTGTCTGTGTAGAGCTTATTTTGAAGATTAATGTTTAGGTTTATCAAACACCGGTATGCGTCGTCCGGGTTCAGGAGACTGTCGTTCACCAAGGCCTCTTTTGTGACTGTTACTGTAGCCCCGTTGCCCCGGCTATCAGGTGTATCAAAGTTGGTCGCAGCCGGAGTCATGGATACGTCTCGCGAAGCATCTGTCTGTGGGGCCACGCTCGGCGCAGGAATCGAATGGCTGCTTTGAAATAGTGGATGCAATGCCACACCAGCATATTCTTCCAGTTGTTGGCGAATCTGATTGCTGATTGTCATCGTCGTCGCCTGTGGGTTGGGAAGATCGAGATCACGAACAAAGCCAATTGCAAACTCCTCTGGCGTAGCTAGAGCCTCATGGAGGTTCCACAGGAAGGTATCCTTGATTCGGAATGGAGGTAATGGCTCCGGCCGCCGGTATGCAGGAAGGGCCGGGTTGACAATCTGCTCATTGACGCCACGGGGGAAGGGGAATGGCTCAAGGGGCTGATGCGCGGCAACTTCCACGTCAATTCGAATCGGAACCAGTGTCAAAGGGAGTTGCGCTTGAATCTGTAGTTGGTCCGCACATCTGCACAATGATATTCAACGTTAGCATGAAGACCCACAAATAGCACAACCCAAAGAAGCGGCTACATACGCAGGTCGCAACATCCGCTTGATCATCCATTCGCGAAACACACCCTGCACCTCAACAGGCGCATGCACTTCTTTTCCCAGCTTCTCCGACGGCGCCATCATGCCGCCAGTCGACTCCTCGCGCCGCAGACTCCTTAGCCCAGTTGGTCGGCGAGGCCCATCACTCTCATCAAAATCATCATCATCGTAACCGTCCTCGGCATAATTGATCGCCGTTGTACCGCGCTTTGTCGTCCGCGGCGTCGGCCCTGTCTGCACCGGGTAGACAGGCGTCAACAACGCGTTTCCATACTGGCGCACGCGTGGCGGGTATGATGTGATGTAGCCTCTGAGAGGGGACATGTTGGCGATTGATTTCGACTAACACATGCCCCTTCGCGGGAATTGAGGGCGCAAAGAGGGTTCTGTTGTTTGACGAGCGATTGAAGGGCTGATCAGACTCGGGGAAGTCAGGAATGAGTTGAAGCAGGATGTAGGAGCAGAGGAAAATGTTGGAAAGTAAGATGAAAAGCTCAACGAGTCCCTAGAAGATGTGAAGTCTGCCCTAAGATGGCATTGAACAATAATTCACCTCACTTGGGATTCTTTTGCGCCCGTCGCGTTTTCCCCAATCGAGCGAGACGGGTCCATTCCAAGGTCACGTGACTCATATATGACTGCCTGAGGCAGGAAACCAGAACCTGTGATAGACGATTAGTCGTCCCCAGAATACGGAGATACGGAGTCCTGAATATGTAGTAATTGTCATGGGAACGCATCATGGATACGCATAAAAAGGATGACGGTTATTATTCAATTTTTCTGTTTCGTATGATTGGTCCAAGTTTTGCAGCAGCATAAGTGCGGTGGAGAGCAGTGTACAATATAGGCTATAACTACTGGAACATCAAGACCAAGTGGCAAAGAACACCAGCCCCGCTGCTGCTAAATACAAGACTAAAGATGTACTGGAATGATAATCACTGTCGTATTTGAAGATTGTGAGAAAATGAGGGGGTGACAAAAACGTGTTGGCGACGAGCCAGTGGATCTGGGTATAGGTACAGATGCAGCAGAGAACAAGAAATAAAGGAGGAAACGAAAATAATTGCAAATGGCGATGAGATCATCGCAGGCCAATGACACTCTATTAAAAAGAGGTTAGCTATTTGAGCATCCATCTGAAATTCAAAGAAAAAACTTACCATTTCGAGCGTCCACACCCTGCGAATCCAGACCTTGACCTGACCATCTACACCCTCAACATTGTCAAGGTCCACACCCTCCCACCAGCAGCGGCGAGCGGGCTTTCGCCAGAACAGCAGGAGTTTTTGGGCCATGCCGACAGCATTGTTGTTAGAAAGATCACCACGGATGTCGGTACGAAGCTTGGCCAAAGCCAGACTGCAGATCACCGCCTTGTTAGGCTCTGGGGCGCGGTGGCCCCAGTGATCCTCGCGATCAAAACCACTGGTTAAATTAGTAAGAATTCATGTACTGGCGCGAGAAAAAGTAGAACATACCCTGCTGTCAGCATCTCAATGAGGTGCTGTTCAGTTGAACCAACCTCCTCACTCTTGCGCAGGCCGGAGAAAATGCCATCCTGCTGTAGCAGAGCTCGGCCAGCAGCACGCTTGACCTCGAGCATTTCTTCATGGCCGATTTCCGGACGAGGGGGGATGACGTAGAAGTCGAGATCTTCACGGAGAACGATAATCCCAGCGCGATCCTGGAGCATGTCCCGTGCGGGATTTTGCATGACATCGGGAACGTCTAGGTCAGGGGATGTCGACGCAGAGGGCAGTGACGAGGGAATTGATTGCGCAACCGATCGGAAGAAGTCTAGCATGAATTGGAGAGATGCTGGGTCATACTGCAAGCTGTTAGATGTGTTCAAAGATACCCCACCCGCTCATACTCATGCGCGTGCACTTACATCAACTGGGTAGATATCACCCTCGTGGAAACCGCCCATGTGACCGTCTGGAAGAAGGCCATTCGGGAACAGAGACAGCAAGACGAACTCTGGTAGCGTCAACAGCTCATCTCGTGACAGTGTGAACCGGGTACCCCTATACATGTCATCAGCATCGCGTCCAATGCGGAGATACTATACGAATAGGAGGGAGCACTAGTCGCGTACCGAAGGTCTAGAGTGATGTGTTCATCACCACCAATATCTGTATGCGAAGAGACAAGTTAGTCTGGTTGCTTGTTGCGCAACTCCGCACGTCAGAGTAGCACCTACCTCCGAGAGTATTGATGGGCGGTCCACCAGTCTGCTGGACCTGGGTGATGATGCTAGAAGCTCCTCCTGCCGCAGCCATGGTGTATGCAAACGACTCGAGTGGACTGTAGCCTTCAGTGTACGGCGGCGGTGGTTCCCCGTCGTCGGTACTCTTGCCAAGCCCGTCCCCCTTAGGATCGGAGAAGGATGCTTTGGTGTCTGCGACAACGGCCGACGAAGGGGCCGAATCGAGAGGCTCCTCGACAGGTGGTGGCGGCGCAAAAGCTGGAAGAGAAGCGGGACCGGGGGACTCGGTGAGTTTAGGGCGACTGGACTCGGTCGAAGCGAAGAGGGCGGAGAAAGGTGGAGGGCTGACAGATGCGGAGCTCGAGGCAGATGCTTGGGAGGGCGAGTGCGGTGGGGGAGCAGTGTAGTTGTCGTCCTCCACGAGGGAGTCCGTTGGGATAGGCGGGTGCGCCGTGGTTGATGAGTGCTGCGAGTGTGTTTTGTCCGACACGATGTGGCCGTTCAGATCAGACCCAATCGCGACAAGGCGGCTGGTCTGATGGCTTCCGGACTTGCGTCCTGAGGGTCCGCTTTGTTGTCGATCAGGAGACTCACGATCACCGGGATAGAAGCCCGCGCGCGTTTGCAGATGTATATTAGGAGCCAGTTGAGCAAGGTGGTCAATGATGACGCTTTGTACACTGCAGTGATGCTTTGGTGGCGAGCTGGTAAACGGAGGAGTTGACTAGCTGAGAAGAGGAGGTGAAGACGGGATGGGCGCTTAATTAGACTACTTGATCACGTCGGCGGTAAGTCCAGCAGACCAACGGACCGCACCTTGGTCTAGTCTTCTATGGACCGCAAGTGCACAATTAGTATTTCTGTCTTTTGATAAATAAAGAGACACTGTATTTCATTTTACAAAACAATAAGCTAGAACTGAGTCGCTGATGGGTATTTAATATGTTTGAGGTGATATGCTAACTATGTTTTGAGTATTATGCGACTCTTTGTCCTCGGTGCTTAATGCTTTACACTTTGCGATCCACGAAACTCTGGATCATACCCTCCAAAGTCGGCTCATATTCCTTGAGAGTCACCTTGTCTCCATTCAAAATAGTGTTGGCCTGGACAAACACCTTGCGAGGAACCTTGTTCTTGAGAACAACCTCGCGCACCTGCGATCCCCACCAGCTGTCAACTGAGGTGATCTCGTCATACATGCCCTTACCAGCCTCGACATCGGCAGTGCTCTTATAAACGTGCAGCTTCTGCAGGTATTTCTCAACAGCAGGCCGACCGTGGCTCAGAATCTTGGACCGATCTAGGAGGATCTCCAGATCCGATAGATCTTCCTTGGTGTAAGACAACTTGACAAAGTCGTCACCAGCACCAAGGAATGTGCGCAGAATACTGTATCGGGCCTGCATGTGAGCCTGTCCCCACTTCTGGGTCTTGGGATCCCAGAACTCCAGAGCAATGAGACCGGCACGAGCCATCTGGAGATAGGCAGCATAGAGAACGTCACCGGCCTCATTGGTCATGTCCTCTTTGCCATCGCCAAAGCCGAAGATCTTGAGAATCTCAAAGTCACAGCCCAAAGCCATAGCAACACACTCGGCACGGCACTCCTCATATGAAGAGGCGATAGCACCGAAGACCGAGCTCCAAGTTTGACCAGGCTTGTACCAGGTAGACACGGGCTTGCCAGTCACAGGGCTAATAGGAGGGTTGGAGATATCGAAGTTGTATTCTCCCGGGGCAGTTTCCTGCAGAAGCTTACCAGTACCGTGGCCCAGCAGCTCATGGATACCGACCTGAACTTCAAAGGCGGGGTCACGGCAGCGGCGGAAGACCTCCTGGTCCTTCTCAGCGATGAAAGGAATGGGCTCATTGGGGGCCTTTGCGCTCAGAACATTGCCAAGGGAGACGTTCTTGAAGCCCAGGTTCTGGCGGATATCGTCGTAGTTGGGAAGGTTAATGCCGGCGGGAAGACCAGAGCAAGCAAAGCTGAGGACTTCTAGGGAGGTGAAGTCAGGGCTGAGGAACTTGTCCTTCTCGAAGTCGGTTCCCCAGGGAAGCTTGGGGATCATGCTCTCGGCACTGTCCACTAGAGCGCCAAACGCCCGAGTTCGCTCCAAGTTCACCTATAAACGAGAAAAATTAGCCACCGAGCGTAATCGATATAACGGCCAAGGATTTGACAATCTTACCAGAGCGACAAAGCCCTCCCACTCTCCACGCACACCGTGGGGATCACGGTAGGTCTCGACGAAACCCAAGTTCGTCTCCAAGGCAGGCTTCTGGTCCTTGACCCACACACGCTGGCTCTCCTTGAAGGCCTCAATAGATCCAGCACCAAATGAAAGTGCATATGCGTCCAACATCTTCTTCTGGTTATCATTAGCCGCGTTACGCTCAGCCAGCTTAATGTTGTGCGCAATCTTAGCCATCTCCTCCAGGTAATCTCCAAAGACCAGACGCAGGGTCTTGCCCTTGAGAGCTCCTTCAAGCTCAAAAGTTTTAGTCTCGCCAAGATCGCGGTCTCTCACTGGAGGGTTAGAGACTCCAGACGCAATCAAGAGTTCGAAATCTCCCGAGGCCGTCTTGCGAATTCGGGTATTCTCCAAAGCCAGACCCTTCTTCTCCATCAAGTCACCGACAGCCGTGATTTCATCCTTGGTAATCGTGGGCGAATCCGGATAGTAGGTAGTCATATGACCACTGGTAGGGTAACCCAGGTGCATCATCGATTGCTCGCTGGTCTCGTAGATACCACCACCGGTGCTATTTGCCTTCTGGAACGCCGCCTTGGTCTCTGGCGTGCTCGATGCCAGAGCCTCGAGGGCAGCGGCGGGGATCCGAGGGATGAACTTGGAGTCACCAAAGCCCTTGTAGTTACCGCAGTTACCTAGGAATTGCGCAGCGTATTCGAGGAAGAAGCGAAGGTGTTCATCGCTGACCTGAGTCTTTTGGGCCAGGCTATTCCAGTCGCCATTGCAGGCTCTGTGAAGGGTGAGAATAAGATCGTAAATGGGTTCCGACTCGGGGGAGACCTGGCGCAAGGTCACACGAGTGCCTTCGAATGCGGCCCTATACACATCACACCCTTCCAGTCAGTTCAATGTTGCGGGCAAATCAGCCACGCGCGGGGAACACTCTACCTGCTCATGTAGTGGGCATATCTTCGAAGGCTCTCATCTTTGAGAGTGTCAAAGTGCGACTTGATTTCCAGACGGACCACGCTGGGCGGGGAGTCGGCCAGATAGTGTTGTTTGACGTTTTCATCCATGATGGGTGTTCGAAGGGAGTGGGAGATGGAGAATGGAGAGCGAAGCGCGGGCAATCGGGGTGCAAGACGATGATTGAGGGGTAGCGGAGGTAATACGGAGCTCCGGGTAAGCAAACGCGGCGCAATGCCACGCAATGAGTGCATGGAGGGTTTGAGGGGTCAAGGTAACTAGCTAACTAATAGCTATGAGCCTATGACTATGACATCGACATCGAGAACGGGCCTGGGTTTGCCAATCATTAAAGGCTCCGCCCGCCAGCCGACGCTACGCGGCCAGGCCATTGCTCCACTAGCTCCATATCGCTTGGCTTGGGCAGCCGCTACAAGTTGCAAGCGGGTTGGTTCGGTCGCACACAATTGAGTTACACTAAGGATTACCGTCAAAGTGTTTACAAGGAGTGAGTTGTCTTGGAACAGAAAATGCTATGCTGCTTCATTTCGAGATGTTTCTATATACTCGTCTTCGCAAGCAAATTGCACAAAGTGGGGGTATAATCAAGAAGTAGCCACATCGGGTATTCGTCAAAAAACAAGCACGAGACCACCCTTCTTTACAACAAACTCTCATACTTAGCTAATCCTTGTTTTTGAGGCACCTGGGGCTGGGGCTGGGATTGGGGTTGGGGTTGGCTTGCGAATGGCGCGGGTGTCGTGTTCATGTTCAGCGATGGTGATCTCATGGCATTGGTCGCACCCATACCACTTGGTGGAGGCGGGATAGAGAAAGCGGAATAGTTGGAAGCCTGCTGCGACAATGATGTTGGTCTTGACAGGGAACCATTGGCAGCTAAGCCAGACAGCGATGCCATAGATGGGCTCAGTCTGTTTGCTCCCTGGGGCTGAGCACCCCAGGTCGGAGAAGATGGCTGCATAGTTGGGAATGATGGAACTGCAGGAGACGTTTGTCGTGCAGGCTCCAGAGATGGGAAGGAGCCGAGTTTTTGATCTGGTGTAATAGATCGGAAACCGAGTTGGCCAGATGACAATTGACTGGATCCAGTGGCATTGTTCATAGACCATGAAAGAGCGGGTGTCGGCCCTTGTGGTGCAACGGGCTCGGCATCCATGCCACCCCAAAGATCAACATCTTTGCCATTAGCGGACGCAGCATTCTTTCCAAGCACAAGACGCTCAAAGTTGTTTCTGGCACCGTCCGTATCAGGCGAAGTTGGATCGATGGCTGATGGCGTGAAGCTGTTGGCGGCAGTTTGAAATCCGCCCGAGTCTCCACCGGAGGAAAGCTCTTGTAGCTTCCGTGTCTGCTCCTTTTCGATTTTGGCAGAGAGAGATTTGATCAGAGTCATAAACTCATTGAATTGCTGGAGGTTCAACAAGGGGCCGAGACTGAAGCCCCAAAGAACAGGCAAGACTTCGAGGGCGAGGAAGTCTGTGTCTGCAACCTTTCCAACTTGTCGGAAAACCTTCATGGCTGCCATCATGACTGAAGGCTCCTTTGTTTTGATGGCCTTGAGAGACGGCACAACCTTCTCTTGAATAGTATACTTGTCTAGAATGGATGACTTGGTGGGTTGTTTGGGTTGAACAGTACCGTTGAGGTCATCGTCCAGTCCACCGGACTCGTTTGGAGAGCCACCACAGAGGATACTGAAAGCCTCCAGCCCACGAACTTTGATAGCAAGGCTGCTAGTGCGACTAAACGTAGCAGCAATAGGCGGGAATACTTCGTTTTTTACAGTGCTAAAGTCAAGCACCGGAAGCATGATCGGAAGGCATTTAAGAGATGCATCAACCAAGGAATGAGTGGGTGAGTCCATGCCCAGGCGAATCAAAGGGAGTATGTCTAGGGAATACAAATTAGCAATGTTTAGACGAATTCCTTCTCGATATCTTACCATCTTTAAACTCTACGCCTGAACAGTTGTCGGCAATGAGCTTCATATTATCCAATACGACCATGAGACCTGCATCTTTCTTAGAATCCCGTTCTTGAGATCCTTGTTTGCCCGGTCCCATTCCAAATACCTCTTTGAGGCGGGGGATAATCTTCTCGGGCAAGGCACGACGCCCATTTGGAATACGTTGCAGAATTCCAAAGACGTTCTGTAGAATAAGTGGGAGAAGTTCACGGTCTTTCATTTCGTCCAGCAGGGCCCCCAAGAGCTTTTTTTCCAACACCGATGCCGGAAAGTCTGGAAGAACACGCTGGAGCCCGCGAAGGAATTGAGATTTCTCATTCGCATTCTTAGTCGGTAAAGACTCCAGAAATCGAATGGTGGACACCAAAACATTATCAAAGTACTGAGACTGCTGGAACTCCCGAGCATTCATGCGCTGCGCGGGTCGTCGGGTAATTAAACGGGGCAAGACATGAGACAAAACATCACGAGGGATGGTTTGAGAGCAGAGGTAGTTGTTGCTCTGAGAGGGAGTGGTCGATGGAGAGCTCAATAGCTTCTTGTATGTCGTCAAGTTGGCATGGGTTTGAAGAGGAGAGACATGCGGGGAATTATAGAGAGCAATGATTATCAGACCCAGGGAAAAGAGATCCGCAGCAGATGACACGTTGGAGTCCAAAGCAAAGTCCGGGGAGGTGTAATCCATGTTCAGTTGTACGGAAGCGGGCAGTCTGGGGTCCTGATAAAGGACCTCGGAGACAGCCAACGGAGGGAGCGTTGACTTGGTCTCCGAGGAATCAGGAGGACCAGCAAAACCGAGGCCGGAGATCTTCCAATCGGACTTGGAGTTGATATAGATGGCGTCGGGATTCAAATTACCATGCACTAAGCCCGCAGATTCATGGAGGAATTCCAAACCCTTTGCAACCTGTAGCAATCCTTTTTGAATTTCCAACTCGTCGATTTCCAGGTCCCGCCGTCTTCTGGTACCATCGGCCTCTTGGACCATGTAGCGACTGGGTCGCGAACCCGAACCCGACGCGCCCTCTTGCTCATTTTTATCCAGAAGTAGTCCTGATAAAGAAGCGGTCAAATGCTCTGTTGCGAACATCAGACCACCATTGCGCGTCTCTTCCACCGGTTCCAGCACCTGTAAAATGGACGGGTGTCTTAGACGGGCCAGGTTGCCGGCTTCCCGTTTTAATCGCTCAATCACATCGTCCTGTAGCTTCTTCGAAGACGACCCGGAGCGCCCAAATCCGCCGGACCGCGGCTCCAGAACCTTGCGATCGAAGATGAACACGGATGCCTCGGTGCCCGTGGACTTTTTCTTTGCATCATGGATTTTCCAGGGGCCCGAGTAGACGGTGGGATGTGGAGAGATCTGGTAATTCGCGGAGATGTTGGAGCTGAACGATTTCAGCGCGTTGGAGAACATATTTGGCGTAAATGGGCCAAAGGAGTGGCAGTCATCTAAGACTGAGCTGCGTCGGGCAACGTTGAAGCGATTCACAATGCGATGATTGGTCGAGTCGCGGCGCAAGGCATGACTCGGTCTATGCCTATGTATGATGTAGTCCAAGAGAGAATGATCCTATCTGGCGTCAATTGAAGCTCTGCAGCTTGCAGCAAGCAGTTCAATGGGCGACCGCGGGACAATGGCGCCTCTGATTACCTCGAAGCTCCAACGGGGCTGCGATAACAATGTTCCTATCGCGGCGGGGTCACGTGTTGTCATCGCCAGCTGTTCAAGTGCCTAAAGAACTTCAACTGCCTAAAACGCGACCGATGAGCAGTGACTAACCAATTCCGGTCAGGTGATCCGGCGGTTTGCGTCGGCGGATTTGATTGCGGACTGAAAGTTCAGGCCACTCATGGGTCCGAAATCGGCGGGGCCGACCAATTGAAGGCTTCTGATTGGTGCAGTCGGATGCACGGCGCATCTGAGTCATCACTTATCAGCCTCAGCCACCTTCAAAGGCCGGGCGGTGAAGCGGAAACTCGCTGTAGGGCGTACCGGGGAGTTGTGCCTGTCCTCCGCAAAAAGTGCCGTGCGGAGTAGTCATCGCGCATTTAAAATCCGTCAGTGTCGCTCTTATCATCCCCCTCAAATCACCTGAGCCGACACTCTACATCCAGCAATGAAGTCTCTTCAGCAATTGACTCGCCGGAAGGCGTTGACTGGCCTTGCGACCCCTCGCCTGGCCTCACAGACCCTCGCATCCCAGAGGTTATGGCAAAGAAACTTCGGCGTGACAGCTTCGGCCGCGTCTCAGCTTGCTGCCCTGGATGCCTCCAAGCTGTCCATCACCAAGACCACAACTCCTAAGGAGCTGACTCCTCCCAAGGACCTGGTCTTTGGCAAGACCTTCACCGGTAGGGCTCTATCCTTCAATGCCATCCACGCCCGATCGCTAATTGAGTCGCAATTCAGATCATATGCTCACCGTCGAGTGGACCGCTGCTGATGGCTGGCACTCTCCTCAGATCGTCCCCTACCAGAACCTCAGCCTGGACCCCTCCACATGCGTCTTCCACTACGCTTTCGAATGTTTCGAGGGAATGAAGGCATACAAGGATAAGAATGGAGGAATCCGGTTGTTCCGTCCCAACAAGAACATGGAACGCCTGAACAAGTCTTCTGCGCGCATTGCTCTCCCGACTTTCGATGGCGAGGCCCTGACCAAGCTGATCGGAGAGTTTGTGAAGTTAGACGATCGTTTCATTCCAGAGTGAGCAATGTCTTGGGCTTTCTGATTTAGGACCATTCAAGGCTAATTGTGATATGACAGTGCTCGTGGCTACTCTTTGTACCTGCGCCCTACTATGATCGGTACTCAGAAGACTCTGGGCGTTGGTCCACCAGGATCTGCCCTTCTGTTCGTCATTGCTAGCCCCGTGGGCCCTTACTACCCCACTGGTTTCAAGGCCATCTCCCTCGAGGCCACTGATTACGCCGTTCGTGCCTGGCCCGGTGGTGTTGGTGACAAGAAGCTCGGCGCCAACTATGCTCCTTGCATCCTGCCTCAGCTCGAGGCTGCCTCTCGTGGCTTCCAGCAGAACCTGTGGCTCTTCGGCGAGGAGGAGTATGTTACCGAGGTCGGCACCATGAACCTCTTCATTGCCATCAAGAACAAGGAGACTGGCAAGAACGAGCTGATCACTGCTCCTCTTGACGGTACCATTCTGGAGGGTGTTACCCGTGACTCTGTCCTCGCCCTTGCTCGGGAGCGTCTCGCACCTAAGGGTTGGGAGATCTCCGAGCGCAAGATCCGCATGGCTGATGTCGCCCAGGCCGCTGAGGAGGGTCGTCTGATTGAGGTCTTCGGTGCTGGCACCGCAGCCATCGTCAGCCCTGTGCGCAGCATCAGCTACCGCGGTAAGCTCGTGGACTGCGGTCTGAAGAAGGATGAGGAGGCTGGTGAGATTGCTCTCCAGATGAAGAACTGGATTGAGGGTATCCAGTATGGTGATGAGCCGCACGCTTGGAGGTAAGTTCAGTTTCGGGAAAGAGATGATATTGCGGTTGTGGATGCTAATGAGTTTAATAGTTATGAGATCTAAGTATAGATGAGGGTACATTCATAAAGACGAAGACTGGGCGTCCATATTGGGATATATTTTTGATACCACTCCTACAGCCCTGCCCGGATTCGATGCATTTATATCGCATTCCTTATTTCTCGAGCTTTGATGTTATAATGTTATCCAAAAGCTTTGAGCTCTAAGACATATTTTTGTTGATTGGACATTTTTGTTGAGGTCTGCCCGTTCTACAGCTGGAGGTCTGCATCAACCTTATAGTGGCGACCGTTATTGCCTTCCTATTCCGGGAAACATTGAAATACAGTATACTATCGATGCTTTAGCTACCATTTTCGCTTTCGATTGTAGTTTTCTGGGTGCCTAAAGAACCAGCCACATTTATTTGGAAACCGCTTCAACACGAGCTTCCATCTAGGCAGCAGCCACATTCCGCTCCCCGGAGATAAATACGCATCATGATCAATTCGAACCTCTACAATTTTCATTTTGATGCAGATGTAATGGCAGCAAACGATCTTTATGACAGGACTTCCGGAGAGGAAGAGCATATTCTTCCTCTGCCAAACTACAGACAACTAGCCTATGCCCACAACGGACCTCCCACATCTCGGACAGTGATTATATTCTTCCCTGGCCTCTTTGGCATCGGACGCGCACCGCGAGTCCCTGAAACATGCCGCGAGCTCCAAGCACATTTCATCGCGCCGACCCTCCCAGGAATGGGAAATACCAGCACCCGCGACAAATCAGTGCCCTACCAAGTCTCACTCGCCAAAGACATAACTGCGCTCCTCTCCTACCTCTACCCGACAAATGAGTTTGATACTCTCTATCTATCCGGCGGATCTTACGGCACTGTCCCCGCACAGATGCTATATGGAGCTTCCTATGAGCTATTCCCCGCCGGACGCAAGATCGCAGGCTGCCTGTTGATTGCTGGCTTCTCTCCGCTGAAATACCACAAAGGTTATGCGAAAACACTCAGTTGGCAGAATTGGTTTTCGTTTGGTCCGCCCACGCAACTCCTCCCTTTCCATCTTTTACAGTGGTTATTTCGGGGTATTATTGGGTCGCGCATGGGTACTCAAGATGGCGCTGAAGCGTTTCTACGTCAACAGATCTTCAGTAAGATGGACGACGGTGAAAGATCTAAATTCAAGCAGTGGCTCGACATAAACGACTTGAGCGAGGATACGTTCATCACACAAATGGCTCGTGATACTCTCAAATCCAACAAAAACTGGGATGGATTCATGGAGGTAGCGGATGTGTTGCATTCAGATTGGGGATTTGAGCCCGAAAAGCTTGATGATGAGCATGTGTCGAAACCTGTACTCGTTGTCGGCTCAAGCGCTGACGATCTCGGTGGAACGAGTAACGACTGGCTTGTGCAGAATTATAGGTCTGTGAGGCTGAAATTATTGCCTGGGGGTCATATTTCGGCTCTGTTCTATATGGATGAACTGTGGAAAGAATTGTTTGATACTGTACTGAGGACATGAACTTTCTTTCCAATTGTCGGGAGACTTGGAATAAGCCTTTGAATACGGAAGTAGCCATGCGTATCATGTACAGTGGGATTGCACGAGTTTGAAACCATGGCCAATATTCAGAATTATTTTGTCAGTCACAAATTGGATAGGCTCAAAGATGATACCCAAGCGATCAAGAAAGCCGATTGAAATGACCTTTAGAAAGATCTTTCAAAAAACCAAGAAGTGCAAGCATGTCTATTAGGTGGTTTCTCTGGTCTCTAGACTCAAACTTTTGAACTATCACTGTAACTAGGGTCTGAAAGAGTGTCTCTATGTCTGCCGATATGGAAGGCGATGCCAATACCGGCCGGTACCGTAGATATCTGGAAAGACGGTCTTGCCTACACGCTTCGGCTTGTTATAATTTAGGGCATCCTCAGCCTTCGCAAGATTACAAGGCATCCGTATTTGTTATCTCCTCGGTGTGGGTATGCTAAATTCATCAATTCTTGCGTCATACCTACTCTTCATCTTTTGTATACTTCCTTAGCGTGGGCGACATCCACGGATCCCTTAGTCCTTTGAGCTGAGTGAACACGGGGGTGTCCGTTATGAACAGCTAAATCGCAGATGAGCTGCTCCTAACGTCATAGACTAGAAAATGAATTTCTAATAGATCTGAAATTTCAAACCCACCACCTGTGCTCACGCCTCGCCAACAGATTTTCCAATCCAGACTACAAATCAAGACTTCCCCCAAATGCCACGCTGTCGAATGTTCTTCGGTGGCCTGGCTCGTCATTACAACCGTGCCTTCGATGACCATGAGGAAAAGTATAGCCTTATCCAACACGAAGAGTTGGTTTCAAGCCAAAAAGCCAGTAAGAAACGAAATGGCGCACATCCTAAGGCAAAGATAAAGAGATCCGTTCGGAGAAGACGGCGCATAGCCCGGAATATGTGCAGCACCCTACCCGTCATCGGCCCTCTGCTTCTTCGAATTACCGGAAATGAGCGCATCACAATTCTTTCGCTAGAGGATAGCCTTTTGGCCCGTATCAATCAGTATCTTCCACTGGTCGGTCAAGTTTGTTTAGCTCTCACCTGCAAGAGCATCTTTTCCCGATATCAACCATCCGCCAAACACCGTTCGTCTCTTCCTCCAAAATCAACGAAACTACACCTTCCTCTCTCGTACGTGCGCAGCAACCATAAGACACGAGTTAAACTACTCACTCGACTGGATAATTCCCGGTGGGCGTAGTGTGCGGAATGTCTATTGCTCAAACCACGGAAGAAGTTCATGAAAGACGCACTTCGGACATCTGCCCTGGAGAGGCGTTGCACGGAATACGACGGAGTAGTAGAAATTTGTCCATGTTCTCCTCTGACTCTTCGAGATCGGAGAAATCTTATCAATTTTCTGCAGTCTGATGACAGAGATCTTGATGGCCGATATGGCTGTTATAGGCTTTTGCTTGATGGGGAGCCATTCCTTGAAGATCGCTGTCCATTTTACTCGAAAGATGGCCGTGAAGTCCGATTAGGGACGGAAATTTATGTCAGTTTTTCGGGCAGCTTGATGGTAGATGCATGGTATTCTTTGCGATTGTCCTCGGTCGATTCTACCCTCACGGCCGGTCCTGTCTTCGCATGCCCACACGTGGACCTGATTCCTCTGGACCACAAGACTGACAACTTCACAAGATGCAAGAAGTATATCACTCATATTTGGAGAGAACCTGAATCGGTGGATGACTCTGATTTAGTGGCATTTCGCGTGAATCAGGCTCTTGAGTGGGGATATAAGCGGGCGGATATTTCTGGCATTCCCGGTGTCATGACTATGAAAATAGGGTTGGGAAAAAGTCAAAGAAATTGGTATGGGCTTACTTGCTTCCACTTATAAGTGAAATCCTCGACTAACATTGCTTTTGGTTTAGTTCCAGTCATCTGGATGGAGGGACGAGTCACCACTTCTTTGGGCTTTTGCAACAGTGGCTTCCCAGGGCTAATTTGCCCAGTTCCAACGCTGATTGCCGCAATATAGGATGTTCGCACTTCCAGCTGGAAGAATACCTGCCATTCTTTAGTTCAGAAGGAACGATTCATCTCTGAACCTGCTGCCTTTCGAGGGAACTTCAGAGATATGTAGTATGCAGTACGATCTGTCAATTTTGCTTTCTCTTTGCGAGGGCTTTTCATGGTCTATAGAAAGCTTAAAAGTCTGGATCTACAGACCAGAGACAGTCCAACGGGATATAATTTAGCCTCTTTTCTTTGCTGATGAAATTATAGTATTCTTTCCAGTCCTCTTTCGAGTTGTCTTTCGAGTTGTCTTTCGAGTTGTCTTTCGAGTTGTCTTTCGAGTTGTCTTTCGAGTTGTCTTTCGAGTTGTCTTTCGAGTTGTCTTTCGAGTTGTCTTTCGAGTTGTCTTTCGAGTTGTCTTTCGAGTTGTCTTTCGAGTTGTCTTTCGAGTTGTCTTTCGAGTTGTCTTTCGAGTTGTCTTTCGAGTTGTCTTTCGAGTTGTCTTTCGAGTTGTCTTTCCTGATGGCTTTGATATCATTTCTTGGTTATATTTAACCTGTGGCTGGCGGAATTATTTTAAAGATTTGTCGGGGCTTCAAATTTATGGTATTCCACGAAGAGTCGTCCATCAAGAGTTAATTGTGTCCTCGCGAGGTGTGCATTTTTATTATTCTACAGCTCCAGCCCGTCTGCTCTGAGTTTCGACATGAGAGAACTAAAATAACTAAACTTTTCATAGGTGATCTGCTTTCTGTGACAGAAATTCCCTTCTCGTTTGAAGCACAGTACCTGACTGATAGAACAATACCCCAAGAACCCGCAAGATAAACATGAACATACCGTATCAATAATTCGTTTCCACCCGTACCTCTTCCCTAATACGAATCCCTCTCCCATTCTTGCCATGTTGCCCAACAAGTATCTCCTCGTCACTGTGGTTATTGCGAGAGATATACAACTCGGTAGTCCCCTCCTCTTTAGCCCTGAATGCGGTGTTATTCTTGGCCATATTTTGCATCTGAATGTGTGATGTCTGATCAGAGTTATTGTGCTTGATGTATCCGCCCTCTGAGTCCTCAAGGTTTGATCCATGGACGATGACACGATAGAGGGGGCGGACGGTGGGGATGCCAACACAGATTAGGGTGACGGCGAGCTCGACTGCTGACCAAATGATCAAGTCGACGGTGTCCTCTGAGTTCACCGGAGAAGGTCAGTGGGTTTTATGTAACATCATGTAAATGGAGTGGTGGTTTACCCGTATAGTTTGAGCTGGACAGTCCGCCTAGGTCGATGGTTCGAATGATTCCACAGGCGCAGGCTCTATAGAATGGGATCAGTTTCATGGCGACGGAAATCATGGAATCAAATACGTACATAAACCCCAGACTTAAACTGATTGCAATCGACATCTTCTCCTTGAACTTCATGTTCAGCTTCCAGATGAAGATCCATGGAAGCAGTGCAAAGTAAAAGTCCACGGCGGCACACCACGCTGGTGAAATGAGGTTAGATCAACTCGACTCAACAGAGTAGATATTATCCTGCGAGACTGGAAGAGGGGACCATACATCCAAGCAAAATAGAAAAAGGCGTCACGGTAACAACAAGGCGTCCTTGAACCCGAGGATCATAGATAGACTCGGAAGGAAGTTTCTGGATCCAAAACAGAATTGCAGTCAATACCGACACAACGGCAAGACTGACCATGGAAATCCAAATGGAAATCCGATGCCACTGCTTGACCACAATGCGAAGCAGAAATATTCCCAGAGAAAGCTTTGCAATAGCCATGCCCAGCACAGCAAAAGTCTGTCCAACCATCTCGAAGTAAACGGCCTTGACAGCCAGATCCATCTCGAGGGAGGTTATGGGTTGACCAAATCCATATATGCCTGATATTGTCATGAAGATGGTGTACAGCAGTAAAAACACCTATTGGCATGGATGTGAGCCTTCTTTGCAGGTAATATATGACCCTTCGAGAAGAATTTGTCAATATCAACTTACCCATGCTAGATTGAACACATGGTCATCCAAGCCAAGTGCCTTGACGATGTAGACTCGCGTATAGAGTCGAAGTGGAACGAGAATGAGTGACATGAAGGTCATTACCCACATCACCGCAACAGCACGAACACCTTTGCCAGCCAACATTTTCAAGAATGATATGGAGTGTTTTAGGCAAGATTTTACACAAAGGTGCTTAGAATCGCCAGTTACCAGCAATTCATGAGATCAAAAAAGGGCCTGACCAGGCTACAAATACATAACGAAGATGTCAAAAGAACCTCTCAAAAGCAGCAATGATGTATCCCCAATAAAAACCGTTGTGAGCTATCGCAGGTCGTATTCCGACTCTTCACAACAAGCGCAAGCGAGCACGATGATGAAACCGGGGGAAGAGGGATGGACTCATGAATGGGGATGGAACAAAAATAACAATAATAATATCCAAGTTTTCACACGTCAGTCATTTCCAATTCCAGCACTATTCTGCATTGACCAACACTCAAGCCCAATAAAGCCATTATTTCCTCGTTACATTGGAACTTTTGCAACAGCTTTAACTTGGTTGGGCGTCGTTGGTGGCGCTCTGGTACAATTGTTCAGCAGCTTCAGTGGGTGAGTGGGTAAGTATTGTCCGTGCATTCGACAGATCAACTGTCAAAGAGGGACCACCCGCGGGGAAAGTGTCGCGGTGTGCCGAAGTTGCATATTGCAGGACCCCTGAAAATTCGATTCTTGAGCTTTGATAGGTCCGATCGATTTGCGATCGAATTGACCATTCGAGGAATAGACGAATGGGGATGTTGTGTACTTTTGGATCTTTGGGGATCACGGGTGACTCCACCCGAGCCTGAAGGAACAAGCAATTAACAATGGTCGAGGGTTGCATTCTTCCAAATCATCGGGTCTAGGCTTGCTGCTCGAGTCTGAATGATCGACAGTGTCAGTAGGGAGGTGATGTTTATCGCACGAGCTGTCAAAATTTGGTGTGTCGCGCTGCCAAAGGTACCCTGTGAGGCATCAAATTCTCGTTTTCGTCTCCTGATCGTATGATTTTCTGAAGAATGCTGTTGTTGTGTTTGAACATGACAGCTTCATCTACACTTGCGCTCGGATGGCTATGCAACAAGCAGGAGAGTAAGTCGTAGCAAGGAAGGAAATAATGTCCCTCATGCCTGGATGCGTAAGAGAAGGACCGGATCTTACGGTCATAATTGAGCATGAAATCTAGAACCCAAAAGACTCAATATTTCCAACACAATACAGTAATAGAATTATTATGTAAGTCTTAACGGAGATATATCAAATGTATGCAATTCAATAAGCGATACTTTACACAAGGGACATGCAAGTCCAAAGCCAAGCACGAAACACGAAACAAAGCACAAAAAATACCCGAGCACCACGCAAATGCCAAAACAGATCCCTATTGAGTTTCATTTTGTCTCTCCTCAGTGCTTATTACCCCTCTCTTCTGTATGAAGATCATGTCTTATCAACCAAATGCGCGAAAACATACCGGAAAATCTCCCGACTCTTGTACAAATTCTCCACACGCATGCGCTCATTATCCAAATGCGCGTTATCGCTAGCCTGTCCACAGGGCAGATTTGCCGCTGGCGCTGAGAACTCTTTCTCCAGGAATCGGATGGTTGGGATAGAGCCACCCTCGCGGATGAAGATGGGTTTCACGGTGGTGGCAGCTGAGGACGTAGACGTAGCTTGGGTTTCTTGTTTGGTGGCTGAGGGCGATGGAGAGGGTGAGTCTGACTCGGTTTCCGAGTCTGACTTGGCTCGGATTGGAAGTGAGCTGGAATCAAGGGAGGGAGTGGAGGCCGATTTGGCGAGGGTGTTGGATGTGGGAACTGGGGCTGTGCCTTGCGTTGAGCGCTTGCGAGCGGCGGCTTTGCCGGAGGAAGTTGTAGTCGATGTAATTACACGGTCGACATGCGAGGCGAGGCTGTCGGAGGAGTCCTTGCGGAGAAGTTGACTTGCTGGGCCGGTGGGTTTGGGGTTTGGGGTTGCGCGGCCGGGAGTCAGTTTCGGGACGGGGTACTGGTGTTTCGATGTTTGCTGATCGGGTGTCCAAGCGGCGGTGATAGCTTCGGAGAGCGTGGCAAAGATCTCGTTGTCTGGGTCTCCTAGCCAGGCGTCAGACTTGCCAGTGATCTCAACGGTAAGTTCGTTCTGCGAGTCGAGAAGGTCGAATTGCTCTTGCGCAAAGGCTGTCAGGTTGGCGGCGACCTCATCTGCTTGTTGGTCGGGCACGATACGGATTGACAGGCTCGCTTTGGCTTTACGGGCGATGGTCGTGGTGCCGCTCTTGCTACCGGGGACTTCCATCGAGTGCACCGTGAGGGAAGGCTCACGCCAGCGGTACATGAGCGATTTGATCAAAGCTTGGCTGTCGGGGATCTCGGGGTGCTGGGGGAGCAGAACATCGGAGATGGCCTCAAAGCGTTTCTGCTCGGCCTCGGTCAAGGGCCGAACCGGGTCGTGGAAGCCAGGGAGGTTGATTTTGCCCTTGCGCCCGACCAAGGTCGAAACGAGGATTGAAAGATCCTTGACAGGCTCGTCGAGCAAGGCACTGCCGTCGATACCACTGTGAAGATCAGGGTGGTCACTCGTCACGACTAGATTGGCATGTACCACACCGCGTAGTCCATAAGTAAGGCAGGGATTGTAATCGTCCAGCCAGTAACTGTTAGCCAGCAGAATCCAGTCCACGGGTCCGATCTGGGCCTTGTGTTCCCGCACTGTCTGGTGGAAGCCCTGCGAGCCAGACTCTTCTTCACCCTCGATGAGGAATACGACGTTGCAGCGGAGAGACTTGGTGCGGGCAAGATCGGCTGCAGCATACAGAGATGCCAAAATGGGACCCTTGTTATCCGACACACCACGACCGTAAAGGAAACCGTTGATCGAAGTGAGTTGGTAGGGGTCCGAGTTCCATTTTGGACGGTTCGTGTCAGCCCCAACAACATCGTAATGCCCATAGAAGAGAATTGTCTTATCAACCTTCTCGGTTGATGTCGCGTTGAACCGAGCAAAGACAATGGGGTTCGTGTCTTCACCGGTCGTCAACAACTTTGTCTTGGCGCCGAGATAGTTGCAGTGCCGACGGAGGAATGCTGCACCTTGATTGCATTCTCCTGTGAACTTTGGGCTTGCAGAGATGGTCTTGAATGAGACGAATTTGGCAAGACTGTTCACCATTTCATCTGTAAGTATTCAGTCAGTGAGATGTCCTGTGCAAAAGAGGGGAATGAATAATGCTACCATTGCTAATGGGCGGTAGCTCTTCCTGGGCGAGGAAGAATTCCGTCAAGTCCCAAATCCCGACACTGTTGTCGTTTCCACCGGTGGCATAGATCTGACGGTCCTTGACCCGGCCAACTGCAGAGGCAAGCATGGTCCCCTGGTGGGCGGTCCAGCCACCAACTTCTTCAAACCGAGAGTTGAATTTCTGGAATCAGGTCAGCAACGGGAATCACCCCGACAATAAAGCTCACCAATAGGTTCATACCTTGACTGTTCCCGTTGAGTCACCACAGATCGCAACGCCCTGGATAACGTGCACAGCCCACAGATCACCAGTATGCCTGGCGATCCGCTTCACAAGCTGTTGAGAGTCGAGATTCCAAATATTGAGAGCGCCACCTGCCAGACCACAGTAGAGCAGCGATCCCTCGACGGCAATCGAAAGCACCGAGTCGCCGTTCTGCAATTTAGCAATCTGCGTTGGCGCGGAGCCGGGCTCCTGGCCCAGACGCCACAACTTGACGACACCATCTCCGGCACCAGTCAACAAGGCCTCCTCAGAAGGTGCAGATTCAATGAGACCTTTGACTAGAAGCATCGAGTAGACGTAGCCATGGTGGGCGAAAAGCTTGTGGTGATCGCGCTTGAAAGTGAGCACGCGACCACCTTCTGAAACGGCGTTGGCGCCGTCTGATGAGCGTGGAGCACGGGTTCCGTCTGGACCACGCGAGTCGAAAAAGCGATGAGTCCGCTTAGAAGGATGAGCAGCGGAGGTTTGGTTCAGCGAGCCTTCCTCTGACAAGTTGCACCACTGACAATAGAGGTTAGACATTTAGGAAACATTGAATGGGTGGTAGTCTTCTTACTTGAATACTGGTGTTCTGAGCACCGCAGTAGATAGTTTGGTTGCTTGAAGAATAGACCACGGAGAAAATATCACCCACGTCATGGTGGGAGTAGATAGAGTAAAGGCGCTCAAAGGTTCTTGTAGACCAGACCTATTCGAGGACATCAGTTTTGTTCTTGCATTTCATGGGAATGAATTACTTACGTTCACTACAGAGTCACCACCACTGGAGAAAAGAAGATTGCCGTCATCAGAAAGATAAAGACCCAGCACACTTTCTTCGTGAGCATGCACCGAGAGAATCAAATCATAAGTCTCCAAAGACCAGGCCTAGGCAATGAGTCAGACAAAATGCACAAAGACAGAATTCAAGATCATCAAAGATTGAAAATCTTTCGAATTCAAGGGATCAATGAACATCCAACTTACCACAATATCTCCGCCTTGCAAACCCGCAAAGACGCACTCCTCGTCAATGACCAATGCCAAAACGGAGCGGCTGGCCAACACACGATGGCCAATGCCGCAGTCACTATGCGGATGAGCACTGCTCGCATCATCAGCTCCTTGCGAGACGATGGTACGAGCATCCGATCCCCAAGTCTTGGACTGGTCATCGATCTCCGATGTGCTCCCCGAGTCCACTGTGTCCATTGCGGGAAGAACCGTTAGCCAAAGGGGGGGGGTTCTCAATGGAAACAAGATGAAATAAAATGTGTGCAGAAAGTAGATAGAAGATGCAATTCCCACTCCAAGCACTTGCAATGATTCTATCAAGTCCCGTCTTGGATCAATTGCATGGAGACCGCGAATTGTGGTGAGGGAACCGAGTTTCCCCAGCGGAACAGAAATGAATCATCGAAGTGGCGGTGCGGGAACGGGAACGGGAGAACCAACAAATCCTCCCCCCGAAAAATAAGAAACAATAAACATTGCACCATCGATCAAGTATTCGACTCACCACCCCTGGCATGATTTTGATGATTCCACCGGTAGATATGTCTAAAAGGGGGTAAAGGAATTTAAGTCAGCATGTGTATTCGTATCAGCTTCCCATCTGTCTAGGGAACAGTCTCCGAAATCGGGGGCGTTGATTTCAATCATGTCCATATTGGTTCTTGCTTGAGTGTATACAACAGGGGGATATATGCCTTTCAATTGCATACGGTCGCATACACCCTGCCTGATCATATCTCCCCATTTGATGCTGCTGCTGGAGAATGAGGAAACCGATCGGCCATGTTGGAGCGGTGGTCAGGTGATTGATTGGTTAAAAGTTAAGAGAGAGTGTCACTCACGTTGGTTCCCAGAGCAGTCGGGCCACTGGTGGATGGCTATAATGGGTGCTTATAATAGACATCGTGGATGGGGGTTTAAGTTAGGAAGAAGGAGATGAGAGAGATATAGGTGAGGGCATTGCTGTTCTACAAAATAGAATAGTAATGATACTGAGGATAAATATGAGGATTTGAATGTTGAATGTTGAATGTTTAAAAGATTGGAAGATGGAAAGATGGAAAGATCAGTCATAGAGGTTATGGGAAGAGGACAAGACAGGACAGATACACCGACACATTGATGGATGATCATTGATCAATGAGACACAGGGGCCTGTCGGGGAGATAAGGAGAAGTGACTGAACCGAGCTGGGGCTGTTGTGCGCCCCCTGGTTGTTACAAGGATCTATTAGCAGTTGGCATATTACGTACTGCTTTTCTATAGTGGTAGAAGTATAGTGGTCAGTACCTAGCTGGCTAACTTGTAGCACCTGTTCATATTGTCATGGAGCTGCCGTCATTGGGTGTTTATTGGGGACAACCTTTCAGGCTCTCATCAGCCTGCAGGTGTCCTGTATGTGTATATGCCAAGGGAAGAGATGTTTGATAGAAAGAGTAGTACAGCAGAGATGGCATCATCTAACGTCATGGTCTTTATTGGAATCTGTAAAAGTGTAGGCTATCTCTCTTTTTTTTTCTCCAGAGAAAAATCTTTCAAACAAAAGATAGTGGTGCCTATATGCCGTCACGAGTACTCGACAAGTACTTGTTCCTCAGGGTCGTACTGTCCAGCTGATGATAGCACCGCCACAATGTTGAGAGTTCAGCTGGTGTGGCTGGTGCTAAGTATAGCTCCATTCTGCCCGTCCAATTGTCGACCGCCCGAGCGGTCTAGGCACCAGCCACAGTGGCGGTGACTGAAGCCTACCAATCAGAGCACGGGGGTCACCGCTTCTTTGTTGGAAACTCGTGGTGGGGAGACTAAACAGTTGAATGCCAATATCACTCCAGTCATTTCAGTCTTTACATGAACTAGTTGGACGGATAAGTGGTTCTAGCCCCATTCTTCTAGCGTCTTCATATCCATTAATACTACACTTTCATATCAATCTCTGCTCACCTATACTCTGTCGAGTATAGTTTTACTTTTTCAATGAATATTCTATTTATGTTCCTCAGCCATCGGAGTAGCCGCTGGACTCATCCGTAGCTTTGACCTGGGACCTGTTGACCTGTTAGCTGTCAGCTTGTTTCGGAGTACTATGTACCATCTTCCGATAGGATTCTTCCTAGACTCCCCTAGTCCAAGCTACAGCTAATCACCCGAGGCCAAGTCAACTCCTCTTCCCCACACACCAATAATCAACTCTGTCACTCTTGTCACTCTCTGACTTTTTCGCGCCCAATCCTGATCGATGTGAGCTTCCAATCGCTCCTCGCCGGGCCTTGATTTGTTGCTGCCTTCGCTTCACTATCAACCCAACCAGTCTACAGTACTGTACCAGACTGTGACTCTGCCCTACGAGACCCTGTCACTGACTCGCCCCTCCGTTCGCTGCTGTGCCCAACTGCTGCACTTCCCCTGCACGTTGATGCCATCGACCCCAGCCTCCTTCGATTTGTGGCATCACCTTTCTTTTTCCTATAACCACCACCATTATTACTCGAGCTTCTCTTCGTGTTTCATCCTTTTTTCGTCCACTCCGATCGGACTTTTCCGCTGATCTTGCTATCTGTGGTTAAACTTCCCGAATTAATCCTCTTGGGGCTTTCGGTCTTGTCTGGCCCTGGTCTTTTTTTTTTCTTTAAAAAAAAAAGCCCGCGGTCACTTAAATTTCTTTAATACGGTGGCTGCAGCTGCTCCCCTGAATTATCTCCTACTTTGTCTTCCCTCTTTATATCCCAGATCTCATATATCCTCATACATCTGTCAAACATTCTTGCCTGTCGGGAATTTCGCCCCGACGGAACCTTGTTGAAAAGCGCTTTATACCGCTTCCTCGCCTTTACTGTCGATCGCAAGCTCTCTGATGAGTGATCTCTCTGTACCGACAGTCGTCTACGACTATTGCTAGTGATGGCACCGCTCGGCCAGACGATCGCCGTGATTGACAAGTCCGGTAAGGTCGTCAGCACGGTAAGCTTCTCTCTTGGCCCACCAGTCCAGATGCAAATCGCCCGTCACACTCTTATCGAACCACCAGAAAGTACCTATCTTCTTCTAACACTCTACTTAGAGTAAACAACTATTTGGAGTATTCAACCAAGCCAAGGCCGCTTATAAAGAGCGCAAGGCCCACTTCAACTCGGAGCGAAATGCCAAGATTGCAGAGCAGCAGGCCCTCCAGGCTCTGGCGACCTACAAGATCGATGACTCGCCTTCGATAGCCTCTCGGCGTAGTCACCGCAGCAGGTCACGGCATCATTCCAGTCGCAGCCAACATGGCCAAAGCAGGTCGCACTATGAACAGGACTTGCATTCTGCCACGGGAAGGCCCGAGTCTCATTATCGACCTAGCGAACGTCTCCCTCGCCGGCATACACACCATGAACTCACCGTTCGGGACGCGGCTCGTCCAATGACAGCCCGATCGAAATCAGATGCCCATATCGACATGGACTTGGCCTATGGTGAAGCTCATCCTGCTGCACTGTCGAGGTACAGCCCACCGGAACCTAACGTCGACGACCAGAAGCAGCTCGATGGCCTAGTGAGCCGTGCCCAGTGGCTTCTCGAGGAAGCACACTGTGTACAGCACAGTGCTACCGCGACCATCTCCCACCTCCAAAAGAACCCAGATGCCATGGCCGCCGTCGCCCTCACCTTGGCAGAAATCAGTAACCTGGCCAGCAAGATGGCTCCCGCAGCTCTTTCTGCATTCAAAGCTGCCGCGCCAACCGTCTTCGCCCTTCTCTCCAGTCCGCAATTCCTTATTGCCGCCGGACTCGGGCTTGGCGTGACTGTGGTCATGTTCGGCGGTTACAAGATCATCAAGAAGATCCAGTCGGGCAACGCCAATGCAGAGAAAGGCGAAGAAGAAGAAGAGTCCATCCGCATGGAAGAAATGATGGAACTGAACATGGAATCGGAGAGCCGAGTCGAAATGTGGCGGCGCGGGGTGGCCGACGTTGAAGCCGAAAGTGTCGGCACTTCTGTCGATGGCGAGTTCATCACCCCCGAGCCGCAGCCATGTCCGGCATTGATGTGACGACCGCGCGCGCGCAACGAGATCCCCGATTTAAATTTGACGACGATGGTTCCGTCGCCTCATCCCGTCGCTCGCGCCGATCGCGCACTTCGCGTGCTCATACCACGGCTGAGTCTCGCAGTGGTCGCCCTAGGAGAGAGACCGAGCCGGTTCCTGCATCTAAAGCTCCATCTGGCTTTTTCGTGCGATCCAAGGCTCCCTCAAAGGTTGCGTCCAAGGCTCCGTCAAATGCACCTAGTCGTGCACCAAGCAAAGCGCCCAGCAAGGCACCTTCCAAGGCTGGTTCACAAGTCTCTGAGAAGGAGAAGCGGCCCAAGGAGAAGAAGAAGAAGGGTCCGAGTCGCTTGCGACTCATGTTTACCGCATAATCGCCACCTAACCGACAGTTCGCACATTACATCTACGCTCTACACGAAACGAAATGAAAAACATGACTCTATCACGCCACTCACATTACGCCTCGCAAATGCATCAGCTACCTCGCGCATGTGTATATATCGTTTGTCCACTCTGTACAGTTCAGCAGACCACAATACCTGGGATAAACACCCTACCATTTCATGTCCCCGCCAAATCTGATGACCACGACATGACCATCACGTCTCCGCTTTCAAATTTCTCTCCGATGTTTACTATTTTGAACCACTTTTTGGAATACTTTTTCGTCTTGTGTTCGGGTTATTGCAAGCATGTTGCGGCGTTACGTTAGCATTGATCTTTTTCTTTTTTGGTTATCATGGCGTCAGGGGAATGTTTGCATTTGATTATGCCTATCTTCCCTAGATCCAAAAAAAATATATCATTGCCAGATCTCTTCCAGCCATTCACTCGGTTCAATCATGTATATCCCTTGCATATATCCAACTCTACACAATCATGATAACCAAACCAATCTAGGCCTTCTCGAGACGCTGACTCGCGTCTTTGGCATTGGCAGCTTCAATTCTAGCCGCCACCCGAATCACAGTCTGATACGAATTGAACTTACGTGCCGGGACCCGCGCCGCAAAGATCTCATCCAACTCCTCTAGAGATCGACCTTTCATCTCCGGCATGAAGAAGTAGAAGAATACCACGCAGCACAGATTCGACGCAGCCCAAATATATCCATATCGAGCACCCTGTCATTGAGTCTCATGGTCAGAAACCGAAACAACAAAATCGAAACCACCAATGTCAATAACAAGACTCACCCAATTCAAATGGTCCGGATTAATAAAATACGGCGTACAAAAATTCACCAACCAAGCCAACAAATAGCCCAACGACGTCGCCGTTCCCACCGTCCACGCCCTCAATCTCGAGCTCACCAACTCCGTCGCTACGGGGTAACTCGCCGCGCCAACACACCCGTTATAAAAGAACATGAACAGCGCGGTAAATGCTACCAGCGTCTGACCTGTCGGCAACGTATTCGGACTCACGGTAGCTGCAATGGCGGTGGCTAGTTGGCATAGCCCACAGGCGACGGCACCTAGCATGAGGATGGATCGTCGACCGAGCAGTTCGCTGATGGCGTACATTCCGACGTTGACGCCTAGAAAGCCGAAACAGGTGTTCATGATGGAGAACTCGAAGGCTTTGATTATGCCGCAGACGGTGAAGAAGTATGTTTGGTAGCCGATTAGGAACCAGACGCCTGAGGCGGTTTGGCAGCCGATCATGCCGTAGCAAAGGAGTGTGCGGCGGAGATCGGGGCCTGGTAGTGTAAGTATGTGAATGCAGACATTGCTTCCTGGTCTATCCATGAAAGTGATACAGGGAGAGGAATCTTCTTACCTCGGAACATATCCAACGCAGAAACACTCCCCTGCTCACGCTTCTCCTCATCAACACCCTTAATCATCTCAACCCACTCAACCTCTAACAAAGTCGGCACAACACTCCCACTCCCCTCATCACCACTCCCATTCCCCCTCTCGACCAAAATTCTCTTATAACTTTCCCCCCTCAACTGCTCAAGCGCCCTCCTCGCCTCCCCCTCCTTCCCCCGATGCAACAACCACCTCGGACTCTCCGGCACAAAAAACAACGCCACAAAAAGCAACGTCGGCACAACATACAAACAAGCCAACGGAATCCGATACGACAATTCATCCAATCTCTCCTTGGTCTTATTATCCACCACCGCGCCCATAATACTCCCAATATTCACCCAGTACGCGAACAGCGCGACCATCACGCCCCGCATATGTGCGGGAGCTACCTCGGCTGTATATATGTTGGAGAATGTGACTAGGAAGCCGTTTGCGAAGCCGAGGAGGAGTCGGCCTAGGTAGAGGACTCCGGGTGTTGAGGTGCCGATTTGGATGCCGCAGGCGATGGCGTTGACGATGCAGGCGAGCCAGAGGGCGGGTTTGCGGCCGAGGTAGGTGGAGAAGAGGCCTGCGACGAGGGAGGAGATGAAAGAGCCTAGGGTTAGGAGGGAGGTGATGAGTTGTTGGACTGTGCTCTGTGTTTGAGGAAGAGGGGACGTTAGATTTGTGTTTTTGTTTCTTGTCTAGTATATCAAATCCTGGTTGGAGAAAGACAATATGTCATGAAGGTGTATACTCACGTCAATTGCATAACCAGTGTCACTTCCTGGATCTGGATGCCCGAATACTTTGAGAAAACCCGGCATTGCCTGCAGTGAGCCCACTGCTGCAAGGTCAAAGCCATACTGCATGTTGGCCATAGAAACGAGACAGCAGAGGAATAGACATTTGCGATTCTGCCAGAGCGATGTCGAGGAGAGAATGTTATCTGCCATACTGATGGACGATAGCTGGGTAATGTGCCACAGCCTTGATCCGAGAAAAGAATATCAATTTAGAACCTGCCTATCAGGGGAAAGGCAAGATCTCCATGTCTATGTTTTGGGCGTATGCTACTCTACATATACACCTGCCAACCCGCTAGCAAGACCGCAACTTTAGTGCGGAGGTGATCGTGAGGGGAAGCAGGGGCTAATCACTTCTTACATGTCTCGTTTCCTGTAGATAGTGTTTATTGAAGAAAATCATCATGTCTCGTAGTAATACTCTGGGAATAGATCGGGTTTGTGACCGGAGGAATCTAAGAATGTTGGGTACTGGAAGTCCCCCGCAAAACCCCGCAAAAGAAGGAATCTGGGGCTACGGGGCCCCACTCGACCCAGCTTGAATACGTTGTTTATTAATTCAATAGATCATCTCCAAGTGATTGAAAGATGTTCTTGATGAACTGAACTCTAGATATGTGAGGGTGGTGAAAAGACGAGGGAGAATTCGGGATGTTCGTGTCTCGTTGACTTCTGATCTGGAAATAGACTCTATCCTGGAACCAAGGACCATTACCACTTCATGACCGGAATCAAATCCAGTCAGACGGCTTATCCCTTCTTCAAATAAAGGCACTGTGTGGGGCCATTGGCTCGGCTGGACACATACTCTGTATTCGACAGACGCAATCACCAAGATTCCCCACGAGGCTATGGAGAATCCCTCCAATTGACACTACAGATCATGCCCCGCGAGCACCTACTTTCAACATCGGCACTATTATCCCGACAGCAGCGGGGCTGGAACTAGCATGATGAGCACAGGTCATTTGCCGTATCATGGGGTTTTCCATAAGGTCGCCTCTTGTTCCTTATATGTAGGTCGGGAATGAGCAGGGCCCACTCTAATTCTCAAGGCTGCTGGATCTGAGAAAACCCCCTACATCTGTTGCTGGAAACCCCAAAGCAACAAAATGATCGTTGAAAAGGTAGAAGAGCTATTAGCTCTCATTTCAGCTCAGCGTATCCTCAGTCATCCAGCATGGAGCAAGTTGAGCATGACCACGGCATTACCACCTGTCCTCATAGCCTTGGGGCTGGCTCTGATGGTAGATTATGGCTACATGCTATACCTACACTTTAGGATGGTACGCACCATAAGTCATCCTTCATGACATCTCTGGCCATTCTAACCAACTCTCCAGCCCCCAGGCCCCCTTCCACTCCCCCTGATAGGAAACACACACCTCCTCCCCGCCACCAAACCCTGGATCTACTTTGAAACCCTATCAAAACAATACCAATCCCCCATAATCACATTCTGGACCGGCCGCCGCCCAACCCTCTGGATCTGCGACGCTTGGACCGCAAACGAACTCCTCGACAAACGCGCCGCGATCTATGCCTCTCGCCCTCGCATGGTAGTCTTCAGCGAACTCGGTGCCGGCCAGTCCAATCTAGTCAACATGTACTACGGCGACAGATGGCGGCTGCATCGGAAACTGACCCATATGGGTGTTGGTCTACAGCAAGTGCGGAATTATCGTGGGTTTCAGAATGACGAGAGTAAAGTTGTTGCGTTTGATTTGTTGAAGGAGCCGAAGGAGTATGTTAGCCATTTTGAGAGGTATGCGACGAGTGTGGTGTCGATTATTGGGTTTGGGAGGAGGGTGGCGGAGTATACGGATCCGATTATTACGGAGGTTATTGCTGTTATGCAGAGGGCGGCCGAGTTGAATGTTCCTGGGAAAAGTTTTCCTATGTTGATGGAGTCGTTTCCTTGTAAGTTGGACGAAAGACGGGAAGGGAGAGAGTTGTATTTAGGGGGTATGGTCACAAGTGGCTAACATATAACAGTCCTCGCCAAGTTTCCCAACTGGATGGCGCCCTGGAAAAAAGGTCTAGGCAAAGGACAAGGCCGAGGAAGACCATTCTTCTATGCTCTCGCTGAAGAGGCAGCTCAAAATCCCGATACAGACTCATGTTACGCAAAGAAGCTCTTTGAGGAAGGACCGAAGCACAATCTCTCACGCATGGAAATATCTTCGCTCTCAGGAAACCTTTTCGGCGCTGGTAGTGATACGTCCAGCTCGACATTGGTTACTTTTGTCCTTGCCTGTTGCGCCTTTCCCGATGCCCTGCCCAAAGCCTGGGAGGAACTTGACCGAGTCGTGGGACCGCATCGGAGCCCGACGTTTGAGGATGAGCCGGACTTGCCGTACGTGAAGGCGTTTGTGAAAGAAGTGCTGCGGTGGAGGTCTGTTGCGATTATTGGAGGACAGCCGCATGCGCCTATCAAGGATGATTATTATAAGGTATGATGAAGGAGTAGCATGGTGGTACCATTGCTGTCACAACCTATGATAGACAGCGATTATGTGCTTTCTGTCAGAGTATGCTGACCAGATATGTCTATCTAGGGCTGGTTCATCCCACAAGGAACCTGGGTCCAGGGCAACGTTTGGGCCATTCATCATCATGAACGCGAGTTCCCCGAGCCAGATCGCTTCAACCCAGATCGATATCTAAAAGATAGTCCCGATCACCGTCCATTCCCTGGCGAAAAGGGGTACATGACCTTTGGATGGGGCCGACGTGTATGCAGTGGCCAAGGACTCGCAGAACAAGGGACATTCATCACGATTGCACGGCTACTTTGGGGCTTCAGAATTGAAAAGGCACTAGATAGACAAGGGAATGAGATTCCCGTGGACATTTTCGACTTTACGTAAGTTTCTTTCCAATTTGGATGATATCACTCTCTACCGGTTGAAGTAGTTAAGTGAGATTCGAATCGAATCGTGCCGTGCTAACCGCCGGGGCTTTGCCTTATTCTTCGCAGAAACGGTCTCAACATGCGCCCCAATCCATTCGACTGCCGAATTACACCTCGCAGCCCCGAAATTCGAGCCGCTATTGGCAGAGAGGGTCGGCAGGCATTACAAGATCTGTCTCGTTTCGATGGTGAGACTCAATACCGGATGAGCACGTACTATGCCACAGAGAAACTATGATAGGTCTGGATGGGCCACGGTTATCAAGCGGAAGAGCGCCACAAAGGGTAACATGGCTTGTCTTCTATGATCTATCGTGGTCAGCAATGCAAGGGTTCCAGACAATGTTGCACCCAGAAACCCTTCTTGTTGTATAGCCCGGCAGTGCGATTGTTCATGAGCAGCCGAGCGCAGTGTATCTGAGTCTTCTGAGAGGATGTTCCATGGTGTGGGGGCAGGCCAAGACGGTGGAGTCCACGCAGTGGAACGCTATGTCTATGCGCAGTGAGCGATGGCACCACTAGTTCCAGATATGATAGCCCTTACTTCGGGCTTGAAGTATTCAATGATGCCTTGGGATATCTCAGCACTCACTAGGCTGCCTTTTATTCAAATGCTAGACAATCGAGATGTGAGAATAGCCAGAAATGAGAAGCCCCCCCGTGCCGAGTCGGGAGAACTGCGGCTGAAATGGAAGCTCCCCTTCAGTGTGACAAAGATTGTGACAGCTTGAGCCCGAAGGATCGGGAATTTCTAAATAGCCGTACTTTAAGCATATCCTGCATCGGAAGGCATCTGGCTAGCGACATGAACAAGGATGTAGCATCCATCTAGTTTCAATAATAGCTTCCCCCTCTCCAAGAATTCCTACATCGGATCTAGGCATGCCATATAACCGGCAATAATTCAAGTCCCGATTTGCCGTGATAAGACGGTGCCAGCAAGCTAAGATACATTACGGGATCAAATCCAAATCCGGGGAGGAGAATGAGTGCGACTCGGTCGTGGGTCTGCGGGCGCGCAAAGATGGAGCATGTAGGAGACGGCGTCACGAACGTTGGGGGCGTGAAGGCCTCCGTAACAGATTCAGGGATTTGGACTCTCAATCATATGGAAGAAATTGGCCTGTCTGGGAACCTTTGGGCGAGGTTCGGCAGATGGTAGACACCGAAAGAGCCGGATGGCCAGTGTTGGAATCCTCAAGGAAGGAGAGAAAATTATCGCAGAGCCAATGGCCAAATGGCCCCCAATTGGCTGTGGAGCCTCCCCGATCGCCCGCGTTGCCGAGCTCGGAATACGCCACAAAATTAGGAATATGTCTTGGACAGGTAGGTAAGCAAGTTGTCATCGCATGATTTGGATGTTGAAGGTGAGCGTTAGCAATAAGTTTTTCTTCCGGTAGAAATTGCTGTTAAGATGGTCTTTGATAGTCGATTCTGGTATGGAAAAAAAGCCCTTCTGTTCGTCCCGGGTAATCTCCCCCGGCCCAATGCCGGTGGCTCCCAAATTTCGGGGCTAAGATGGATAAGGTACGGAAGTACTGTAGTCAAATCAATGAACAGAGAAAACCATCAAGGTATCAAGGTCCCATCTCTTTCCCCAGTCTGTGGAGAAACAACACGGGGTGTGACAATTGCCGATTAGCGTGTTCAGGGGAAAGAGGAGCCCGCAATCGATAGGAAAAAACGGTCAACTGGACTCCGTAATGAATGGAAAAGATGGAGGTATTCCGGAGTAGAGTCTGGCACGGGTGGGCCGGCAAACCTTCGGACAACTAAGCTCGGGGAGGGGGCAATTTTCTTGAAATAGCCTGCTTGTCCGGGGGAAGTTGTCTTGAGAGAAATTGTGAACCATTATTCTCTTTCCTTCGTCTCTTTCTGAGTTGTATATTTTGCATCTTTTGTTTCGCTATTCGCAGTTGTTCGTCATGGATGTACCAAGGGCTAATGTATCGCTAGACGTGGTTATAGTTGGGTAAGTTGGAGTTTTGACATTCCTTGGGTAGCGCAGAGCCGCGGACTAACGTTGAACAGGGCCGGTATGTGATATCTGCTGCGTCATATCATGAAATGGTGTTTTATTGGTCGCAATTGACAATAATGGTTATACAGGCATTGGTGGTATGGCCGCAGCCTTGACGCTGGGATTAAGAGGCCATCGTGTCGTTGTCCTTGAGGCAGCTCCAAAAGTACGTGGCGTGATCGATATCATCCCTGATAATGAACAAATGTTAACATGCACCGCTTTGTAGTTGATGGAGGTTGGAGCTGGAATCCAAGTATCACCAAACATGCTGAGAATGTTCGAACGTATGTCAATTGTTCATATGCCTCGTCTCAAATCATACCAACATGACTGACCTTCAACTAGGATGGGGTGTTTCGGACTTGATTCATGCTCAAGACGTCGCGCTGGAGCACATCCACGTACGACGATGGGAGGATGGCAAGCTTCTTGCCACGATGCCAGTCAACAAGACTTTCGGTCAACAGACAGTCATCCACCGAGCAGACCTGCACAACGCTCTCATTGAAAAGGCCCTGGCACTGCCCAACGTAGAACTGCGTGTGAACTCGCTCGTCACGAATGTCGAGTTCAGCCCAGCATCCGTCACACTCGCCAATGGAACCATTGTCCGTGGCGACATCGTCATCGGTGCCGACGGCATCAAGTCCACCATCCGGGGACACCTGCTGGAAGACCCATCCCTAAAGGCCATCGCCACGGGCGACGCTGCGTACCGAATCATGCTCCCACGCAGCATGATGGAACAAGACCCCGAGCTGAAGAGCTTGATCGATGAGCCGCAGGCGACTCGCTGGCTCGGTCCTGGACGCCATATTATCGCATACCCCGTCCGCAACCACCAACTGTATAACGTTGTCCTGCTGCACCCCGACCGACAGGAAGTCGAGGAGTCGTGGACGACGAAGGGCTCGAAGCAAGCAATGGTCGATAACTATGCTGGGTGGGACCCGAAGATCACGAAGCTGATCGATATGGTCGATGACGATGAAGTGCTGGAATGGAAGTTGTGTCTGCATCGCCCGCTGAAGACGTGGGTTCGGGGCTCGGTGGCTTTGATTGGTGATGCGTGTCACCCGATGCTGTATGTTTCACCGTTCCACCATCCCCAGACTATTTTGTTCTTTGTGCGACCTTATTAACCAGATATAGTCCGTACGTGGCACAAGGTGCGGCCCAGGCAGTCGAAGACGCAGCAGCGCTGGGTGTCCTTTTGTCGACTATCTCGTCTCGACACGATATCCCCCGTGCGCTGCAGGTATATGAAAAGTCCCGGAAACTGCGTGCAGAGACGGTGCAGCAATCAGGATCCGATAACCGTATCACTTTGCACTTGCCCGATGGACCTGAGCAGGTTGCCCGCGATGAACAATTCCGGGCTTCAACGACAGGATCCAACCCGGATAAGTGGTCTGATCGCGAGACGCAGCGGATCTTGTGGGGATGGGATGCTGAGAAGGCCGCTTTGGAGACTTGGATCGGTAAGATTGGTATGCCCGAGCGGTGTTGATGAAATAGCTAATCGTTTTGTGTTCATTTTAGAATCGAGCACCGAGGGCAAGCTCAACGCCAGCTTGTAGTGGACACACACACTACTTTATACATTATATTCAACATAAAGCACCATGGTGCACACCCCGAGATATCAAACTCGACCCCTCTTGGAATGGATGATATCTCTTCATATTTGTCTCTCCTCGACCCAGCCCGTTGGCCCTGGTACATATGCATGGGAGGACTTGTAAATATTATTCCACTACGACCAATAGACATAGAACGCATATACAGACTACTCAATGAACAATGAAGAAGATGGTTTTTCCCGCATGCTAACTCTTTTAAATTTCATTATACAATCATTCAAACCGAGAACCCAATCCACTATCTAGCAGGACATGATAAGGATGAAAAGGGGAATCCTCAGCATTTTTTGGCTCATGGAAAGCCAGTGACGCTCAGCATATGGCTCTCCACTTTCTTACTGGGAGAAGGAAGAGGATATTTACAAGCGCTCGCCAGCGGCAGCCTTCATCTGGCCGTACTTCTTGAGACGGATGGCGGACACGTTGATGAATCCGGTGGTCTCGGCGGGGGAGAAATCACCGATCTCGTCCATGGAGGACTCGGTCATGTCGTACAGCTTCTCGGTCTCGGAGTAACGGCCGAGAACGGACATGTTACCCTTGTAGGCACGGCAGCGGACGACACCGTTGACGGACTTCTGGGAGGCGGTGATGGAGGCCTCGAGGAACTCACGCTCGGGGGAGAAGTACATGCCGTTGTAGAGGAGCTTGGAGTAGTTGAAGGTGACGAAAGAGTCACGCAGGGCGCGGACCTCACGGTCCATTACAAGACCCTCAAGGTCGCTGTGGAGAGTCAGCAAATTGTCTCGCAAGTAAATTGTGCGCCAATAGCAAGACAGAGAAACTCACATGTGGGCAGCGCGCAGGCAGGTAAGACCGGGGGTCTCGTAGCAGCCACGGGACTTGATACCGATGAAACGGTTCTCGACCTAGGTGGGTGTTGTTAGCGGAATGTGTCTTACAAGCTCTGGAGATACTCAAATTACTTACGATGTCGATACGACCAACACCGTTGCGGCGGGCAATGGCGTTGGCAGTCAGGAAGAGGTCAACGGAGTCGGTGACAGTCTTCTGCTGGCCCTTCTCAGTGTACTCCAACTTGACGGGGACACCCTTCTCGAAGGTGAGGGTGAAGTCTTCGGGCTGGTCGGGAGCAGTAAGGGGGTCCTGGGTCAACTTCCACATGTCGGCGGGGGGAGTGATGTTGGGGTCCTCCAGGATACCGGCCTCGTAGGAGCAGTGGGCCAGATTCTCGTCCATGGACCAGGGCTTGGACTTGGTGGAGGTGACAGGGATGCCCTTCTCGGCAGCGTAGGCGAGGAGATCGTTACGGCCGACGAAGCGCTCGTAGAAAACGGGATCACGCCACGGGGCAATGACCTTGATGTTGGGCTGGAGGGCGTAGAAGGCAAGCTCGAAGCGAACCTGGTCGTTACCCTTACCAGTGCAGCCGTGGGAGACAGCGAAGCAGCCCTCGCGCTGGAGAAAACAAAATCGCACGGTCAGTAACCATCGCAACCATGGAAGAGGTAGTGTGTGGGAAGCATACCTGGGCGACGGCGATCTGGGCACGGGCGATGACGGGGCGGGCCAGAGAGGTACCTAGAATCTCAATTAGCGGAGGGATCCTGGTGTAGTACTCAATTGGAGTTTGGACATACCGAGCAGGTACACGTTCTCGTAGACGGCATTGCAAGCAATGGCGGGGAAGCAGAGCTCCTCGATGAACTCGCGGCGGATGTCGACAATCTCGCACTTGAGTGCACCGATCTTCAGGGCCTTCTCACGGGCAGCCTCGAAGTCCTCCTCCTGGCCAACATCGGCCACTACAGGTAGTGTTAGCATCTATCCTCAAGGCTTTTTTTTTGTTGAATCGCATTGGGGCAAGCCACTTACTGAAGCAGACGACCTCGTAGCCATCCTCAATCAGGTACTTGACTGTTATCTGGTATCAGCGACTGCCATTGACGGAGCTAATTGTTCTCGGGGTATATCGTACGGATACAGCTAGTATCGAGGCCACCGGAGTAGGCAAGGCAAACCTGTTGAGACAATGGGGTCAGCTCGGTCGGGAACACGGCAATTGGAGGTGTAGAAAGTGGGATGGATGAACTGGCGGTCTAAAAGTGGAACATTGGGAGAATCGCAGCAGCGACGGAAGCAATTGAGTGCACCTACCTTTCCCTTGGACATTGTGAGTGATGTGAAATGTATTGTAATGGAGCTTAGCAAAAAAAAGTCGAAGTACTGAGTTGAAGTAGGTCAAAAGAGTTGAGTCACCGGGAAAAAAAGGCGGATTTTTGGTGCGGGCCGGGGGGAGTCACACTTCTTGGCGCCGACACCGGCTGGGATGATAAGCCCTTTTCCCCCCGATAAGGATGATCTCACCGCTCGGGAAACCCTTCGATCGGTTGAGCTAACTTAGCTAAGTAGTAGTTAGCTTGGTTCTCTTAGTGGTGGAAGTGGAAGTACTCTAGTGGTGCATCTGAAAATTACGGTTGATCTCCAGGCTAATTCATTACGAGACAGCTGCCCTGGAAATAGGCACGAGATCCATGCCAAACAATGACGAGGGCATTCATGTTTCCCGTTTCCCGCAAGTATTTGTGACTAATCCCATTGCTCAACCTCCGCCTTAACAGCGGGAGGATAGCTCCTGGGGACTTCATAATCACACTATGCGATACCTAGCACCAAACCCAAGAGGCACACGACCATCTCAGCGATAACTACAGTCTCCTCTCAGCGCTTATGGTGGTCCCACAATAACAAAAACTGGGGGACTGCTTAGCTAACACGCTCAGGGCTCCATGTGACCTGAGCGTGCTGCCGTCATAACAAGCAGTTTGGCATGTTTGCATCCGCGGTTATTCACGGCGTATCCCCGCAATTCCCCCCAGAAAACCGACAGAAGGGATTCCCTTTTAAAGAGAATTAGGGAGATTTAGGACTTTTTACATGTCTCTGCTCTCTGTTACAGCATTCTCGTCTCATACACATTTCAAAGATGTCCTTACCTCGATCTTCGCGGGGCCTGATTCCGCGAGTCTCCCGTCGATGCTACTCGAGTGCTCCCTCGCCTCGGGCGAAGCTTAACATACCAATTGATTACAAGTCTACACCAATCCTACACCATACACCGTCCTCCCTATCCAGTGTGCCCGAATATCCAGCGGCAGCTACGAGCAAGCGACTAAATTACTTCCAGGCGATCAACTCCGCCTTGCGGACAGCACTGTCTACTTCGGATAAGGTCATGCTCTTCGGCGAAGATGTAGCATTCGGCGGTGTCTTCCGGTGCTCGATGGATCTTCAAACAGAGTTCGGCTCGGAACGGGTTTTCAACACCCCTTTGACCGAGCAAGGAATTGCTGGTTTCGCCATTGGTGCTGCTGCCGAGGGCATGAAACCCGTGGCAGAGATCCAGTTTGCCGATTATGTTTTTCCAGCCTTTGATCAGATCGTCAATGAGGCTGCAAAGTTCCGATACCGAGAGGGTGGTACTGGAATCAATGTCGGCGGCTTGGTTATTCGCATGCCCTGTGGTGCGGTGGGACACGGCGCACTGTATGTTTTGCTGAACCCTGTGTGAACTTGGTACATCATCTGGATTTAGATTCTGACATGCTTTCTGGCTAGATACCACTCACAGTCTCCCGAGTCCCTCTTTGCACACGTTCCCGGCGTCCGAGTCGTCATGCCACGATCACCCGCACAGGCCAAGGGTCTCCTTCTCTCCTCCATCTTCGAGCACAATGACCCTGTGATTTTCATGGAGCCCAAGATCCTCTACCGAGCCGCCGTGGAGCACGTCCCTAATGAATACTACACAATACCCCTGAGCAAGGCAGAGGTAATCAAGCCGGGCAAGGATTTGACGATCGTCTCCTACGGCCAGCCACTATACCTGTGCTCTTCTGCCATCTCCGCGATCGAAAAGACCATGAAGGGTGTTAGCATTGAGTTGATCGATCTCCGCACAATCTACCCATGGGATCGTCAGACCGTCCTCGAAAGCGTCCGCAAGACGGGACGAGCCGTTGTGGTCCACGAAAGCATGATAAACTATGGTGTTGGTGCCGAGGTGGCTGCCACGCTACAAGAGGGCGCTTTCCTGCGGTTGGAAGCCCCAGTCAAGCGAGTCGCCGGCTGGAGCACCCACACCGGCCTGTCCTACGAACAATTCATTCTGCCCGATGTTGCCAGTAAGTTTTCCGATCGACGCACCCAAATATATTCTCCATGCTAACCAGGATGTCCGACAGGAATTTTCGATGCGATCAAACAGACTCTAGAATACTGAGTGTGGACCCTTCGGGATGTTATGATAGACCAAAGTATTCTTTACACAAATAGCTTGTAATGCACCATAGCATTAAGATGTCCAATAGAATCAATTATTTTCATGTAAAAACATTTTTTATTCCTTTCAATTAATCTCGTATGATTCAATCGCTCGGGTGGCATAGGGCATAGGGCTGCAGCGCCCCCATTTGAACTCTATTCATGGAAGCGGGCTACCCACCAAAAATATACTACCATCGACCCACCCCCGGGGCCCATAAATCCGACAATATTTTGGAGCACAGGCTGCGTTGATATCTTGTCCAAATAGGAAATCGGTCATTAGTCAAGCCTACAATAATATTTTATAGAAAAATAATCATCTACCACTAACAATGGCAGCTAGGCAGGACCTAAGACACTGGATAATGGGGGGCAGCCTCCAGCCGTGTCTACCTAGTACCTAGAGCTACAACACACCCAACCCGAGTCTAGACTTTAGGCATACCATACCCTTGAAGCCCCAGATTAGGTACTTCGTAATAGTATTTCTAGAAATAATTGTCGAGGCCCCTGCGCAGTGCCGACCCCAGGGCTTGGCATTAGCTGTGAACCTTGTTCCATGGCAAGACTGCCGCAGGTCTCCACCCGGCCCGAAAACCTTAATTTTTTTAGATGAACGATATCCGAACGACATAGAACATTAAAATTTGGCCCAAATTATTCTAAAATCCAACGGGAATCTAATTTGGAATTGACCAATATCTAATTAATGATAGAAAGAAGATTCGGTGAAGGCTCAGTTGAGATTTGCCGAATAACAACTGAGTTGTCGCAAATTACATTTTGTTGATATGCTGGCTGGGACATGGAAATGACATTTACACTACAACTAGATGTCGTGCACCACCGATATCACTGGAAAGCACAGAATCTATATTGTACAGAGAGTAAACTTTACATATTCTATCCTGGAATCTAGAGAGGCAAATGTACCGGGTAGGATTGATTGTACGGATATCAAATCGCTGCAAGAGTGACATATCCTGTGACCGCCACGATTATTCCAGACAACATTGAATGGGGTATTTTCTTGATCCTGTAGCCTTGGGCCACAAGTACGCGCTTGAGGCACCATTTCCAAATCAAGCCAGCCAGGCAGCAGGGCAAGGCAGGCTGGGAGGAGAAAGGAAGCAAACAAAACGGGAAGGCACCCGCCCTGGAGGCATCGCAACTGCCAAATCTGGGAGGAAAAGGCCGCGCTAGCAGTTTGCCGAATCGGGTACTAATATCTATACCTCCCCAGCGCGTCCCCAAACTTTCCTTCTTTCTCTCCTCTCCTCTCCAACAATTCTTCCCAATCGTGCGAGAACCAAGTTTTCCGCTGCGCTTTCGCTACTCCGGTAGCGTCAAGAATTTCGTTTCTTCGTGCTGAATGTTCAGCTGAACGTTCTTCTACCACCCCCTATTTGCGCAAGGCTCCCGCCATGAGCCTTTTCAACAACTTCGTCCTCCCCGCAGTGGCGTTCGTCCTCATGGGCGTCGTCCGACTGCTGGTGACTCTGATCGTTCTCGTGGCGGTTGGGGCCACCTCGGTCGTTCGGCCCCTTGGGGTCGGCCCTGCGTTCCTCGTTCGCTCTTCGATCACAAAGAGGTAAGTTGATACATTTCACCACGACCTCCCTCCCCCCTCATTCCTGCTCCCCTTTCGCCCACCCCAACGTATCCCAACCCAACATACCCCAACCCACCCCGATATAAAAGCCCCTCCTTCAAGACAAAGTGACTGTGCTGAGAGTGACTCTCTCACCAGCGATGAAAACAACAACAAGGAGACACTGTCAGGTGTTAAAATGGCAACAACGACAACCACCCGCCAACCCGCCCCTGAGGAACCTCTCGACCTAGCTCAGCCAATCACTCCTCCGCTGATGAAAAAACGGCAGTCTGATCTCGAAAATCGTGAACTTAGCGTGCGGGAACGCGAGGAAGGCCTCAACGAGGACCGAATCAAGTTCCAGCATTGGGTCACAGGAAGACTGAAATCCATCCGCGAGCAGGAAGCTAAGCTCAAGAGGGAACGCGAGGATCTCCGCAGACATCGCGGCATTGCTCTCAAACCCTATCTTGAGTGGGAGCAATACGAGCGCGAACGTCTGCAGGGTCGCATCGCTCAGCTCGAGTCTGACAACGCTCAGCTGAAGAGGGAACGGAACGCGGCTGACCTGCGGAAGTCCGATTTTGAGCGGGAGTTGACAGAGCATCGGAGGACCAACGCCAAGATCGTCGCCAAGAAGGTTGAAGAGGATTTGGTTCGGAGACAGGCTGAGCTAGTTCGCCATGGCCCAGTGGAAAAGTACTCTGCGATCCGCAGAGCCCAAGAACTCGAGGGCAAGCTGGCCAGGGCCATCGCCACCATTTCCAAACTCAAGGAAAAGCTGAATATCGCCTTCAACTGCAACGGCGAGCTGAAGGAACAGCGCGACAAGTACCGCCGCCAACTTGCGGTTGCTCAAAGTCTGCAGCAGGGTTTTTTGCCCGACGCGGACGATGACAACCCCATGCACGGTGCCTACGACGACCCTGAAGCTTCGCACGTGGCCGCCTTGAGAGAGATTGACCGGGCAGACCGCAATCTCTGCAACCTCTGCAACCTCACCCTGACAGAGAAGAAAGACACCGCCACCCAGACCGACGCCTACGCTTCCGCAGACAATGGACTATCAGTTCTGGCTGATGGAAGTGCCATGTTCTCGGCTGAAAGATACAAAGCGGCCCAGACCGAGTACCAAGAGTACCAAAGGCTGCTCGCAACTGCCTTCTCGCTTCAGAAGGAGTTGGAGGAGCTGGAGGTAATCAAGGCCTCGGAACAGGCTCGTGCCGAAAGTGTGAGTACGGAGCGCGCCCGACAACTCGAGGAGCTCGACCTCACCCGAAGGAAGTACCTGAAAGCCCTGGACCACATCCAAGGCCTTCGAGGCTCTGCTGAGGGGCTCCGAGAGATGGCGGTTGAAGCGAATACGGCATTCGAGGAAGTCATGGAGACCTACCAAGATCCTGCCAAGTACATGCAGTTCGTCACGCTGCTTGCTCCGGGTTGCAAACTCGAGAAGAAATTGGGAGAACTTCCAATTTCCGCCGATACAGTCGTGGATGGACTGAAGGAGACCGAGGACGGGATGAAATTCGCCAATGAAGTCGCCGCGGTTCGTCAGCTGTTGGGTCTCCAGAATTAAAGCCCTCTCGCGAGGGCTCTGGAGTCATAGCGATTTGAACAGACCGCGTGCAAGTCTTCTAGGCTACTACACGGATTCGTCTGCTGTTGCTGCCCAGAATCAAAAACCCTTTCGCGAGGGTCCTGGTGTCAAAGCGACTCAAAACAGACAACGTGCAAATCTTCCCGTCTGCTGTCTCGACTTTTCTATCGTTGCCGCCCAGAATTACATACCCTCTCGCGAGGGTCCTGGTGCCAAAGCAACCTGAATAGACCGAGTGCAAAGTCCCCGGCTTCTGCTATCTCGACTCGTCTATCGTCGCCGCCCAGAATCACATACCCTCTCGCGAGGGACCTGGAGCCAAAGTGACCTGAATAGACCGAGAGTGCATTTGCCGACACGACTGCCAAATTCGCTATAGAAAGGAGAATATGGGGGAAACTGTGTGATGGAACAGGCGCCGATCTCCGAAACTCGGGCTGTGAGTGTGGATACATCCTTAAGCTGCCAAATTGCTCCGGTCTTTACTTGCCGAGCACGGGACCCACGGGGGAGCGGGTTTACGAGCCTAAATTTCCAGGTGTCGATTGGCAGCACGGGGGCTGGCCCCTACGTTCATTCGTCATCTGCTACGCTCGAAACCCAATTCAGCTTCGTCTCGATCAGCTTCCACATGCTTACGCCCCTGGTGGCCTAGCCAGATCCACCTCAGTTTCGCAGCGCAATTTTTCCCTCCGAATCACAGCGTTGTACCCCTCTCCTTCTCTATTTTTCTTCTTCGTCTCCTTGTTGACGTTTTTCACCAATCCCTCCGCCCCTCACCTCACCTCACCTCACCTCCCATCCTCTTCCTTCCGCCCCAAGCTGTGTGTGGTTACCACCGGCTCGCGTTCAGTAATGTCCCGACAGTGACCCTTCCAATCGCGATCGTGGAGCTTGCTTTTACCTCTCATTGGGAGCATTGAGATACTACAGTGGTGACGAGTACGATTTCCTTTTATCGGAAAGACAGACGACTTTCAGATGAGGATGGCGCCTCATGCCACGCATCTGCTCGCCGCTCGGCCCATTGTGCTGAGCCTGGCCAAAGTCATCTTCTTCGCCTTCTCTCACCTTCCGTTGGCAGCAGCAGCACCTATGCTGTCGCCCTATCTCATCTCATCACATCACGATATCGAACCTCCGAATGAAGCCGACGACCCGAGTTTATGGCTGTACCTGGGCATTTCGGCAGCCTTGGTGTTGAGCGGCGGAGCGTTCGCGGGACTTACAATTGCACTGATGGGCCAGGACGAAGTCTATTTACAAGTGATCCAGACGTCTGGCGAAGCTTCGGAGAAGAAGAATGCCGCCAGTGTCTTGAACCTGCTCAAGCGGGGAAAGCACTGGGTGCTCGTCACTCTTCTCCTCAGCAACGTGATCACTAACGAGACTTTACCCATCGTCCTGGATCGGACCCTCGGCGGTGGATGGCCAGCTGTGCTAGGAAGTACGGCCTTGATTGTCATTTTCGGCGAGATCGTTCCTCAGTCGATCTGTGTTCGATACGGTCTACCTATCGGGGCATGGATGGCACCGTGCGTACTGGTTCTGATGTACGTCATGTCCCCGGTAGCCTGGCCCGTGGCCAAGTTGCTCGACAAGCTCCTTGGCGAAGATCACGGGACTATTTACAAAAAGGCCGGATTGAAGACCCTCGTTACCCTTCACAAGACGTTGGGCGAGGCCGGAGAACAGCTCAACTCCGACGAAGTGACAATCATATCTGCTGTACTTGATTTGAAAGAGAAATCTGTGGGCACAATCATGACGCCGATGGAAGATGTGTTCACCATGTCCGCGGACACCGTCCTCGATGAACGCACCATGGACCTGATTCTGTCCCAAGGATATTCTCGCATTCCCATCCACGCACCCGACAATCCTATGAACTTTGTGGGCATGCTGCTGGTAAAGATGCTCATCACCTACGATCCCGAAGATTGCAAACGTGTCCGAGAATTTGCACTGGCGACCCTGCCAGAGACACGCCCGGAAACAAGTTGTCTGGACATAGTCAACTTTTTCCAAGAAGGCAAATCGCATATGGTGCTCGTTTCTGAGTATCCAAGTGAGGATCGTGGAGCCCTTGGAGTGGTTACCCTGGAAGATGTCATTGAAGAACTGATCGGCGAGTAAGTTTACCCTTTCCCTAGATTGTCTTTTTGCTTCCCCTATGATCTATGTACTGACAATGTCAACAGAGAAATCATTGACGAATCGGATGTTTTCATTGACGTCCACAAAGCCATTCGTCGTATGGCACCAGCACCCAAAAGCCGAGTGCCCAAGGGAAAAATTGTCGAGGAGCCCCCAATGGCAACTTCCCTGACAGACGGCGAGTTTGACGGGACGGCCAAGTCCTCACCCGCCCCCACACAAATGTCTTCGGAGCTCCTTCGCCGCCGCAGCTCCGTAGAAGCCCCTCCTCCGCGCTTTCAACTCCGCCGACAAAATGTCGATCAGCCTTCAGACTCTCATGATAATTGGTTCACCCAGAGAGGTGCTACAGACGAGATCCGGGAGCACCTGAAACACCTTGGCCCCTCCAACCTTGCAAGCCGCCCACGCCAGACACGCTACACCTCCGTGAAAATAAAGCGCAGCGGCAACTCGCCGTCTCGCTCTGCCCAAACAGACTTTGAATCCGGACATAGTACTTCTGATTCGCAGCGCTTTATGACGTCGACCGGTCTTCAAGGAGGGATCGGGGCAGGCCTTGTGAGCTCCGGCGCTGATGCTAAGGATGGAGCCCATGCTCTGAAACTCGGGTATGGCACGATTGCCGCGCACGACCATGTTACCAAAGGCACAAATGCCCAACAATACAAAGACCTGCCAAATGTCTCCATCCCTGAAGCCGTCCGTGAAGAACGCGAAGACCTCAACCGCTCTGCTTCTACCCGCAAGAGCAAAAGCCACAGCAGCAGCGGTACAGGAAGTATCCGCTCGACAGATTCAAAGTCGGTTGAATTTATCTACCACCATCGAGGTCCGACCCGCAGCGGCAGCATCACAGAGCAAATCGTGGACGTGAATGGCATTCGCAAAGTTGTCCTCCACGCCAACTGCAGCAGTTCTTCTGAAGGGGAAACTGGGGAAAATGGGGCGTCCGCTCGCCTTACTGGCATCTCGTCTCCTGTCACCAAGGACAGCGCCACAAACACTACAAATACAACCGACCTGCAGACCTCGGCGCACGAGCCCCAAACCAAGAAACGTCGCCGCAAGAAGAAGCATGGCAAACACCACAATCCCCCAGGTGGCGATGGCGCTAGAGAGGACCAACCTCTTCTGCATTAAATATCCCCATTGCAGCCATTCCCCGCTTAACCAGATCTACCGGCCTCTATTCCCGGAAGCGAGCGAGACTGCGGAGCACAGCATCTGCTCAGCCTCTACATGCAACCATGCTTCGCCCACACATCTACATACATCCAGCAATGAAAATACTGGAGGCGAAGCTTGCGGAGGTCCAAACCTCTTTTCTACACTGACGACTATCATGAAGCTGTTCAGGTATGGTCTGACCCCAATCCATTCTTCAAAAAACGTCGCGCTCACCAGTTACCAGGCTCACAAAATGAAACCCTGAAGATCACCACAAAGTCCATAATCCAGGACACAGGCCGTCGAGTCTCTGCTCATGAAATAAAAACCCACAAAAAACCTACATCAAAATCAAAGGCTACCACGAAACTGAAATGAAATCGAAGGGCAACATTAAAGACAATTCAAATGACAACAAGACAAAACCATCCACCAGAAACCGCGACCAGGCTACAGAGACCGCGACATAAAATGTCGAGTCTCTCGCTCATGCAAAAGGGCAAAAAAGGTCCACAAATTTGCAGAGCCAGCGGGATCATCCATCAGATCGAATGTCTTGCTCTCGCAGAAAGAGAGGCCTGGCCACAAGGACCGGCACATGAATTGTTGAGCCCTTCGCTCCTACAAACACAAAACCCACAAAACAAAAATAAATACAACCTAAAACAACAAAAACGAAAAAAACACAACCAACCACCGCAGAGACCGCGACATAAATTGTCGGGTCTCCTGGTGTCTCATGTAACACCACAACTTCTCACGATTGTTACACATGTCCTGATCATTCCGAGCCTTCCAAGGTCTCGACTACTCCTTCCGACTTCCATCCTTCCATCCTTCCATCCTTATCCCTCCTCTCCTGAACATTGTTATGTTCTGTCATATTCACTTCCTCCGCCCATTGTCTCCATACCTCCTCTTACCAGTTATGACACATTACATTTGCGCTGTTCGCATTTTTTATTTCCAGTTGCGCCTTTTCGTGTGCTGTGCATAGCCTACTGCTTTCTGTGCACATATTTCTTCCAGGATCGAGGCTTAGGTCCTCTCAATCAATTCTAGTTTTACCTGCCTTTCTTTCGAATATAGTGTAAATTGTAGACAAATTTGAGTAGCTAGTGCAACTGGAAAGATGACTGTAACTACGTAAACGAGGCTTTGAACTAGATATCATTAAGAGACAACAGGTCGAAGATGAAATAAGATTTGAAAATGGATTGGAATATCAGAGTAGATACATGCTTTTCCAGGCAAACCCATCACCAACTCGAAATTTACAAATGCGCCACGAGTATGCAGAAAGTCCGATCATCAACGTAGATTGCATAAAACGTCCGCCATAAGATAGGCGGTCTAGAGAATGGGTGGGTCATGAAGCCTCGTTAAGAAATCATGGCGGTTGTGAATATCTCCAAGCAGGATGCGAAAGGAGTATCCCGACATGGTGGACGAGGCCTCCTCAATGATATTTCATTCGGATTCAATGAGAATCCGGTGTTATAATCAAGGTGGAGGCAGCTGACCGACCCATTGGGTAAGATGGTCATGCGCCGCAGGAACGATAGCAAGGGCGTCCAAGCCAGTGAGCCAAGGTGTTGCTCAGGCGGACCAAGAAGTGAGCTCCAAGAGCGATCGTGTGAGGGACTGCGGTGACCGTTAAAGAAGACTGCAGGTGTTGCGACGATCACTGCAGAAGAGGATCACGGAAGTGCTTCTGGGAGTTGTTGGCTCTCTCGAGGCGAGCATGGTACCGGTTCTCGGACCGAAGCGCACGGGTCCGCTCGCGGCGCTCTGCAGTAAGAACGGTCTGCTTCTGGTGGTCGGTGGCACCAATCATACCAGTACCACCATTGGCACGAGTAATGAGAGCGCGGTTCTGATTGCGGCCGCGGGGCCTCTCTTCTTCCTCGATCTCTCCGTTCGCAATAGCCAGCTGGCGCTCAGCTCGCTCATCAGCGGTAGGGTAGCTGTGCAGGTTTTGACGGTAGTACTTGGCAAGCGAACGGTGACCAATGCTTCTGCCAGATGGGAGATGGAGTTCATACTCATCCTGATAGATGACGGGTGCCTTACGGCGTGAGCCGATCTCATCATCGTCATCCACCGAGGAGGCATCGGTCTCCCATCCATCATCGTCTCCGTCGGAGCCCTTCACCTTGACGCCACCCGCATCAGCCATATCCTCATCTTCCTCATCATCTTCTCCATCAGAGTAAGTGCTACGGAAGTCGTAGTATTGTCCAATCTCAATCTGCTCCTCCTCAGCTTCGAAAGCGATCATGCAGTGGCCCTTATCACGCATGTGAGTGCGAGCTCCCTCGGCGTTGTTGCGGATGGCATGGCAGTAAAGACATTCGTGGTTTTCGGTAATCTTGCGGTAGAGATAGTTGAGAAGACCATCGAGATCGACCAGATAGGTTTGTTCAGGAACGAACATGCCATGGGTCTTGTACATGTGCTCAACATTGGCCTGGGCATCGGCGGAGTCGGCCAGACAGAACAGACAACGGGAGACAGAGAACTCGGTCTTATCGTTTTGCATCTCAACATCCTCATCCTCTTCCTGGATGGTTGCAGACTTCAGACCATCGGTGACCTTGGCGATCTCATTCTCATTTGATTTACTGACCGGCTCTCCCAAGGAGAACGCGGAGCTTAGAACTGACGCATCATCACCCTCCTTCCTCAGTCGGGTTTCGCGCTGCTTGTGTTTGGAGCTCTTGATGTGGTTTTGATAGGAGTTCTCGCTGTAGAAAGTCTTCTGGCAAGGGTGGCAGGTCTTTTCGAAAGAAGCCTTAGCCGCGGCCTCGGTCGAGTTCGCTTTGGCGGCAATAACCTTCTCGTTGAAAACCTCAAGGGATACTGGCGGAAGAGAGGCGATACGGCGCTTCATGTTATACAAGCTATACAGAGACCGTTGTTAGTCATGCACTTTGTTCAATGAAATTTGTTCGGTATCGCCACTTACTGCCAGTCCTTTCGCATGTGGTCTCTCTGCGCATCGCTGCGGTGGAAGGCGACCAGGCAAGTATTGCAGGTGTAAGGAAGGTTGGCAGCAGATACGCCAGCCTGCTGAGTGGTCGTCGACATGATGATGGTACTATGTGGAATATCGTGTAGAGTCGAAAGGTCGGCCTCTTGGTGGGAAAAATGTAAAGTGGAGCGAAGTTTTTATCGTAGGCGGGGTATGATGAAAGTTCTGTCGCAAGTCGATTTCTCGCTTAACCAAGGATATTTTTTTCTAAGAAAAAAGGTCGAGGAGCGGAAACAACAAGAGAAAAAAAGGATCACAATCTCTTAGTCGTGCGAAAGAAACAAAACTGAGCAGATATGTGCTGAAAGTTGGGCCTTGATTTGCAAGCAAACGCTTATCAACCACACAGATGGAAAGATGACGCTTTTCCTCAAAGGATCACGCTAACCCTGATTAGGAAATAATGGACAACGGAGACACGTGATAATCGGATAAAGGTGGATCCGATTTGTGATGGCTCCGGCGGTATCGTTGGTCGTCTTGATGATATCAGGTGAGCTGAGCCTCTACTTCTCGTCATGTATCTTTGAGCCGAGAATCATTACCAGGCACCCAGCGATCCTGATCGATTTCCAACATTATCTGGCCGGGCTATGCGCCGGTCGATCCCACGATGACAAGGCTCCGCGGAGCTTCTTTTGATGGCACCGCGCGGTCTGGCGGCAGCGAGCGATCTCAGTACTGTCGGTCCAAGCTTCCGTCAAACGCGCCGGAAGTTATTGTCGTGAACACCGTCGAAGTTACAGATCCATCTCGGGTTCTACCGTGGTATCGGGATGAGCGCCGGAGGCGATTTAACGTACTGGTGCGAAGGTACGTGCTTGCTGGAACCGAGTGCTGACACGGCGGGTGTCCCTCCTCACCCCGTCACTTTCGCTGACTGGTGCTCTCTCAATAGGTACAAGAACCAGCTGCTACATGGATGTGATGATCCAGGATGCCGAACCCCAACCTGCGCCAGTCAACGTCGGAGAGTCAGCGAAGGCCCGTATCGCCGCTACACAGAACTCAGCGCGCGAACTCTAGCCTGTTACCTCGCCAGCCAAGACGACGCAGAGAGCGGGCTGTGCTGCAATAATCCCCGGTACTCATCCGAGATGACGATCCATGATTACCACCGTATCTCTCTCCAGCGATCTCGAGCATTCCAAACGCATGCTACCGCTACCACTGCCCTGGGAGATCATCATGGCTCTCCAGCTGCACAAGACCAAGCAGACGAAGCACGAGCAGATACTTTTGAGGAAGGAGGAACATCAAATATAACAGGCGAAGTCGCTGGACCGACATTCAACGTCATGCACCCAAGTACCTTTAATTTTGAAGACCTTGACCTCGCCGCTGAACAACCACTCAAAGATCCGAAATCCTTTACCCAAAATCTATTTGATACATTGTCCTTGCGCATGGTAGAATGGCTTCCACTACGACGCACAACGGAGAATTCACACATACCCAGAAGCAAAGCAAATATTCACCATGAAATCAATGAGAGGCCGAACTACCACAAAGCACAAACCAAAGAAGCAGATAAACCGAAATCAGACACCACCCAAACCACTCCTATGCATGCAAGACACCCTCCACCGCGCACGCCTTCGTCCCGACCTTCCGGAACGCAGTCCTCGGCCGTGGAGCTCACCTTTCAGAACCAACATGTCAAGCGGCTGTCGATTCCTGAAGTGGATAACTGGCGGCAGTCAACCCGATCCAGCATTGATGATAAGAAGCGACCAGAGTACAAAGGCCATAAACTGACCATGAATGCGCATCTCCCTTCGGGTGAGTTTGCCACCATGCCTTCACCGCCGGCCTTGAAACACCGCCCTCAGAAACACCGAGGGAGGACGGGGGATGTGGATGAAGCACGGTGCAAAGATCGTGTCAAGAATCAGCGTCGCGTATCTTGGGACAGCGAGAAGCTATTGACGGAAGCAGCCATTGACGAGAGCCCCGAACATACCCAACCACCGCCTCAGGCGGAGGTGGATATCGACACTCCAACAAACCGCAAACCAAAGTTGAGTTCCATGCGTCGCACGGCAAGTGTGGCCCCGCTGGCTCAGACCATCTCCCATTTTACCCCAGAGATCATCGATGGCCTCAGTCAAGTCATGATTCCTTCCGAGGAAGACGCAGAGACTTGGCGAGAGGAGCTTGATCGCATACAGTCTATGGGAAGCTTCGACAATCCTGACTGGATGCTTGCAACGCCTCGCCAGCGTCAGGTCTTTCCATTTGTCGCACAGAGCGCGTATTTTATCTTTAGCAGTACCGGGCAGATTCTACGATCCTTCGGGAGAGATGCTCCGGAGCTGGACCTAACTGCCAACAAGATGAATAAGCGCTTGGATGTTTCAAAGCTTCAAGGGTCTTTGCAGCGCCTTTTTACTATCTGCCCATGGGATATTGCCTTGCATAGTTTATGGAGTTCGCTGGACAAACTTTTTGTGCCGCCGGACGAGGTTACCTCCTCTGGTCGACCTTCTCGTCGTTCATCTCGGAGCTCTACAATGACCAGTTCTGCTCCTCCTGTGGTGCGGCGACTTTCAGAGTCAGCCAGCAATGATCACTTGTCTGACGCAGATGCCGCTTATATCGCCACTATCGCCTTCTTTGTCTTGGTCAGCTCAGTCCCTGATCTCGATGTTAAGACGTGGCGTGGTATCTTGCGGATGCGGGCAGCTGGAACTGTCGCCTCTTCCGCTGATATGCAGAAGCTGTCTCCCGAGCATGCCCAACAAGCTGTGGAAGCCACCGACCGACTTGAACATGAATTAGGCCTCCGCTTGATCAATCGTCTTGTCCGTGCCCTCGCCGCTAGGCTTGCCTATCATGAGATATCCAAAGCTCGCCAAGTGTACAGCCTCGATCTACCCAAGCAACGGAAAGTCAATGTTCTGGATCGCATCATGGACCATCTCAGTGAGCAACACCCTCAAAAATCCTCGGAGACCGATAGTGCACCTTCTCAGTCCACTGGGCCGATCCCTCTCATTCTTGAGTGGCTCCGAACGCTCTTTCTACGCGAATGGGATGGTAACCCGGAGATGGCCCGTAGCAGTGCTGCTGGTGGCGCTGTGCAGATCTTGGCTCTGATGTACAAGGAACGCAATCGGTTGGGTCTTTCTCCCGAAGACTTTCACACACCTATCCTCGCTGAGCGGCTGGACCCTCTCGAGATGCCCGTTGCCTGGTTGGGGAACCTCTCAAACAACCGCACTATGCACCTCCTCTCCTATCCATTCCTCTTCCCTCCGTCGTCCCTGGTCATCTATTTCAGAGCTCTCAATTACTCGGCCATGTCTAAATATTACGAGGCTGCCATGACCACCACTCGACATGTCACACAGACTGCCTTTAGCAGTATCTCGATTGCAGATGATGCCACGCTGCTAGCTCGCATGAAGATCTCCATGTCCACATATTTGGTCCTGGTGGTTCGGCGAGACAGTGTCTTGACTGATGCTCTCAATCAGCTCTGGCGGCGAGAAAAACGTGAGCTGATGCGCCCACTCAAGGTTCAGATGGGCATGGATGAGGGCGAGGAAGGGTTGGATCACGGTGGTGTCCAACAAGAGTTCTTCCGTGTGCTCATGGGTGAAGCTCTAGATCCATCCTACGGCATGTTTACGATGGATAGCCGACATCGTATTTCTTGGTTCCAGCCCTGCTCATGGGAACCGGTTTACAAGTTTGAGCTTCTTGGGTTGCTGATGTCTATAGCCGTGTACAATGGCCTGACGCTTCCCATCAACTTCCCAGTGGCATTCTACCGCAAGCTATTGGGACTCAAAGTGAAGCACCTCGAACATATCCGTGACGGCTGGCCCGAACTCACTCAGGGTTTGGACTCGCTTCTTACCTGGACGGATGGTGATGTGGGTGATGTCTTCATGCGCACGTACGAATTCAGTTATGCGTCCGCGGGCAGCGTGGAGACAGTTGACATGCAAAATATTGGCCGTGACGAAGTATGGCCGGGATCGAAAGCGCCGAGTGCGGATGCAGACGTCGCGTGGTCCAACTCTTCTCAACGCTTTGACCCAGAAACCGTTCGCCCGTCATCTTCAATGGCAGCAGAGGCGTCCAATCGCACCTCTATCCCCTCTTCAACTCCAACAGTCGAAGCGCCTCTCGTGACCAACCAGAATCGAGCACAATTCGTTAAGGATTACATCTTCTGGCTCACGGACAAATCCATTCGGCCGCAATTCGAGGCATTCCTTCGAGGCTTCCACACCTGCCTCGATCGTTCCGCGCTGTCAATCTTCACACCGGAGGCACTCAAGACTGTCGTAGAAGGATTTCCAGAAATCGATGCGACGGAACTTGAGCACCATGCTCGGTATGAAGGTGGATTCACTCCTCACCACCGAGTCATTCGGGACTTCTGGAGCGTGGTCCGAGATTATTCCGCCGAGAAGAAGGCGCAGCTCTTGGAGTTCGTCACCGCTAGTGACCGAGTTCCCGTCAACGGTATCTCGAGCATCATGTTCGTGATCCAGAAGAATGGCGTTGGAGATTTGGTAAGCATTTGTCATTTCCTACTCATGGATTACATGAATTATATGGATTACATGGATCCCACAATTTGAACACGTTACTAATTCGTGACGTTTAGCGCCTTCCGACCAGTCTGACCTGCTTCGGTCGTCTGCTGCTGCCCGAGTATTCTTCGAAGAAGGCCCTGGAGGAGAAGATGGACAAGGCACTGGAAAATGCCCGGGGATTCGGTGTTGCATAAGAGCGTTTTTCTTGATTCTGATCAACCAAGTTGATCTACACATACCCATTTTCCCTGTTCTATAGTTTTACAAATGAACAAAAGCTGGATCTTGAAGGATGCTATGGTTGCAGATTTCCTAATCATAAGGCGCAAAATGTATAACAACACCAACAACCAGAACTGCAGCGGACGGTCAGCTCCTATTTATAAGCTCTTAGATAACTGTTCACCACGTGGGGTTCACTCGACTCACCAGGCGAATCAGACGAAAGTAGAAATCCCGCAGCTCCAGTCTGGCCGTGTGGTTCGTTCTTGCGGCGTGTGCAGGTGGCGATCCCCAGAAGATTCAACAGGCGGAGTCCTGCTCTCCGCTTCTGACTCTTCACCAGTGCTGAGCTGCCCATTGCGACTTTCCTTCTTCTGAGATACTATCTTTTGCACATATTCTCGCTTTGGTCTTTATAGCCGGCCTGGTACTTTCTACTGTAAGTCACCTCGACCACTTTCCACGCTGTTTCCGGCGCGTCCCTCTCCCCCGCTGCCCCGCGTTCTCCGATAAGAATCATCGCGAGTACCCTCGAGATTGAAGCTTCGTTCATCAAGGCTGACAGGAGATACTCCCAGTATTATCCTTAGTTCGGTCGGAAACCTCAATTCACAATGCCGCCTATTATCTACGCTGTTCGCCACGCCCAGGTTCGTCAGGAATGCCTCGACACATAAAAGCTTTGCACAAAAGCTCCCCCATCTTCACCTTCAATCGCGAGAATACGCCTTCTTCGGGCATTACTAGCTAGCAACTCTTTCTGAATGTGCACAATCTAACCATGGTCTCTTCCAGGGCGTCCACAACCTTTGCACGGCCAACCACGTCATCCCCGACCCCCTCCTCACAGATCTCGGCCATGAGCAATGTGCTAAGTTGCAAAATGCCTTCCCTAACCACGCCCAGATCGACCTGGTTACCGCATCTCCTCTTCGCCGAACCATCTACACAGCCCTCGAGAGCTTCGGGCCAGTCTTCGAGTCCCACCCGGACATGAAGCTGATTGCCCTGCCGGACACCCAGGAGACCTCCGACGTGCCGTGCGATACTGGTAGTGAGCCCGAGGCCCTGCAAGAGGAGTTTGCCGGAAAGCCTGTTGATTTGGAGTTGGTGCACAAGGGATGGAATAACAAGGTGTGTTACAATCTGTATGACCTCAAGTCTCACATCATTAACGGAGATTTGCCGAATAGGAAGGTCGCTATTCGCCTACGAACCGGGCACTGAAAGAGCGCGCGCGTGCTGCGCGCCGTTGGCTCAAGGCTCGCCCCGAGAAGGAGATTGTTCTCGTTACCCACGGTGGTTTCTTGCACTACTTCACCGAGGACTGGGAGGATAGCAGCCAGTACCAGGGTACGTGAACTGGCGACCGCAAGTGCATGAGCAAGGAACATGACTAACATGCCAATTTTTGCAGGTACCGGCTGGGTCAACACCGAATACCGTACTTACACCTTCACAGACGAGGCGCACAACGAGGATCTGGAGGGCCACCCCTTGGACGGTGACAATGCCACTTTGACTGAAACACTCGAGTCCCGGCAACGGCGCGGCAAGGCCGGCCCTATGCCTGGCCGTGAGCAGCAGAAGACATTGTACAAGCTCGGCACGCAGGGCTGGGACGACCAAGGCTTGCAGATGAGCACGGCCGAACGGGATGCCGCCAAGGTTCCTGGTGGTAAGGAGGTTGATGGCGTTCGTGTATAAAGCGCGAGAGTCTTCAAAGAAGGTAGATTGTGTATTTTTGGATGATATTAGACATTGGCATTGTTCTCTTTGGGAGACACAGCCGCTGGCACATACATCGACAGCATGTAGATTAAATCTTGATAGATTGATTGGATGCCCATAGAATAAAAGTTACCAAATATGGATCATGAAGAACATTGTTGGAGGCAATTCTGGTAGAATCTCATTATGTACCCTCTGTATTATCAAACAGGGGCTTATTACTCTATTATCAGTCTATTCTTGTCGCTTTGAACGTCTACCTAGGGGTTAGCATAGAGCAAAGATCTGACAAGGCTGTTCTTCGGGTCGACATTGTGCCTCGCTTCGAATTCCCTTGGTTCGTCTTTGAGAGATCAAACTTGACAATGGTATTCTCGTTGAGCCTCAGACAATATGATACATCCTCGACAGGGGTCTGTACAAAGGTTAAAGGGCCTCGTTATCTATTCATGTTGGCCTGGGGGGTTATTTAATGGGTTTGGATTCCCCCAGAGTTGGTCTTCTGGATACAAGCACATTCACAATCACAATCAGTACAGTGACAGAGTCAACAGTTCAAAGGATACATTTTTTGTCTGCCCGGCTAGGAATACTTCACAGTCAACCCTGTTTAAGTGAATCTTCTTCCTTCCAAAACTACTAACTGTGATCTTCTAGGCAGTCTTCGGTATCCCACATGCAGTCATGGACATATTCTCATCATGGACTATACGGTAGGTCCTTTCCCGCAATGGAAATGTGAACTAATGGTTGCATCTAGGTTGCTGGCAATGCAGATACCACATATGGATATCCACATTATTGACAGGTGAGCCTTCCTCAGCCCTTATTGGTACTAACAACTACTTTTCTCAAATTGCCGCATATAGCCTGATCATCAACCTTCCGGTAGGTCCCTCCCCAAGTGATGCCTCGAACTGATAACTGCTTCTAGGTTACTGATCGTATACTTCAACAAATTATGTCCTCGGGACGGCTCCGGTAGGTCGCTCATCGAGCGCGTGACTGTTACTAACGACAGATTCTAGGTTATCCAGATGCGGAAACCAGGAGAGCTAAAAGCCAGAAAGCCATCAAAAACCACAAGCTCCTTTGGTCCTAACCATAAGTATACCAAGATAGGATAATTTCTCATCCCCCTTCCTTCCCTTTGGACATACAGGGTTTACTAACAACGAGTCACAGGCATCCCGAGTCATTGTTCGATGAAACAGGAGATGAAACAGTTCCCGAGTAGATGAACCACCAGGTAAGTCAGCTCCTCCCCAATTCATTGACTGACATATTTTAGGATCTCCTTGAATTCATATATGGCTTGAGTCACTCAACAGATCTCATCATGGTATCTTTCGCTGAAAGTATTCCGCACGGTCAGTGAATCCCCCCCCACCGTCCATGCTGACTATGTTTTTAGGTTGTCTAGATCCCCGCTTTATAACGAATGTTTTGTATAGGTAAGTTCCCTATCCCCGATGTGTCATGGCTAATGAATTGAGTTTATTAGGGACTTTAACAAACAGGATCCACGGACGCGAGTGTTTTCCGCCACCTCCAGGGAAGTCTTCCCCTCATATTGGTGAAAGCTAATAGAATGGTTCTTATTAGGTTTATCGAAACCAGAATTCGCTCTGTTTAATGTGCAGGTAAGTTTGTGCCCATTTCCCTCTCGTGGTGGCTGACGCAAATAGAATCGATCATCTTGTATCGAATCGCGGTCTTTGATGGTGGAGGCGCGGGGCCAGGCAGTGGATGATGGTGGCTTAGGGCCCCCAAAACCCAAGTAAGTTCTAAGTTCATAACTCACTTTGTTTGTGTTACAGATGCTAACTCGCAGTGTATGCCGGGGATGATTTGGATCTAGGACTTCCTTGTTTGAAAAAGGAATCTAGCGAATCAAATAGCTGTCGGGGACGGATCTCGGTGGATTATCATGCAGGTAAGGAGCGCCTGGATTTGACATGGAATCTACTCGAGAATGCGAATGTGGTAGGCAGCGAGATTTCGGGTACCTGCAATTTTGCATTTGTACTCAGTGTCTACGTAACAAATCAGAGGGAAATCAGGGGCTCTTGAGCAGTATTGAAAAGCACCGCCGTGTAGGTGGATACTCCCCGGAATCTTGGTGCCTTCTGTGACAGTAGCTTCTTTGTTAGCACTAAGATTTTAACAAGAAGTATACTGTAAGTAGTTTAACCCCATAAGGGTCTTAGAAACGAGGGTGCAAATCAGAATACACTGTGGACCTGTAGTGGACACCCTATTTTTAGGTGCCGATCGCACACCCCCAGTCCCGTGGCGCAGGGTAATTAGTTCCTGTTAACCAGCTGCCTGTCCGAATCCGAATCCGATGCTCTTCAATATAATTCCCGTCCCCTGCTCTGTTTCCTCGTCCACCACCAAGTTGACGGGCCGAAGATGATTGATGAAAACCTGCCGAGTAAGCTTATCCTCATTACAGTTCTCTGGCTCGGTCGGCCACTCTTTTCTCCCCAGACGACGTCATTGCTTTCACCCGTGACCCGACTCCCCGCCATTCTTGAGGCTCCTTTGAGGACTCCGATCGCTAATTTCTTCTCTTTCTATAGCGTTCTTCCTCAAGAACAACTCACAAAGCACAAACCAGAGTACCATCTACCACCGTCAGCATGGAAATGAGCCGGAGCCCGCCTATAACTTGCGCTACTTGGACCCCAACCTGCCCACATCGCGGAATCGCTACGGCGTCGCCCTCTACGACCCCTACGTGCCGGACGTCGTATACGGAGAGGTTGCCGTGATCCCTGAATGGACACAGCCCAGTTTATCGGTTGATACGATTCGTGCCAATGGTGGCACTGCTCCTCCCCCAGAGCCTATCCTCCCTACCGAATTCTCCATCCACCTTTACAACCCCGACCAGCAGATCGTGATCAAACACCAACCGAAGTCATGGAACAAGCCCGCACGGTGGGAATTCGAGATGCCTCAGCGTACATTTCGAGTGCCTTCTGCATCAACCCTCGATCGGACACAGAGTGACCCCGCCGCGGCAGATATAACGCCCAAGCTGCGGTTCAGCTGGCGCAAGGATGGAAAGCTATCCAAGGACCTGTCATGCCTCTTGCACGGCAAGTCTTCCATGATCCCAGAGACTCGCACCAAGACTCGGGAGCCGGACATCACTGTGGCACTATTCCAGGGCCTGCGGGAGCTAACGCTCTACGAGCCGAATCTCTACCGGGTGGAAATGGAAGACTTCAAGGGTCTGGAGGTTGTCCTCCTACTCGCAGCAGTAGCTATCCGGGACATCTTCTTTGGCCTCGCCAAGGAAGCATTTCACATCGTCGCCGGCGCTCCTCCAATCGGCACCAGCAAACCCCAAACTGGAGCAACCTCAGGCCGGAAAACCCCAGTAACCCAGCCCCAACAACCAGCAGTCGCAGTCGCAAACGGCAAACCTTCTCCACCACGCCTCACTATCCCCCAAAACCAAGCTCCAGCACCGACACCACAACCCCGCCCCCGCCAAGACGCCCAAGCGAAGAAAGAAGCCCAGCGCACGCAAGAGCTCCTCGCAGCCGAGAAACGCGCTCAAGAAAAAGCCCAGCGCCAACGCCAATCCGAAATCGACGCCGAAACAAAACGTCTTCAGAAACTATATGGCCGCGAGGAACAGCAAGTCCGCGCCAGTGCACAAGCCACTGCAAATAAACCAACACCCACCGCTTCATCACGCCCACACCTTCCACCTCGTCACACGGGACCATCAAGGCCATACTCGCATCACTACTCGCAATCCTACTCTCACCTTCCACCTCAACAACCACAACCACAAACCCGCCCACCCAACGCTGTACACCCCACATTCGCGGGTAGCCCATACATGCACGGTTCTGCGGGAGGCCATCTAGATCCACGCGCGCAATCAACAGCACACCTTATGCAGCCTCGGCCACAGCAAGTCCGGCCACAGTCAACGGTGGGCTTTTATCAAGCGGCAAATGGTGGTCTAGCACCAGGGCCTGCACCAGGAGCCCGACCGCAGCAAACTCTGGCTCCGAAGAAGAGTAGTTTCTTTGGATTCCGCCGGAACAAGGAAGAGGAAGGAGAGAAGCAGAGGAATCGGTTGGATAAAAAGCGGAGTTCGATGTTTTGATTTCATTTGCATTGAAATTTTTGGAAGTTCGATTTGGTTTTATGCGATACCCTGGCATTTCTTTCTTCGCTGATTTGGGAACTTGGTTTTGGGCATGGCATTGGAGTTTGAGAGCAATGGTTTTTCGTTTTTTTCGTTTTTCTTTTTTGAATACATGATGAAATTTTTGATGGGCAATTTGATGATATTACCTATCTGGGGATGATTGTGCTACTGGGTAAAAATGACCTCCAGTATTGATTACCTGATTTGATGTACCTGGTAATCGCGAGTGCATATTGTTCTTGTTTCATTTGATAAGAATGCAACGTCATAAACTCATAATCATCGTAATACTAGCAAAACTCCGACATAAGGCTACCATAGTTGAAAGGCAGCAAAAACAAAACAACACAATGAGACGTTGAGCACCCCGATAACACCACCCAATCCTCCAAGTCCAGTCAGAACACCTCAGAGTGTAACAGCACAAGCACTCAAAACACCGCCCTCCTTAACCAAATCCTCAGTGACCCTTGCCGACACGCCACGATCAATACCCAGAATCATAAGCGCCTCTTTTGAGGCATGCAAATCTTCCTTGACCACGATGTCCGCACTACCATCTTTGCTAGGGATACTCTCAACCTGGTCATTACCAGTCATCAGCTTTGGCGAGACGGGAGAAACAGTCATGAAGTTGATGTTGACTCCCTCCTGGCCGAGAAGACTACCCACAACGCCGATCTTGCCGGGAGAGTCATAGTTCTCGCAGATAAGAAGGGTGCCTTCAGGTTCGAACGATGCTTCAAATCGACCAAGACGAGTGATCAGCGGCTGATCACCAGAGCAGGTACCCGATATGATTCTCTGGTGTGGTACCTGGGCGCCAGTACCAGATGTATCAGTAGGACCAGGAGCGCGGGATGAAGCTCGAGATGGCGAGCGTGCCACAAGTGTGACCAGCGAAGAGTAAGACGAGGTATCAGCAGGATCACGGGAGTGCTGCTCGTTCACGAAAATGCCACGCTCGCGAGCAACGAGCTCGGCATTCACGATGTTAATGTTGATTCCCTCGGAGCCACTGATAGGTGCCAGGAGACCCTTGATGAGAGCAGCAAAGAGTGGCTTTGTGTTGTTGATGGTGGCGACTTCGCCTTGATAAATCAAATCGAATGTGTTTCGGGCCGGGGCTCCCCCAGGGAGAACAGCGTAGTGTTGAGTATATAGACTGCCAATCTTCTCAACGAGGCGCACGAATGGTTGTAGCTTCTGGTACTCTTCGGGAAGAATGAGAGGTGCATTGACAGCACTTCGAGGGAGCGATCCATGCAGAATATCCAGTACTTGCTCACATACATCGACGGAGACATTTTCCTGAGCTTCCACAGTGGATGCACCGAGATGGGGAGTGACGACTGCTCGAGGATGAGCAATCAGCTTTGATGCCGTGGAATCGGCAACCGGGGGTTCGGAAGTAAAAACATCCACCGCTGCGCCAGCCAAATGTCCAGACTCCAGCGATGCAAGTAGAGCGGCTTCATCGATGGTTCCACCGCGAGCCACATTGAGGATCCGAGAGCCTGGCTTCATCTGGGCTAATTCAGCCTCGCTGATCATTCCTCGAGTCGAGGCAATCAAGGGAGTGTGGATCGTGAGGAAATCGGCCGATTTCAGAAGCTCTGGCAAGGAGGTGACAAGAGTTACAGAGGCTGAAGCTGCCACAGCTGGCGACGCATATGGGTCCAATGCATTGACAGTCATACCGAGGCCCTTGGCCAGACGAGCTACCGTCAAGCCCACTGGGAAGGATTGTCAGAGATCTTCATGCTAGATAAAGCCAAGGCAACAACTTACCCTTTCCGAGTCCAATGACTCCCAAAACCTTTCCCTTGACCTCGACACCAACAAACTTGCTGCGTTCCCATTTTCCACCCTTGAGGCTGGCGCAACCCTCGGGAATCTTTCGTGCCATGGCCATCATCAATGCAATGGTATGTTCAGCAGCAGCTCCAATATTACCGGACGGTGAATTGACCACGACAATGCCCAGTTTAGTAGCCTCCGCGACATCTTCAGTAGACACGTCAGCCACAACTCCTTTTATTTGTGGACGCCGTTCTGGAAGATCACTCACCAACATTGTCAACCCCAACACCAGCACGAGCAACAACCTTCAGGCGCCGAGCTGCCTGCAGCACGGTCGCAGTGACTTTGGTCTCCGAACGAACAAGGAGGGCATCATAGTTGGGAATGATCTCCAACAGCTCCTCTGGAGTCAGGCTCTTGCGCTCGTCCACGTCGAGTGAGCCCCGTAGTAGAGCCAGGCCATCGGCGGACAGCTTCTCAGGCACGAGGACCTTTGGCGGAGCTTCTTTAAAGAGAGGCATGTTGCGACGAAAGGTGTAAAGGGTAGCAATTCAACAATTCACATTCAAATGGATTCAAAAGAGTACAATTGCAGCTGCAGAAGGGAGACAGGAAGTTTAAAAGGAAAAAGGAAGAGAGCCCGAAACTGGACGGTACAAGAGGAGCAGCTTTCTTTCTTCGCGGCAGGCGCGCCCAGCGATCTCGCAGTAAATATGGTAGCCCAAATAAAGTGCATCGACCCAATGAGATCACTTCAAAGTGCTTCAAAGGTACTTGTCAGGGTTCCAAATGAAGTTACTTCTACCGCGGAGCTAATCAGTCCGTCACTTCGCGGCGACACAAAAACGCGGGGTAGCATCAGTGGCGTCGTTGATTGGAGACTCAACCTGCGGTTTCGGCCTTAGGAAAAAGCATTTTGCATTGGGTACTTCTATCGTAAATAATTGAGTGAAAATTTGACAAAGAAAATTAACTGGGTTATCGTCGTTTGATGAGAATTTACTATTAAATAGAAGCTGTCTCCGCTATGTCTTGTAGTCCACCACATTGTGGAGTATACCCTAACTACACTACTTTCTAAGATGGGCTTATACTTTTACAGTTCCCCATCCGGAGAAGCCCTTTATCAAATAGGATTAGTCCATTGTTAGATAGCCCGGTCTCCTTGTGCATATTGTGCTCTATCTTAAATCCCAGCTATCGACTTCTGAATCCCATCTTTTTTCTACGCTCTAGAGTCATCGTTCTTCATGACACTACCCTTCTTGAAGACTATCTGTTGGTGCCATTCGAGCAATAGCCTGTCATTTTCTTATTTCGCCAAATTTTTGGACTATCTTAACCTTGTCTGGTGAGAGCGCCTGTGAAAAATGGCGCCGTCGAACTTGATGCACGCTGCTTTGCTCAGGAATTACTCACATTTCCGTGTTTGATACTGGGAATTGCCGAATAAGTGACTGGACAAGGCACACTAAACAATTCTGGGGAAAGTCAATCCGAGAAGAAGTTGTTGAAATCAAGCCTTTTTAAGGAGGCGACTGAAAACTAGAGGAAATGGGTATTTTCTACAAGAAACGAGCGTCCTGGAAATTCTTTGGATAGTGTGATGTCTGAGTAGTTCTTATATTGCCGATTATAGAATCCTGCAACGCGATAACTAGATTTTCCCCTCAATGTGCAGACGAGGGGACTAAAGGATAATTCAGCAGATGTTTAGAGCTGTAGAGCAATCAAGAATAGCCATTAGTGTAATGATTAGACAAGTGAAGATATTCCGGTCTATAGCACTAGAGTTCAATTCAAGGCTCCCCAGCTAGCTGTCGCATTCAGACTTGCTGGATAAACTCACTTCTTAGTGTAGTGCGCTGAATACTTTTACAAGAAAACATTATGTTAGAAGGAACGCCGATAACCCAAAGATAATTTCTCCATGAGCTCATATTATCGCAGTCTTCACACAGGAGCTGTTTGCTTTTCGCTCGTACTTGAGGGTCTTACGGCCGACGAAGTATACAAATAGCAATTTGGGGGCGCAGAACAGGCGATGCCCCTCTAGACCACATAACAGATAAGGATAGTAGTAAAATTAGTCCAAAATCGACAAGAAGAGGATCCAAAGCTAAGTTTATTTTCCTTCATCGAGCAGAGCCTCCTTTGTTGTGTGCCTATTTTAGCATGTGCCCACTGCGGGTCGCAGACTTTCTTATACGAACGTTAATCCTCGCGGTTACTCGACAGTTTTTACGAGCCAAACCCTTTCTCTCTTAGCGTATAAACTTAGCCTCCTGGCCCCCCTCTGTCTTGCCCATTTCAGCATTGACAATTCTCCGTCCAAACGGCATTGATCATTGCCTCGTGTCCCGAATGCTGATGAATCATGATTGCTTACGCCCAAAATAGAACGAGCCCCGGAAGGATACGATCGCGATGTGCGGATCTCCCGTATTCCTGGGCAATCCACCTGCCAAGTGATGCGGCTGTTGGGGCCAAATCTCGAGTTTCATGAAGTTACTAGTCTCGATGGGGAAGTCTCGATCATCTTCACGTCGTGAAGGTGGATGCGACAGAGTCTAATCGTGGTTTGGGCTTACTCTTTCCTTGCCCCCTAACGGTCGATCCTGTTGGATCACCGTGCAGATTACCTGAAACACACCACGAGTACCTCGTACCTGTTGCTAGCCTTTGCTAATCAACCGAGAATTGCAGCATGAACTCATTCACTGACCACCACCCTGGTCCGCTCTAACGGCTTACGGTGGGACCTCTTCTTGCACCGCGTCGCTTGGCACAACTTGGGCTTCATCTCCTCATCTCCACTAGAGCCTGTCGGTTGGCACTCCGGACAGGGTTCTTGAATCCTGGACCTTGACGAAATAGACCTGGTTCTTGGAACTGAAAGGTCCATCTCTTTCAATCTTAGCTCGGGCTTACTAGGGCCTATCTTCCCCATCATCGGATGCTCATTTCCTAGTTATTTTTGTCGCATTCTCAAGGTCGTGCCTTTCAGCTCGCGATCTTGCGATCTTGCAAACCGTTCTATTCTTTTTTATCTGATTTTTCTGGGCTTCTATTTTGTCTAGTCAGCCCAGATCGGTTCCGACGAGACCAGATCCTGCTCGCTAGCTAGGAACGCCCTCGCCCCGCAAACACGTTATTAAAGGGCGCGAACCCGCAGTGCTGGCGATGCCATAAACCCCCTCTGCTACCCCCTCCAGCGCGAGCGCCATGAGCTATTGATCTCTCGCTATTGCGCATCATGGTGGGGGTCCCGCATAGTACTGGCTGTGCATTGTGTCGCGAAAGACATATCAAGGTGAGTCAAACGGAGCTTCGGCCAGTAGTGCCCCGACAACTAAGACATCACCCCGCCGCTTTGAAATCCAATCATCCTATTAACACATATTCAAGTGCGATGAAGCAGTTCCCGAATGCACCCAATGCCAGCGCTACGGCCGCACCTGTCCAGGATACCGTCGCACCTTTCGCTTCCAAGACGAGGGTCCAAGTCTAAAGCGCCGGCATCGCTCCACCACTCGTGGGCGAGGCCGCGGGGCTTCGACGGGCCCAAGCACCCCCAGCACTCCCGGTACAACCACACCCCAAATCGAGCCATATGGCCAGTCCGAGCTCGGCGGTGCTGCAGCCGTTGTCCGCGCGAATGCCATTGCCTTGATGCGTCGACACTCGTCAACGGTCACACTAGACGAGAATGTGACGCCATCACTCGTGCGCAAAACCTTTCGAGCAGCGCAGCCACAGTTGTTTCTAGACTTTATCAGCGCGTCATTTCCAACATTGTACTTTCATAACCAGTTTCGCGCCGGTAACGAGCCCGGCTTTGCGGAGTTCATTGTGTTGAATTTTGGTCAAGATGCGTACCTGGACACGGCCATTTGCTGCCTGAGTTCAGTGTATTTGGCACATCTAACCCAGGATCCGGTGTTGCTACGGACAAGTAGGCGGATGTACGGACTCTCCCTGAGCGAGGTGATTCGTGCTCTGTCGAAGAATGAGCATGCTTTGTCGGATAATATGGTTTGCACGGCTATGATGCTGAGTGTGTACGAGATGTATGCTCGAACAAGTCATGATGCATGGGTCGTGCATTCCGACGCCGTCAGACGGCTCATGGAAAGTCGTGGTCCAGCACTACATGATTCCGGCTTTGGACGATCATGTTGGATCGCTTTTCGAGGATTTCATATTGCAACGGCTGTGTATCAGGGAAAGCCGTGTTTTCTGGATCAAGAGGAATGGCAGCGTTACACGATGCGAATCATGGCCGAGGATGCTCAAAAACCCGGTGAATGGTCGGCATATGCTTTTATCTCGGATAGGGTCTTCATGGAGATCGCCAAATGTCCCCGATATATCAGCGAGACACGAGACATTCTGTCTGACCAGGCCAGGATAGAGCGAGATACTGTCGAGGCTTTGCTGCAACGGATTAAAGAAACCACCATTAAACTCCACACCCTCAGCACTGAACTGCGCTGCTGCATCAGTGCCCACGGCCAAAGACAACAGGGCATTGTCCGTCGCCCAGGTACATTTGTCGGCCCGGTTCCAGAAATTTTCCCTGAAACGGGGCCATCGCTTCTCTTACGTGGCGCGGAGAATGTCCTAGGAACACTCTGTCAGTTACGCGAGCGTCTGGAGGATAAAATTCGCTACCGTGTGATTGAAGAACTCTCACCCGAATCTGTCGCAGAGACGCCACCCAGTGAAGGCAGTACGACTTCCCAGTCTCCAACAACGACACTTGCCAGGCCGAGGACATTCACCTTGCCCTTTCGTATCTCCTCCGAGCTCGGACGCGGCCCATCTCAGACATCTGATCGTAATGATCCCCATGCGGTGATTTGGCTGGACCGTGTTGCTTCATCGATGGGCATGCTGGGTACGAGGATTATCGAAGAGAGTCCCAATGTTGGCTATGTTGAAGAAGAAACGTCGCCTGGCACATCTACCCTCAGCTGATGGGTGAATACTTTCTGCATTGATCATTTATACCCACTCTAGCAGGTCTCTAGGGTCTGTATTCCCACCCATCCCATTCTCCCCACCGCCATTTGCATTCTGATACTTCACACGCATTTTGAGCTTTGTGATATCCAATTTCTTCAGCGTCATCCGATGTCATTCACATAAACATGTATATATACAACCAGTTCGGTTCGAAACATCAATCACCATTCACTTTCTTTGAAATTCCACATCAAAGGTCGGAAAAATAGCGTACCGTAACTTCATGTCCCTCGTTTAATACTCCAAGGACTCCTCCAACAGTTTCCTCAATTCGCCCTTCTCCGCCTCCAACTCCTCACTCAAACTCGGCGCAAGCATCAAAACTCTCTTCTGCGGGATCGTTCCCTCAACCAATCCCTCCACGTCAGCAGCCTTAAAGCCTAAATCCTTCAATCCGCGCGGCTGATCTCCCAACTTGACTAGGAAATTTGCAATCGCTTCACCAAGTACTTCTCCGGCGCTCTCACGCTTGACGTTCGAAATATCAACTCCGAATGCCTCTGCGGCCGCCAAGTGGCGTTCCGGGTTTGACGCGGCCGTGAAGCGGAAGACAGCCGGCGCGGTCACGGCTACTGATACACCGTGCGGGATAATTGGGTGGTCGACATCATAGCCGGCGTGCTTATAGCCTGGGTTCTGGCTAGAGATAGGGTAACTCATACCGTGGCACAGATGAACGCCTGCGTTACCAAAGCCCACACCAGCTAGTGTAGCGGCGAGAAGCATGTTTGACTGAGCTTCGTGGTCATCTGGATCGCGCACCGCGCGGGGTAGATATTGAATTGTGCTCCGGAGTGCTTGCAGGGAGAAGATATCGGAGATAGGGTTTGCGCCTTGATAGGCGGGTCGGTTGATAGGGTTTGTCGGGCGGGGAGTGCGCTCGTTGTAAGGGATTGCAGTCCAGGACTCGAGGGAGTGGCAGAGCACGTCTAGACCCGAGGAGGCGTGTACGGCAGATGGCATGGTACGCGTGTTGAGCGGGTCACAGATACCAAGTGTAGGCTTGAGGTTGCGGTGGGCAATACCTGTTTTAGCCTTTTTAGAGACCAGGTCGAAGATGGCGGTTCCGGTGGTTTCAGAGCCAGTGCCTGCTGTTGTTGGTACAGCGACGAGCGGGCGGAGGGGCTTTGCGACGGGGAGACCCTTGCCTAGGGGGGCGTTCACGAAGTCGAGGAAATCGGCTTCTGGGTAGACGGTGTATAGATTCATCAATTTAGCAGTGTCGATCACGGAGCCACCACCTAGAAGAATTGAGTTAGTTAGATTGCGATCAAGGATATTTATGTAACAACGTACCAACGGCAAGGAAAGCATCCGGGTTATACGGTTTAGCAAATGCAATAGCCTCCTTAACAGAACTATCCTTCGGCTCCACGCGAACCTTATCATAGATAGTAAACTCGATGCCCTCGCGAGTCAATGCTTCGACAGCCTGCTTCATGGCATTCAGCTTTGCGACGGTAGAATCGGTCACAATGCACACGCGCTTGGCTCCCATGTTCTTAAAGTCCATGCCGACCTCTTTGGTGGAACCAGGACCAAATCGGATGCTCGACGCCGCCATTTCAAAAGCATACTCCTTCTCGCGCGAAGGATCCTTGGGCGTCGCCAGGTGTCGACGGGCATGGTTCATCAGCGAGGGGGTCTTATGGTGATGGTGGTGATTGGGATTGGAGTGGCAGGGACAGTTGGGCGGGTGTGAGTATTGCACTGTCGCCAACAGGCTGCGGGCACGGGTAGCGGCCGTACGGGCCACTCGAACTGCTGGAGCCGTCATTTTTTCTGCCTATTCTGGGTATATTTTGAAGGGGAGAAGAGTATATGAGGGGCAGAAAGAGGGTGATAAAGGGGAGGTTAAGTTGGTGCTGGAATGTGGGAGTTGGGGAAATGGAGAAAATGCGGGGATTCGTTGGCTGTGCCGAGTCGGTCTTCTCGCCGAGATTTGGAGGCCACAGGAATTAACAAAGCAACACGAGGTGACCTTGGAGAATCGGTAGTGTGGATCGAGATCGTACTCCAAATCGGAATTAACTATCAATTAGATCGTTCTTTTTCACTCGCTGCTGTTGGCTGGTTTACCGAATTTGTTGCTTTGCGGAGACTCCACAGGTCTTTCAGCCGAGGTCCATCTAACAATAAGTGAATGACATCAACTCCGAGGAATATCATCCGAAGAAAGACCCCAAATTGGAGAATCTTTGCAATTAATGCTTCGTTTTATAGTTTCAATTATTCAGAGCATATATCATCAACTAATTAACTTCAAGTTCGTTCGTATGTGTCCCACTAGCTGTACTTGGCCTACAATTTGCCCCATAATCAGTTCCTACTCCTAACACTGCCTCCAATCCATGCATTCTTCTTGATGATTTCCTTCTCCTTATTTAACATAGAGTTAACACCAGGTCCTCAGACACATCCCGTACGCGAACTTGACTTCCAGATGGCGGGATTCCATTCGCCCAGTCAATTGCCGGCTCGGCAGGCGACAGGACAACAGGGTAACCCTTGAATGGATCTCCAAAGACATCAGATAGATCATACCACACGTTTTGATCATTGATGTTATACGCAAACACTGTCAGTGGAGCACTCTGGTATAGTCCGTTCTCCTCAGTGCTGATCTTGATAGCAATACCTCCCGCTTTATGGTCCTGACGAAAGGTTTCGCCATAGCGATTGCCGGGGAGGAGTGTCGCTGGATCACGGACAACTGTGCCAACAGACCAGATATAGACGGGTAAATTGCATTGATTGACTATAATTGCACGGCCGAGGCGGGCATCGAGGGATGCTGATGGTGTGGGTGTTGCGGTCGGAGAGAGGTTGACCGAAGAAGAAGCTGGACTCGGGAATGAACCATAGGGAATTTCATCGGTCTTCTTGAGGACGGTAGGCTGGGAGAGTGTGAAGCCAGTGAGGCATAGCAGGTGGATTGTACTGGAGAGTTTCATCGTGGCTGCAGGGATGAATGAATGGCTAGTAGTATCCTTCTCAGCTCTTTGTGTAGATGGAAAGTCCCTTTACATCTGTAGTCGAGAGATTGGAGGCTTTATACCTGCTCATCTGCACTATTTCTCAAATGATTTGGCATTTTCTCAGATCTATTGAGAATTCCTCAGATCAAAAGACCCTCTTTGCATCCCGAACATGCACGAGATGTAACGTCCATGCGGCCAAGTGCATTAGGCTCCATGTGTACATCGACCCAACTGGTTGCTGGAAGCTCTAAACACAACGATGAAGAGACTAGGCAGTGCAAAATCAAGGGGGTGCATGAGTACCACAGTGTCACCATGTCACCGCGAGATCACATAATCCAGTGCTGGCTCTACTGTCAATATCCGATAGAATGTTACATCCTAGCGGAAGGGTACTTGATTCAACGTGCAACCTCGTCTAGGGGACTAGACTGAGGTAGGTGAACAGATTAGAAGGATTGGTCCTAATTCCTAGGCTGTCAGGAAAAGGAATGTACGGAGGGGACTCGTTAAATCAGATGTGGCTTGATCAATGCGGCTATCCCTGGCGAAGGAAATTGCACCTAGAATGTGGCTTATGCGAGTAATGTTCCAAAATCTGGCCTTGAATAGATTCTTTTGGCTATAGTACATGAATAGAGAGACGTGAAGTATGAAGGGCAAGGAATGCGAATCTCCACATTGTATAGCGACCCAGTCAAATCCTCCGAAAGTCCACTTCTTTTTTTGAACAGATACTATGTTCTAACAACTTTTCATCTCTGACAGAAGTATTGTCCGATCTGACGCTCTAGTGAAAAATCTACTTTAGCAGTATACGAGTATAAGTAGCCAGAAATACTCTCAGAAGATTCTTCTTGGAAGGTCTTTTGAATCGTCTTTCGAATCGTCTTTTAGATAGTTCTAGCATCAATCTAATGATTTATGTTTTGATATAAAACTAGTGAGCTAATTATGGATTATGAGTAGTTACTCCTCCGATGGAGATGAATAGTCATCCCCGACTGGCGATAAATCCGTGGTTGACCTGCAGATGTGTCGCCACGATGCTACTTCAGATATATGCTAACTTTACCAGGCAGCAATCACGAGACTGTCCAAGCCACACTGGACCCTTCAAGAAATTGCAATTCAAGTGATGTTTAATCCGCCTTCGAGCTGACACAAATATCGACGTGGGAGTCTTGTAGGGGTTTAATTTTACATCTATCACTGGTCCCCGCAACAATCTTGTACATGGATACCTTGTGCTATACCTAGTCGATACTGCATCGAAGCGCGATAGACTTAAAGTTGATTTTTCATTCTTTAACAACCCGTTCAAACTCCTGTTCCATCAACCATTGCTGGTCAGGATCCAGTTTCCAACATCTGAAATGAATAAAAAGATCTTTCAGCTCGTGCAACTCAGGTCCAACGGTCTCGACCATGCGTTTTATTGGCATATTCCGGGCACGGAATGCTGCAATATTTGTCCCATATCCATGTTGGCGAACACACAAGACCAAAGTCAATTTCCAGATACACGCCTGTTCTCGTAGGGACCTCACTGCCTCTACCAGCTCAATCGTGTCTTTTGAAAACGGCTCAAAGTATTCATCGGTTAAGCCCCGGGTAAACTTCCAATGCAGATAGCGTAAATACCGAATGCAATCTTGCGGTAAAGGCCCTAGGAAGCCCAAATCGTGCCAGGTTACATCTTCAACCTTTGAAAACCTGCGTCCCTGGTGGTCAACATGGATATCGATTGAAAATCTATTTTTCTGATAGCAAATGAACCGAGACTGCTCCTTGCTTTTTGATGTCTGCAAAAGAGCCTTTGGAAACTCCCAGCAACGGTTAGATGAAGAAAACGCAAGTTCTCTAGCCTTGCAAGTCATATCGAAAGGGTGGGGAGGGTACCAAGAACGAGGCATGCAATCGCGTTGGGAAAATGCTTTCTTGGATGTATCCCACTGAAGGCCTTGACTGCTGATTTCAGGACTAGGAACGAGGTCTGTATGTTCAAGGACCTTCATCTGTAGCTCCATTGGAAGATCAGCAAATCTAAACAAACTCAGGCTCTTTTCGCTGCGATTTTTCTTGGTACTCCGGGAAACGATGTATTCGACGTAACGTTGGAGGTTGTTGTTTCTGACGGCACCAAAGCGAATTGAGCATTCTTTCAGCTGAACGTTAAGGACGGGGTGCAATATGGCTTTGGCCGATGACAGAGTGGCCGTGCCTGACACCAGGAAGAGGCTGAGCTGGGATGTCGGCGCATGAGCAAGCCGGAGACAGGTGTCCTTCCAGTCCACGATGACTTGCTTAGTTTCGCTGAAGTGCCAATCATTGCCCCGCTTGACTTTGAAAGGTACACCGGGATATATTCTGTCCCTTCGAGGGACGATAGTGGACAGTTGCACTCGAATGTCCCGAATAGAATTGAGAGCAACCTTTGTCAACGCAGAAAGGTGTGGTATTCCTCGACTGCCCATACCGTGGAACCGGAATTTGTTGTGCGAATACAAGAAGGACCTTGCATCCTGGGATATGGCTCGGGAAACGTAGAAGAGCTGATTGCAAAATCGGCCCTGACCATATCGAGCAGACTCGTAGGGCGCGGCGTTGAATCTCCGGTTCTTGGAGGACCATTCGCTGATGCTCTTTGGGTGAGATGAGGTCTCATCCGGGGAGTTCACCATCACGACACGATTTTCACCCGAGTAATCTTCACGAGAATATTCGAGTAAGAGATAAATCTGCTCGCGAACCGACTCGGGGAGCTCAATGAAGGGGAATGAAGTACGTGGCGGCGGCGGGCTGATTGTCTCAGGCTCAGGTGGGAGGAAGATGAATCGAAGAACAGCAGCCCAAAACCAAAGGAGGAACGCCCTCACTGCCGATTCAACGACAGCCATGGTGACGACGGTGAGTGTATCAAGTAGTGGGAGAAAAGGTGTTACGGAGGTGAGGTTGGAAGGAGAGGAGAGTTGGAGAAGACGAGGATTTGGATAGTTGCGAAGGGAAGAAGTAGAGTCGAACAGGCAGATGAGACGGCAGGCTGGCAAGGTGAGGAAGGAGGAAGGCTCCAGATTCGGTTTTTGCTTGCTTGGGAACTTGACCAACGTACCTGAGGTATTCATACCATCAGAACTGACGGAGGAGGTGGTATGGCAAACTTGTAGTTTTAGTCGGCCAGTTTGGTATCAAGAGCACGTGTGACCATTGAATCTTCAATTCAGTACATCCATACATCGACACAATCAACCCAGACGGTGTTGACAAGATAGTGAACAGAGCAAGGACTGCCCAGATATTCATTTACGTACTGTTGGGAATCATCTCCCTAGATATCTTAGGCATTATGCATGACTTGAGGAAATGCTTCGGACATTTTGTCGAAGTTCCGCTTATAAACACGACTGAATATCATACAATAACTCATATCAAGATGAGTGTTCGCTGGTAACACGTGTATCGCAAAGAAGCAAACCACCGCATCGCGTCGCCAAGTGGCGAGACCTTTCCGTACATCAGAGATATTATCTTACATGTTTAAGTGAGATAGCTTGCTAAAGAGCTCCCTTTAATATGGGCAACTTGTGCTTTCGTACGATAGACTACTCCATTTTAGATATAGTGGAGAACAAATACACTGGATCCTTGATATGTAGACCGGAGAAACGGTTGGCCAATATAAATTTGTGCTTAATTCACCTTCTATAAATAATCTTTCCGAATGTCTTTTGTAATGTCTTTTGGAATGCCCTTTCAATAGCTAAATTAAAAGGCTTAGTAGATAATATCTAGGTACTCGATGTACCTATTATCCACCTTATCCGAAAATCGAATAGTCTGTCGTGCGAAAGCACAAATTGGCGTGCAAGTAGCCGCAGCCTTAATGCGTGGAGTAGAATCTAATAGCTAACAATCATGTCTGAGCGTTTCGATCCTTGAATGGCAGCATCAATCGCAGGAAGCACACACACAAGCTTGGACCTTGTATGCTCTGCGGGATTGTCACCGAAACTCTCGCACCACGCGAGAATGTTCTGTTATGTCATATCGAATCAATGTAGCCGCAGGGATCATCTTCATCCACCGGATTCTCGCAGCCTTGCCAGTGCAGCTGCAATACCCTCATCAAGCTCCTCGGCTGGCTGGTTGTTTTTTGCAGGGCTCTGGACTGGGAGAGATGCAGCGGCTGTGCGCCGACTCTCAGCCAACACAGATCGGAGCACTGCTTCATCGTCATCCTCGTCTATGGCCATCTGATCGAGCCCGCTCGGTTGTCTGGTTGGTCTAGTCTGGGATTTTGATGCCGTAGCAGATGCCTTTTTGGTGGTCTCCACCCTGAAGTCCTCGCGGACGGCGTTGCACCACTGTTGAACCTTTTTCTCGCCCCAGCCGGGCACGGAGCTGATCTGCTCTGGCTGTGCATTGACGGCATTCTGCAAACTTCCAAATGTAGATATCAAGCTTGCCGCATCTGACTTGTTGATGCTCCGGGGTGCCGTCACAAATTCCACCAAGGACTCCTTGTATGACTGTGCTTGCTGGGTGCGAATGGCGGTAGGTTGTGCGTGTTCGGAGGACTTGAAGAGTTCGAGGTAATGTGCAGCCTCGGGGGCGGACCAGCAAAGCATCAGCGTGAGATTATTGATTATAGACGTCTTTGATAGTTCCTTGAGGGTGTCTTCGTGATTGGGGATGTCCACCATGACCAGCACAATGCGCAAGTTGTACTTGCCAGCGAGGAGTCGGATTCGAGAATAAATGTATTCGGGGTGGAGTCGGTGATATTTTAATGAGAGGAAGAGTGCACATGCTGTGGTTCCAATAACGAAGTCCGCTGGAATATCGGCATACTCCCATGGTAGGAGCTTAATGTGGTTCAGGATCGGATTACCCTTCTGTCGCGTTGACACGAGAATTGCCGAGGGACCGGATCGGTTTGGGAGAGCCTGTGGTTTGGGTTGCTGCACTTTCGGCTGGCCTGTTGACGGCGTTCCGGGGTTAGACGATTGTGCACTAGCATCGCCATCTCCTCGAGATTGCGACGCCGAATCGCCTCTGGTTTGAGGATCCATGTTCAATGTTGGAGTAGTTGTACTATGAACTGATAAAGCTCGGCTGGTGCTTATCAGAGCCCGCAGGACCACTTTCTCACCGCCCAGCGGCGCAACAGCCTTTTCTGCCGCCAATTTTTTTGTCCGTCTCGATTGCAGAAAACTAAGATCAGCTTTTGCAATTCCACTATGGCTGAGCCAAACAAGAAACGACGCCTTTCTGAAGAGGATATCTCTCAAGTCTCCGATACCAAAATGGAGACTTCCACACCTAAAGCCTCCGAGGCCCCGGCTTCCAAGCAGCCTAACAAGACACTCTTCGTCCGATCGCTTCCCGTCTCCGCTACGACAGAAAAGCTCGCAGAGTTCTTCTCAGAGTCCTATGTGATCAAGCATGCCACTGTCGTTGTGAACCCAGAGACAAAGGTTTCCAAGGGCTTCGGTTTCGTTACATTCGCCGATCTCGAGGATGCCCAAAGCGCCCTTGAGGAGTTGAACAATGCCGACTTTGACGGCAAGAAGATCCGTGTCGAGTATGCGCAACCCCGTCACCGTGAGATTGACGAGAAGCTGGGCAGGAGTGTTCCTGCTGCTGCTGCAATCAAGAACAAGCAGGAGCGCGAGGATCAGAGAGTGCAAAATCAGCCGCCTAGGCTCATCATTCGCAATCTGCCGTGGAGCATTGAGACCCCCGAACAACTTTCCCGACTTTTCCTCAGTTTCGGCAAGGTTAAGCATGCAGTCCTCCCCAAGAAGGGCAACAAGTTGCAAGGATTCGGTTTCGTTGTCTTGAGAGGCAAGAAGAACGCCGAGAAGGCGCTTCAGTCAATCAACGGAAAGGAGATCGATGGCCGCCAATTGGCTGTTGATTGGGCTGTTGAGAAGGAAGCATGGGACAAGGCCAACGGAGCCAACCAGGAGGAGGAGAAGGAGGAGGAGGAGGAAGGCGAAAAAGAGGATGTTGATATGGAGGACAAGGAAGATCTCGAGAACGTCTCCGGCGAGGAGGCTTCATCAGACGCTGACGAGGACGATGACATGCAGGACCTGGAGGAGGATCTAGGAGATAACGATGAGGAGGATCACGACGAGGGAGAGAAGGAGGACGATCGAACGGAATGCACAATCTTCCTTCGCAACCTTCCCTTCACCTGCACCGACGAGTCGCTCTACGAACATTTCACCCAATTCGGACCACTCCGATACGCCCGCATTGTGGTCGACCACGAGACCGAACGCCCTCGAGGCACTGGATTCGTGTGTTTCTGGAAACTCGACGATGCCATCACTTGCATCCGTGGTGCCCCCAAGACAAACGAGATGCCCGCCGACAAAGAACGCTCCAAGCCAGCGATGAAGCATTCCGTCCTACAAAACGAGGATGCTGATCCTAGCGGAAAGTACACAATGGAGGGTCGTATTCTACAGGTTGCTGGCGCAGTGAACAAACGCGAGGCTACGAGACTGAACGAAGAGGGTGTGTCGCGCCGTCTGGTGCGTGACAAGGATAAGCGTCGCCTCTACCTTTTGTCTGAGGGTACTATCGCTTCGAACTCGCCTATGTACAAGAAGCTGTCTCCCTCCGAGATCAAAATGCGCGAAGCCAGTTTCAAGCAGCGTGAGACCTTCATCAAGAAGAACCCGGCCTTGCATCTCAGTCTTACTCGTCTTTCTATCCGAAACATCCCCCGCCACGTTACCTCGAAAGACCTGAAGCAACTTGCCCGTCAAGCCGTCGTTGGATTTGCTACCGATGTCAGCAATGGCATCCGCGAGCCGCTCTCCAAGGAGGAGAAGTCGCGCTCCTCCGAGGAGATGGAAGAGATGGAGAACCTGCGCAAAACCAAGAAGCAGGGTATCGTCCGCCAAGCTATGATCGTCTACGAGACTCGCGAGGGTACTAAGGTGCCCGAGAAGGGCGGTGGTGGTCGCAGCCGTGGTTACGGTTTCATCGAGTACTTCACTCACCGACACGCCTTGATGGGACTGCGTTGGTTGAACGGTCACCCCATTGATGTCCCCGTTAACAACGAGGAGGAGGACAAGGACCGGAAGAAGCGCCTGGTCGTTGAATTCGCCATTGACAACGCTCAGGTTATCAAGCGCCGCAAGGACCTGGAGGAGAAGAAGCGTCTCGAGAAGGAGAAGAAAGATCAAGAGAAGGAAGAGGAGGCCGAGGAGGAGACCGACAAGAAGGGAATGAAGCGGAAGCGTGGCGGTAAAGGCAAGGATGAAGAGGAACAGGTAGAGGAAGAGGACGAGGAGGAGAACAAGATCGCCAAACGCAATCGGATCATTGCGCAGAAGCGGATGAAGCGCAAGCACCGCAAGGGCAAGGCGTAATGATATTTCTCTCTTTTCTTTTCTTTTCTTTTATTTGTCTGGTCCTGTATAGAATGACGGCCTGTCATCCATCCTCGGAAGTGATTCTGTTTCTTGCTTTGTATCTAATGAGCTGAGTTGGCTTGCGCGATACCACACCACGTTGGAAATATAAAAGCATTGCGATTGACAACCATCCATCCATCTCCTTCATTTATCTCCATCTTAAACTGCGGGTATACTTCACATCCAATCAATTCAATTCTTCCTCCTAGTATCATCTAAAGGTTCTTTGCACCCTCAACCTTACCAACAATGTTATACCGCTTGCTGAAGAAAGTGTACCACTCATCCAGCGTTGTCTTCTCCTTCTCATCCAAATCATACCACTCCGGCACACAATCCTCGGGCTTCAGCGAGGACTTAGCAAGAGCGCGCGAGGCATCCTTTCCAACGAAAACTAAACCAATACCCCCGATCTCACGTCAGTCATTGTAAATAGGCCATCGGCGCGCAATCGCGGTCCCCGCAGGAGCAATCGCATCAAAGACTCACCACGATATTGGCCCGCCGCACCATAGGCAGCGTTACGAGTGACGTCGAAAACAGTGCCTTTGATGGCAACTAGCGTGGGGCGGTTGGGGTCGGAACCTGTGTGCAGCGCGCGGTGTTGGTTAGTCGGGAAGTTCGGGATATGCGAACGAGGAGCGCGGGGGTAACTTGTACCGTCGCATTTGGCCAATTCCTCTGTGGAAATGGGGTCATCCTTTGGTGGGTCCAGTTGGACTGGGACCTTTGGTGCAAATCGTTCAGACATTGTGGTGGGTGTAGAGGGGTTGAGAGAGGTGGAAGTTGAAGCTCGCAATTATGGCCGAGGAATTAAAAAGAGCGTGGGGTCGGCGGATAAGCGGGGTACGGGCGATGATCGGGGTACTAAGACGTACACTCTATACTGTAGTAACACATCAACAATGTAGAAACTTATGATATCGCCTTCGTACATAAGGCTCCTGGCTTCCTATCTCTAGATTATTGGAATGAATGAAGTAACATAAACAAATAGACATATCAAAGAGTGAAAATCAGATGAAACACCCAAAATAGATAATTACATCAAACCAAAGAGGTCAATCCTCTGTATAAGAATAACATTATGAAGCTATGACTATGAGTAGTTCCCCTACTCTACTATATTTAATACATATTGCATCCCGACCTCTTAAGTATGTGCTAGGTATGCAAGGAAAATTGGACCACTGATTAATGCCTCTTTGACGATCTTTCAATCCTCTCTAAACCTACCACTCTTGCCTCACCTCTTGACCATCCTCTACCGCTGACCTTCTTCCAGATCCTCAGGGTCATCATCCTCGTCAGCGTCTGATGAAGCCTCGTCGGCAGAGGCCTTCTCGAGATGATCATGTTCATTTGTCCTCCATATCGACATCCTCCTCGTCGGTTGACTCTAAGTCCCATTTCACGCGCTCTTGTAGAATATTGAGCAGTTCCTGACGAGCATGAAGAATAGTATCCGGTATCGTGGCGCGCCGGCGCTGTACGCGCTTTAAAGCCCTCAATGATTCTGATTTTGAATGGGTGTGCAGGGTAGGTAGTGAGGTGGCTAGGGCTAGGTCTTCGGCTTCAAGGTAGCAGATCGTAGATTCGTAGATACGGTCTGGCAGCGCAGTATCGCGAATGTAGAGATGGTCATAGTGAGTGAAGGTATGGCTGAGGAGTCTATAGAACTCGGGCTCAAGGTCTTCGTTACTGATCTCAGGATATGCCTCTTGTAACTGCAGCCCACGGAGCGATGAGCCGAGGTGGGCAGCCGTGTAAAAGCTTCCAGTCACTGCTAGGCAGTCCTCCGGCGTATAGACCGCGTGTGGACAGCTCGGTGGCATAATCCTAATCCTGATAATTAGCTTCGTATGTGACGGGGTGCTACCGTCCGTGCTACCCACAGTACATCGCCTGCACAGAGATTCACCCTAGCCCAGCCGTCCGCGCACATACGTGTATCCTGCGGTCCTCTACTTGCGAGGGACTCAGTACTCCCGTGCAGAGCCCGCGGGAAATACCAAATCCTCCGTCCTTTGAGGATCTTGATCCAGGTTAACTGCCCACCGGTATCGACGTGGATCGGGGACACGGCGATAGCCCCACTGAGGAGGAAGAACTCCTCTCGGTCACTGCCCTTCCATTCCGAGCCGGTTCTCCCTGGATGCTCCAAGTCCATCTTAGAGACCATACCCCTCAGGCCGTGTAGGAGGACTTCGGTCGGGCAGAAGCTTCTAACCCCGTTCTCGAGGTTAAGTAGCTGTAGGCTCAGCGCGGGCCGTTCATGCTGAGGGCGTGACCAGTGGGATACGACCTGCTCGACCGTGCACTGTCGTGTTATATCGGTGGGTTTATCCACTGAATAGTCATAGACGTCTATCTTCTTGTTCGTCCGTTCCCGAAGATAGTCCCAGAAGGCATCTAAACCAAGGATCTCGCCAGATGTAGAGCCGTCTGTCCTAGTAGCGCGGTAGAGAATGGGCCGACAAAAATTCGTGGCAAGGGCCCCTTCTAGGGCTTGGGAGCTTGTTATTCGAATTAAATCTAACTCAGCAGCCTGGGGGCCTGACAACGACGACGACAGAGACAGCAGGGTTTGTAGTCGACTCTGTCGCCTGCCTTTCAAGGCAGCAATCCTCCCTGGACCTTGCCCACGTCGCACGCTTATCAAGCGCCTGGATGAACGTTTTAAGTTCCTCGATTCCCGCAGTGCCGAATTTTGGAAAGCCAAGATTATATGTATCTGGCAGTGGCGGGTTTAGGGTGGTGATGATGGCCTGTAAATCTTGCTTTGCCTGCTCTCTGTATCTCATGCCATTGTCCCTGTTCTGCTGGCGTTTCCCCTCCGATACAGCAGAATTTGAGGAAGCTCGAGCCATACTACTTGAGAAGAACCGTAGAGGCCTTGGTCGTGTGAAAGAATGGGAAATTGATTCATTTCAAAGGGGATGGTGACTGGTGAACTGGAGGGTTCTATATATTAGACGAGGTGCTTGAACCATAGCAAACAAAGAAAGCAGGCGGCTATGGGGTGGCGGTGTAGGCCATACAGTAGTAATAATGCGCTATTCGACCGCTTCAAAGTCCGCCTCACGTTAATTGGACAAGTGCCCTCGGGCAAAAGTTCTTTGTGATAGCTCAATAATTCGCTGCTGACCTCATGACGTCAAGTCACGCGAGAGACCTTGTACTGTACTTTTTTCCTTCGAACCGGACTTCTTAGTTAAGCGTGGCGCAGAACGGATGACATTTGATGATCAACTACATTCACCTCATCCTCGAGGCAACGGTCGTTCATGACCTTGAGTGATCGTTTCCCCTGCATATCGATCAAGCATACAAGACATCAAACAAGCTCTTACGTTTCCTCAACTCCCGAGATGTCCTCTACGCACTCGAATCCATATATCCACTCGACGCAGCCTGCTGTACATGATGCAGTGACTCGAGACTCTGATGAGCCCAAAAGAGATCATTCAAAGGCCGATGAGATTCACCATCTCTACTTTGAGGACAACGATGGTTTCTTCCCGCCGGCTTGGCTGGGGAAAGATACAAACCAGTCGGAGCGCAGATCTTCGAATGATAGCACCACTAGTCATGACCCGAGGGATTAAGCTGCTGTTATGGACCGAAAAGGGTTGACTTCGGAGTATAGCAAGCTCGCAACAAGTTGGTTTCATGAATTCTGTGGTTTGCGTCGGAGTATTTTCCAGAATGGTTTTATGTCCGACTCGGGACTCCTCATGCAAGGCCGTATCTCGATATCAAAGACTGAATCTATCATCTTCTTCAATTGTGAGCATTTCAGGCAGGCTGATCGTGATCTCAACATGGATTTTCAGTACTCCACGAGATGATGAATCCCGACCAAGCCTGTGGATGTCATATGATACCACTAAACCTGCCATAGCACTGAAAATTTGAGCAGAATTTCTGAATATGGAGATACCAGTACTCCGGATACCTACTACTCCCTGTTAAAAATTTATGCAACCTCAGAACATTATATGCCCTACAGCCCCCACAAGCAAATTGAACCTCGGCAAGGTTTAGGCCCCACTACCATCCGAACAAAACTTTCATCTCGAACAACGAGTTTCCAGCGACATAGGCAGGTATCAACATACAGAGGGTTCTAGCATCACAGCTTGAATAGACGTCCATCATGCAATAACGTCGATCTCACAACTGCCTCGCTCTGAGAAAACTTAGCCGGGTCTAACCCAGCCAAAAGACTGATTGACCTCCCGAAGGTAACGCCATGTGGGGACATGGCGGCCTGCGAGTCTGTGAGCAAGGCAAGGACCGGGGAAGGCCTTGTTCTGATTTGTGGCCCGAGTCTCAGTCGGGCTGGGGGACCTCGGACGATGCCGATTTCCAAACTATGCGCTTGATGAGATTCGCTCTGGGGAATTTTTAGATGGACTGCCAAGCAATGGAGGGAAATTGCCAAGATGGGCAAAGATTTTTTCTTCGCCTTGATTGTTTTACTTTCTTTTCCTCTTTTCTTTGATTGTTTCTTTCTTTTCTATTCATGTTGTGATCGGTCTTTCTACTTTTGTTCGGTGGATCAGATCGACTATCAATATGTCGCAAAATAATGAGCATGTCTCTCATTCGGCAGTGACTGCTGCAATTCAGCGCGCCGAGTCACCCTGCGATTTTCCCGATCCCGAGGGAAAGCTGGTTAAGACTTTCGACAAGAGTGTTGGGATTGCCGAGAAAGATGCATCCGGAAATCGTGATACCTCGATCGATGGCGGCTTTATGAAACCGACCTATGACCACACACGCCGAAAGCTGAAACCTCGCCATCTGCAATTGATTGGCATCGGAGGAACTATAGGCACAGCTTTGTATGTGCAGATTGGTAACAACCTTCGCACTAGCGGCCCTGGCAGTTTGTTTCTTGGGTTTAGTCTTTGGTAAGTTCAAATTTGATTCCTCCTTTGCTTTGTGTCATTTCGAAGTCTGGGCCGGCCCGATCAATGCAGCAATTTTCATTTGGCGATGTCGAGTCCGATCTTTATACAGCTAGAGGACAAGAGGCAGATCTTCAAAACAACAAGGCAAGAAAATACTACCAATTCTGTTACGCAACATTAAACGAGTCGACAAGGGACGTAAGCATACTCCTAGGCAAAATACATGATTGCAGCAAGGATAACACATCCATCGACTACTCCCACTTGCGCCAATGCATCCTACAAAGCCCAGACCGACCCAATCAGACATCCCAGCTCAGCATTGAAGGCCTAGTTTAATATCTGATGATGTATTTGAATCTTACACTTTGACTTTCTAGGAGTTGCATCATCTTGATCATAACCGTTTGTAAGAAGCACCCTACACCTCCTGGCCCGTCCAAATTCCAAGCCACCGGCAGCAAAATGCCCTCTAAGCAACCGAGCTCCCACCATGCGACCACACCGAAATTATCTCTTTGCAAGATCTTCCCTTGGAGACTATTATTCAATTACCTGTGACTGCTTATCTTTGAAACCAATCTCGAATACTAACACCACCATCTAGGTCTGGCAGAGATGGTCACCTACCTCCCCATCTCCTCACCATTCATCCGATTTGCCGGCCGATACGTCGACGAAGCCCTAGGCGTCGCAGCAGGTTACAACTTCTTCATCTTCGAAGCTGCTCTCGTCCCCTTTGAAATTGTGGCTATCAGTTTGATCATCAATTACTGGACCAGCGTGATCCCCGTTGCGGCGATGAACGTTATCGTTCTCATACTTTACACGTATGCCCCAGTCCCGGACTTGCAAATACATTGACGCATGTACTAACACTTGCAATTAGAGTATTAAACGTTTTTGCTGTCAAGTGGTATGGCGAAGCAGAATTCTGGCTATCACTTGGAAAAGTACTACTCAGCATTGGTCTCATCTTTTACACTTTCATCGTCATGCTTGGAGGTAATCCGCTCGGTGACCGGTTTGGATTCAGATACTGGAATGAACCTGGTGCTTTTAACGAGTACTACAAAACAGGGGATACTGGCAGATTCCTCGGTTTCCTGTCAGCGCTCATCGCGGCTAGTTTTACGATTGCTGGTCCGGACTACGTTTCTATGGCTGCGGGCGAGACAATCAACCCGCGCGTCGTTCTACCCAAGGCATATAACGGCGTCTTCTACCGTCTAACAGCGTTCTTCGTGCTCGGTGTTCTATGTGTGGGAATCTTGGTCCCGTATAACGACGAGACGATGGCCGATGCATTTGACAACGACAAGCCTGGTGCGGCGGCCTCGCCGTATGTGATCTCTATGGATAGATTGCACATCCCGGTCTTGCCGCATATTGTCAATGCGGTTGTTCTTACAGCTTGTTTTAGTGCGGGCAATAGTTATGTGTACTGTGCCAGTCGCAGTCTCTATGGTCTCGCACTAGAGGGAAAGGCACCGCTGTTTTTGACGAAATGCACGAAGAAGGGTGTGCCTGTTTACTGTGTTGTTGTGGTCTTGTTGATCGCTCTGCTGAGCTTCCTTCAAGTATCGAATGGTGCATCTGTGGTTTTGAACTGGTTTGTCAATCTGGTATGTCTCCATCCCAATTCTTCATGTCCTTCCCATCTTATGTTATAAATAGGTTACGGCTTCGCAGCTCATCAACTTCTCCGTCGTGACCTTCACTTATATCCGGTTTAAGAAGGCCCTCGACGCACAAGGTATTTCGCGCAGCACTTTGCCCTACCGCAGCTGGTTCCAGCCATATATCGCATATATCGCCTGCACTGCTACTACGATCATGGCCTTTGTTGGTGGTTATACCGTTTTTTTGCCGGGCAAATGGTCGATCCCCACATTCCTCTTCTCATACACGATGATCGGCCTGTTCCCTGTTCTATATTTTGGATGGAAGATCTTCCATAGAACCAAGTTTCTTAAGCCCGAAGAGGTAGATTTGGTGTCTGGGCTGGCAGAGATTGAGGAGTATACGAGGGATTTCGTCCAAGTCCCACCTAAGTGAGTTTTCATCGTTCACGTAGGATTAGATCGTTTCATCTGCTGACTGTCTCCAGGAATTTTGTTCACAAATATGTGGGCATGCTGTTCGAGTAATCCTGCCAGACAGGCCTTGATGCTAGGGAGCCTCAATAGCACTGGATCATTGAAATACAATATGATGATTGGGATGATTCATGACTTTGTTCAATGTAGACACTATTATACACTCAAAATCAATCACCAAAAGAAAATCGCTTTATAACTCCATTCCCATAATGCCTAAGACAAGCCAAAGAGCAAACTTACGTTTGCTCCCCAGCCGCCTCAGCAGCCCTCAACTTCTCCAAGCGCTGCTTATTCCGTTTCCCGATGATGCGCAACGTATTCTTGCGCTCAATCTCCGCCATCTGCTCCCAATTGCCGATCCGCGACAATGACCCATCAACATTGACAACCATAGGGCCAAGGTGATCCAGGGTAACACCTCCATCGGCACCGAGGTCAAGTCGAATTTGTTTCGACTGTCCATCGCTATTAGACGACTCGGTTGAGGGAAGATAGAGTTGTTCTTTAGAGGCCTCGGGTTGTATGTTTTCTTGTGACTGGGCTTCGCCGGTCTCTTGTTTGGCAGGGGTGGCGTCTGTAGGAGGAGTGGAGGAGGACATCGTGTGAGAGTGCCGAATTGATTCGAGGGTTTTGTTGCCCGGTGCGCACTGGGAGAAGAGGATGCTGTAGAGTCGGGAGGAGGTTCCACAGGATTGTGGTTGCTGGGCGAAACTGGAGGCGCTGAGGGACCAGGCGCTGGGGATGGAGGCGCGGGCGAGGAGAGGGTTCACGCTGAGGTGAAAGAGGGCGGCGCGGTAGGCTGTACGCGACAACTGCATGCTTGGGTTGTGTGGGAGAGTTGTCGTGGGGGAGTTGAGTTGAGCGATAAAATGGTCCGTCAAGGGCGGAGTCGAGATGGTTCTGGAAGCCGCCCGCAGAAGCTCCGACTCCGCGTGTACTAAATAGTTCTGCTTTTGCTTGAATCTAACATGACTTCAGGTTTTTATCTTAATGTAGTATATTATACAAAGTTTAGTTTATGGTATTACTCTTGTTCCTATCGGAACCACCAATTGACCTATCGAGTGTTAGTGGTTACGATCAAAAGTGTCAATCAAGGCACATAAGCACACTTACCGAAGCAGTCACTCCCTCTCCAACACCTTTAATGCTATGCCACCATCCTTTCGGAATGAACAGCCCATCCCCTGCCTCCAAATGTGCCTCGTACCCAGATCCTTCCGGGCCTGCAGAAGCCGAGCCACCCCACACCCTCTCATCTAACAGAGCCCGTTCTTGACCCTGCATCATCTCCTCCCCACGCATAGCAGCCGCATCCTTACCTCCGCTCTTACCCAGCTGTCGCCGTATTGAAGAGAAGAGCGCCTGCCCGTCCGACGGTGCTAATAATCGCACAACCTTCTGCCCAGCCAGCTGGACGAAGAGATTCGGATTGGGGTCGCGATGGAGCGGAGTGTACGTAGGAGGATGTCCAATCCACACATTAGTATCGTAGACATCACCCTTCCCGGCCTTTGCAACAATATCTGGGGTCGGAAAGTCATCGCGAAGAACTTGGGGTAGGTCGAGGAGCTGGCATTGCGCCAGATAGAGTCGCGTTGACTGCGGAGAGGTCTCGGCCGTGCGCATCCATTCCAGGAACAGCGTGAGCGGCCCGTGGAACTGTCGGAAGCTTACAACATCGGTCGCACCATCCTGATGTGACAGTTTACCATTGTCCTTGGCCGGTGGACTCGATACTGCTAGCTCTGTGAGCTCTAGCGGGACAAACGCGTCGGCCGCATGCTTTTGTAGGTATTCCAGGTTCAATCGGGTTTTCGGACGATTCGTCACGGTCGATCGTGAACTGGTGCTTTCGAACCAATTCTTCACGGCGGGTAGGTTACGAAATTGAGAGCGTGGTAGCACGACGGGGTGCTCGGGGGCAAAATAGCGTTGTCGGAATGTATCGACGTCAACATCGGGTAGCGCTTCGAGGGTGCGGTACGGACGGGTCGAGGAGACGGAGAGTTTGCGTGAGCCGTCAGCTGGCTGTAGGAGCTTAGAATGAGACAGATACGAGCGTGGTCTCAAGACCCAATCGTTGTTCCTCCATGGCTGAAGCTTCATCCAGGCAACTGGGGGTGTGTAGGAAGTGTGTAAAAGGGAGGAGGTTTTCTGCCTAATGCCAAGGGCGCCACGGCACAAGACAGATGGCGCTGAAGGATCGACTCCACATCCCCCGGATTTAGTCCGTCAGAGTTGATTATGGACATCTTTTATTCGGCCAGGCCGTAATCTTCAAGAGTATTTCAACGGATTTTGATCGGCAATGAAATGTCCCAATACTTCAATATGCATGGGACTAAGCTTCTTTGCATTGCCTTTGATGCATAAAATCCGATGCGCTAGTCCTTGTCGGTAATGACACTCAAGTCTATGCAGCCTGTTGTGAAAGGCGTTACAATGGCCGGGGACCGAGGTTGCCAAGCTTCCCCTCACTCTGGATATCGGGGTGTAGACTACGATTGAGGTCCGTTACCGCTTGTTTGTCTTCAAATTCAAACTCTTACAAACTCTACTTCAAGGGAGACTACCTACTTGGCAGTTCTGAGTGCAAGTTTGGGTGCCCTTTCTTCACATGTTACCTTTCATATCTTCTTAGTTCAACCTCTTCTACTTCTTTGTACTACAACAACTCTCTCAGCCTTCTGATACGGGTGTCCCCTTGTGACACTGGTTCCTCTTTTACCAGTCACCCTGAATCATCCTCCAGGATGCCTGCGGTCGCCAATATTCACAAACGCCACGTCTATGGCAAAGATGCTCATACTTATTACCCCGTGCTCATCGTTGGCGCGGGCGAGTCGGGCGTCGCCATGGGCTGTCGTCTCAAGGAAGCGCTAGGAACGGACCAGTTTCGAATCTTTGAGCGCCAGTCTGGCATCGGCGGGACATGGTGGATTAATCGATACCCCGGCGCGGCTTGTGATATGTATGCATCCGAACCCCAAGCTGATATTCATCCGATCCAACTAATGAGGTGAAACAGTCCTGCTTTGTTCTATTCCTTTTCATTTGCGCCCAAGAAGAACTGGTCGACTCTACATCCCTCTGGACCAGAGCTTGCACAGTATCTCGCGGATGTCTGCGAGACGTATCAAATTGTCGACAAGATTCAGTTCCATACTGAAGTCCGCGAGCTTCGCTGGATCGAAGAGGATGAGGAGTGGGAGGTTCTACTTTCTCACCTGGTCCCCGGTACTGGTGATCTCTCTTCATATGATCGAGAACAACTTGTGATCAATGAGGGTGCGCACAGCGTCTACGTCAAGAACGAGATTGTACGCGCCAAGGTCGTCGTCAGTGGCGTGGGTGGACTGGTCGAACCGAAGACATGGCCCAAGGATATCCCTGGCATCGAAGACTTTGAAGGAGAGATCGTGCATACAGCGCGATGGGATAGTGATGTCGACCTGCAAGACAAGAATGTGATCATGCTCGGCTCAGGCTGCAGTGCTGCCCAGGTCGTCCCCGAGCTGGCCAAGCCAGAGGCCAATGTTCGATCCATCACCCAGCTCATGCGTACTCCTCCCTGGGTGCAGCCAGATCTTCTGCCGCCCAAACTTCTTGTCCAGTGGGAGAAGTGGATGCCTTCGTTGATGACACATGTACCCGGGCTGGCACGCTTCCTCCGCTACAACCTATTCCTGATGTGTGAACACAATTTCCTTTCCATGTTCACAGATACCGCATACGGACGTATGATGCGGCCGAAGCTCGAGAAGGCATTCTTGGACCACATGCGCGAGATGGCACCAAAGGAATACCATGAAATCCTGACTCCAAACTACAGCCTCGGATGCAAGCGTCGTATCATTGACGGTACATGGTACCGCAGCCTGCACTCACCAAAGGTCAGCCTGACGACGCAGCCACTGACTCGTGTCCACGCGCGGAGTGTTACAATTGGACCCGGTCACCACTACCCTCCAGGCAATGACTCTAATGACGAAGCCCAAGAAATCCCTGCCGATGTCATCCTGCTTGGCAACGGTTTCGAGACTAACCAGTGGCTGCACCCGTTGAAAGTCATCGGCAGGGATAACAAGAGGATGGAAGATCTTTGGGCTCAACGAGGAGGTGCCCAGGCTTACCAGGGCATCGCCATGGATCACTTCCCCAATTTCTTCATGCTCTTTGGTCCCAACACGGCCACTGGTCATACAAGTGTTATCTTCGCGACTGAAAACGCGGTCAACTACACCCTGAAATTCATCAAGCCAATTTTGAACGGTCAGGTCAGCTCTTACGAGATCAAGGAAGAGGCCGAGCTGGCGTGGACCAAGAATGTGCAGGACCAACTGCAAAAGACCGTCTTCCGCCGTGGTCTTTGCTCCAGTTGGTATATCACCGCCGATGGATGGAACTCCTCAACCTACCCGTAAGTTTTTCGCGTGCATTCAGTGTGAACCTTACTAACAAGAGTCAACATAGGTATTCGCAAATCCATTATTGGTACCGGTGCACATTCCCGATTTGGAGCGACTGGACCGCCAAATGGACTCGGAAGGGTGCAATTCTGCAGGGAGTCCGCAAGGCTGTGCGCCTCTCGTTCCTCCTCAGTGTTCTAGCAGCATTGGAGTGGCTGCGGAAGAACCCGCACCAGCGCAGCCAGTTGCTGTTGGCCCTGTTGGCAGGGAAGGACTGGATTCTCTCTCGGGCACGCAGCCTCTATTGAGTGGAATCGACCAAATTTGGTGTCAGATAATTTACTTTCGATGGACATATTTGTCTTGGGGAGTATTTGTTGAATTATTTGAAATCTACAAGTAATTGATGGTCACTGGATTTGCCTCGTATGTCTTACTGTGTGTACACGTAGTTGTGGCTCGGAATATTTAGTTGGCCACATGCATGCAATGCATTGTGGATCATAATCAGATCAATTCTATATGTCCATTCTTTTCATTATTGTGATTGTGATTCCCCTTTGTCTCTTTCCACTAACTTTTAATCCCACAATGTTTATTATTTCATACATAATACTGCGGTCATTTCTTCCCCCGTAGTATCTTCTCGCTAGCCAATAATTCCTCTGCGAATATGATGAGTCAGCCACAAATCTGGGGAAAGTGGACGGCAAACCCCGCGAGGATGAGGAATCTCTCCGCACTCGGTCGCCGCCATCTCTCCCCAGTTCTCCCCAGCTCTCATCCTTGGTGACCTGCATTCTTGGGTGTCATGGCTTCGGAATCACCCCAGTTCCAGACGACTCCACCGCAGACCGGGCCTGGCGACCAGGATGCTTCCTCAACGGCCGATACAGCCAAGAGGAAGGCGGAACAAAGCAACGGAACGCACACGCGCGCAAAGCGGAATCGCTACATATCCATCGCATGGTAAGATCCGGTGGCCTGATCCCGTCTCATTATGTCCCGAAGTCCCGGCCCCCTCCTAGCGTTTCAGAAAAGCCGCTGTCTAGCAGCAATCTACTGTGTAGCTGCAGCATGAGGCTATTCTTTGTGGCTCCCCGCTCTCTCCTCTTGGGCCTCGGAACGATACAAACCTAGCTGAGCTAACCATCTGCCTTTTGTTTAGCAATGAGTGCAAACGCCGCAAGATCAAGTGCAATGGGCAAGTCCCATGTCAACGATGTGGCCATCTCAATTTGGAATGTATGACCCCTCAATCGCCTTTGCAATTCCTATCGCTGCCTGTTCGCCGTTCGGCAATGGCTGGCTCGGGTATGGCAGCTTAATGTCGGAATCCATGGCGCTAACATTTGACATTAGGCCGATATGCGCCAAACTGTTGTAACAACAACTTTAAAGAATCCGAGTGAGTCGCGGAAAACTGAACTGGCCACCATTTCGATATTCCGAGGCTAACCTTCGTCGTAGGGAATTCCGGTCGATGACCTCGCAGTTAACTACACTCCAAGAGCAAGTTAATAGTCTGTTCACAAATCTCAATGAGCTCAGGGCGCAAAAGCCGGCATTTGAGTCTCCCCCATTCGACCATCTCTCGCGGGATGGCTCACAGTCTGTCTTCACTCCCATGCCCGGGAGCATGCCAAAGGCACGATCCCGGCATCCGCGGTTCCATGGACCCACCAGCTCGGCCTTCAACTTCGATGTTGCCAAGACGAGTCTCCAGAGTATGGGCATCAACCCGGCCGAGGATGGCATCGCCGATGACCTGACGACGGCACATGTCACACCCATTGGTTCTCCGCCTTCGCATATCGGTCCTATTGTCCCAACGATACACCCTACCAAGGATCCGATCTGGATAATTCGCCGCGATGAGGCAGTTCGATTATGCAAAGTTTACGAAGAAGAGATCGGGATCATGTACCCGGTAGTGGATATTACTACAGTCACTGCGCAAGCTAATTTACTCTACACGTTCATGGAAGCTGCTACGCGGACTGGATTTGCGCAACGCGGTCTTCCAGGTGCCGACAGTCTTCATGACGATAGCACGATTATTTTGAAGCTCATTCTTGCAACCACGCTGGTCGTGGAGGCTGGGGGTCAGAGTGACCTCGGTCAACGTCTTTATCTATCTGTCAAGCCGGTTATTGAAGCGAAGCTTTGGGAGCCTCATGATATTAAGACCATTCAGTTGTTTGCAATCGTGGTACGAGAAGGAATCCAGAATTTTCTCCGTGGTTTAATGGAAAGCTAACAATAAGCGTGTTAGGCAACTTACCACTTCCATACCGATGACGATGCTATGGCATACCGATTGATTGGTCTCGCTGCCCGAATGTGCTTGGAAATGGGTCTTCATCGGCGGGATGCTCTGATGAAATCCTTCCCGAACGAAGATCAGTGGAATGAAATTACAAGACTCTTTTGGACTGTCTATAGCTTGGACCGGCGATGGAGTTTGGGCACAGGGTTACCGTTTGTCATCCAAGATGAGGACGTTGATCCGAACTTACCAGAGCCAGTATGTTTGGAGCTGCACCAATTTCGATGCATTGGCTGACCCTATTACTCTCTAGGACACATCCCTTCCTTATCTCCGATGCATGATATCATATAACCGCATTAGCTCCAAGATTTGGTACTCAGGTCTAGGTTCTGAAGGCACAACAGACATTCGACGTGACGAAATCGGATACCTGGACTATCAAGTCCTACAATGGTACAAACAAGTGCCAGACGAACTCAAGTTCTACCCCGTGGAATCTCCCAAGACTGGCGAGACTGCAAGCCGCGGTATGAGACGTCTCCGAGTCCTGCTGTATCTGCGCATGAATCAGCTGCGAATTCTTATCTACCGCCCGGTGCTCCATTCCGCGGCAAGCATCATGGAAGATCGCGGCCATGCGCAGACGGTGGTGGATGTTGCCAAGGATACCGTCCGAGTCCTGACTCGACTCAACCAAATGTCCGATATCTACCGCACACAGCAGATTACCTTCAACTATTTCCTGGTTGCAGCACTGGCAGTCCTCTTCCTCGCCGTGTGCCATGCACCCAACGACTTCAACCGACAAGTGCGCGACGAGTTTTACATGGCATTAGACTTGATCAACGGGTTTAGCACCAAGTCCTACGTATCCAAAAGACTATGGAAAACCATCAAGGGTCTTCGCAAGATTGGCGAAAAATTAGGCGTCCTGGCTCGTCCATTCGGCTCCGACGGGAACGATCCTCACTCCACCGCCGCCGTGGCCATGGCCGGTCTCGCGGGCCATTCCATCGAAGACTTGTCCATGTATGGGCAGATGAACGGGGCCAATGAGTTGGGGAATAGTCCTTTGAATGGTCTTCAGATGAGTCACGAACTGACGAATTTGTTTGAGGCTGTGGGAGCCTTTGGTAACTTTATGCCTGGGAGCAGTGGTGCCAATGATATGAATGGGTTTGTTGGTGCGGATGGGGAAATTCAGAATACTGGAGAGGGATTGTCTGGGATTCTGGGAGGGGAGGAAGAATTTTCTCGAGTTATTCGTGATTTATTCTGATAGGCAGAAATGTTAATCTGACCACATAAAACGTTTCTGATAGAGTTTTTGGGAGTGCATAGGCTCTGCACAGTTTCCACCTCATTGAATGTTACCCATTATTGGATATCTCACCTGATTGAATGCCTACCGGGTCAACTCTTCGCGGTCTGGTTTTTTTAGTAGTAAATCGATTTGACCCAATGGATATTAGACTGGGTCCTTCCTACCGCTTTTGTTGGGGCCCATAAACAATGCTCGGGAACTTTATTCCCACCGGATACAGCATGGAGTCCCTGCCACCAGAATTGATCTCACAAGTGTTGGATTTCATCATTCCTGCCACAGGTTCAAGAAGATGGCCCGAGATTAAATTGGCCGGATACGCCACCTTGAGCCGTCGCTGGCAGGCCTTCATTGAGCCATGCACATTCTCCGATATCAGCATCAACGACCCCAAGCGTTTGGAAGAGTTTCAACAAATAATATCGATTTCGCACAGAAGATCATATGTCAAGAAGATTTATTTGCGCGTGAAGCTGGAGTCATACGATGAAGAAGCGCGCGCCCGATTCGAGACAGACGAAGAACACCAACGAAACAACAAGATCTTTAACTCGACTATCAGCGCCTTGTTCAGAATATTAGCAGACTGGCCAAAAGAAGCTGGAATTGAACTTGGCATCTCGGCATGGTGCCCCAGCGATTACTGCGACAGGCAACGAAGACTGGCAGCTGCTATGTGGCGGGGGAACGACCTTCTTGGTTGGAGATATGAAAAATCCTACCTTGAGTTCTCTAGAACGACAACCGATTCTGAGTGCCCACCTGTGCACGCAGTCACATATCTTTCAGTCGAAGGACTCAGAGATGAACGGCCGATCGAGCCAGCGTCGAGTGTGCTTATTGCGTTAAAGCTACCGCAATTGAACCGCGTGCATCTGATGATGAAGGATGAATGGAGGCGGGACAAACAGACAAGACAACGACTTCGAAATGGTAAGCTAATTTCTATCAAGGGGGGGGAGCATAATTACTAACTTCTTTTCTAGAATTTGCTCGTCATCTTCACCTCCTCCCCGCTAGTGTACAGCACTTCCACCTCCAATTTCAATACATAGCTCCAAGGGATCAGAACTACCCTCCTCCCGACATAACGAAGGACGGAACCCTTCTCAGCTCTCACTTACAGGATCTCTCTCTGCGACTAGAGTTTCTCCACCTCGCCGGATCATGCGTCATAAGTCCAGAACTTTTCTGGCCGTTGAATCCGGACGAGAATCTCCCCAACCTACCCTTCTGGCCACATTTGATGGATGTTTTTGTGGAGTACATAGAAGTCTCACCGTCTGGACAGTGGCTCCTTGAGCGGGACCCGAGAGAAACCCCAGACTCTCACTCGGAGGGGGAGTTATCAGATGAGGAGGATAATTATCCGGAAAACGTCCGGGTCCCTATTGAGCATCGCAAGTTGAAATTGTTTCGATTCATGATCATCGCGAGCCACGCTGATAGATTCTACACTGCGGCCGGCCGGGCGGCCAGTCGAATGCCTAAGCTGAGACAGATGTGTATAGAGAATATAGACTGGCCACGATACTCGCTGGAGTATGAAGTGCGAGCGGGAACGGCGAAGCTCACCTGGAGGAATGGTTATATTAGGGACGACCCACACGAAACAAATATGCTAGGAAGGGAAGAACAGTCCAAGCGCGTATACCAGCCGGATGAGGAAGTCTTTGAGCAATGGAGGAAAGCTGCCCTCCAGCATACGGGAAGAATCTTGAGATTGAGTATAAAATGTCGGGGATGTGAGAATTGGTTTAGTCTTTTCGTGCTATCACTCTTTTCAAGCTTACTTGGCAGTCACCATGATCGGCCTCATCAAGACAGGACTCGTATCCAATCGTCAAGTACAGAGCCTTAGTATATCTGACAGACAGCTCTAGATTGAACCTGGTCCAGTAAAAGGATTGTGAAATGAAGTAGTTCATGCCTCAAAGTATGATCGGAGTGGACTAATCATTCGCTTCATTAAACTAAGATTTAAGATGAGATAGGCTCCTCCCAGGTACTAGTTGAACCTGTGGTCGTTATAATACTTGCTTATTCCAAATCATCCTACATGTCCTACCCGACGTTTAGCAAAATGAAAGATCCCAACTAAGTATATTTTTCACATATACCTCAGAATCAAATCGGCATTTCGAGAATCATAGACTTAGCCGTCGCACTTCTTGGGCTGTGTATATAGGCGCATATAGGTTTCACGTGACTACAGCACGCCAGTCTCGTCGCCTCTGATTTCCTCCCCGCCGCGTGATCACCACTTCCCGAAAACTTCACCTCACCTAGAGCGACAAGCTTGATTCGAAAGTACGTCGTTGGAAGGTCTGGCTCATTTGCGGTTCATTTTCCAGCAGACCCAACCCGAACTGAGCCTAGATTGGGCTCTCTGTCTCAGATCGACAAGCGTCACCAAGACGTGGCTCATACCACCGCTGAGTCGATCCCGAGCTTCTCATTGACTTCACCCTTCGTGAGTTTCCTTTCTGCCTCTATTAAACCTCATCCAAAGTGATGGCAAACTGATAAGCGGCTTGTGGGGCTAGGCTGAGATACGGGTGTTCTCGACTTTGATCGCACAACCTCACCCCTCCCGCAAATTGCCATGACCGTCTAGCTTCCCCACCTAAAACATCGGCCTCACCCCCTCTCTCACCAGCCGCACTTCCCGTTCAATTTCGATTGACGATACAGTCAATTCACCCTGCCCATTACATCGATATCCTTCAACGGAGCTCCTTCCCCGCTGCCCCCCCACGTACGCAGCGTTGATCCTTCCACTGCCAGCATTCCCAAACCCTCACATTTTCGCGTGACGAGGTCGCTTCGTCGTCGCCAATCCTCTCCCGCTTGTCCATCAACAATCTCGGCAACGTGTCGAGAGAGACTGGTTCGGCGTTGGCCGACGGCCTGGATAGGCTGGATCTGAGTCAACTGTCTGAATCAACCCTTTCCTCGTCCGTGTCCGCCTCGTTCGATATGTCGTCGTCAGAGGGCGCGCCGGAGTCATGGATCTCCTCCTTTTGCTCCTTGATGGGCCATGAGTTCTTTGCCGAGGTGTCGGAGGACTTCATCGAGGATGACTTCAACCTGACTGGGTTGCAGTCGCAGGTGCCAATGTATAAGGAGGCATTGGAGATGATCCTGGACGTGGAGCCGGAAGATGACGAGGAGGAAGAGGAAGAAGAAGAGGAGGAGGAAGATGAGGATGAGGTCCTGGGTGATGAGCGACCCCTCGGTTATCGGAGGGTAGGCGATCGCCGGCATGCTCGCGTGGCAAGCGATTTGAGCGTTATCGAGAGCTCCGCAGAGCTGCTTTATGGACTGATTCACCAGCGATACATCACCTCGCGTCCCGGTATCCAACAAATGCTTGAGAAATATGAGATGCAACATTTCGGTGTCTGCCCTCGGGTCAACTGCGGTGGTTGCAAAGTCCTTCCTGTCGGTCGATCTGATACCCCCGGCCAGGAAACGGTCAAGCTCTTCTGCCCCGGTTGTATGGATATCTACACCCCGCCTAACAGCCGCTTCCATTCGGTGGACGGTGCATTCTTCGGCACGACGTTTGGGTGCCTCTTCTTCATGACCTTCCCAGATCTCAGCGTCGGATCACGCCTTGACGGTCCCCTGTCTGCAGCAGCTCGAGCTCAGTCCACACTGGCCAACCGCTCCCCTCCTCCCCAGATGCCGAACGAACCACCCACCCCCGAAGAACAACCCGTCGAGATCAACGGCATGCACACGTCGAACTTCTGCCCCGGCCTCGGACGCGGCAAGATCTACGACCCCAAGATTTATGGATTTAAGGTATCCGAGGTCTCGCGGGTCGGCCCGCGTATGAAGTGGCTGCGGATGAAACCGAGGGATATTTACGAGGTGGACGAGGCACGAAACTATGAATTGAATGCCGCGGACCGCGAAGAAGAAGCGAGGGAACACGAAGCACGCGAACGTGAGGCTGACAATGATGGCGATACGGAAATGAATGCTGAATTATCACAAGAAGCGGCAATTGCGAACCGGAAAAAAGCGCCCATGCGCCGACGACGACAGGGACCTAGCCAGACGGCACCTTCGGATCAGATGAGCGTGCAGAGCGCAGAGATCGGTTAGACGAACGGGGTAATACTAGCGTGTGGAACGAGTTGGGCCGGACGGGATTTATGAGCGTCTTTCTCGCATCTACAATGATCTTTCCCATCGGGAAGTGTCTTTTCAAGCCGGGCTCTTGTTTAAAGTGGTGTTACGAGTCCGAGGCTATGATGGACGGGTGAGGGCAGCTGGGGTTTGATGATGATGACAGCGGACGATGCGTTTGATTGTTATTTTTCTTCTGTTGTTTAAATGGGATATCTATGTTTCTTCTTGCCTGCAGTCCTTGATCTTGAGTTCTTGTCTGTGTATCTTGATTCCCCCAGCTTTGGCTCGCTCCCCTTGACCATTATACCTGAATGGCAATCAATGGGTTAAAGTGCACAATCTCATGTAGGGCGATTTGTAGATTTGGCTAACGCTATATGAGCCGTACAATGTTTGAAGTTTTGGAGAGCAAGACTATGTTTTGAATCTATCGCCATCGACCTAGAAGATGAAGGCTCAATAGATAAGTCCCGGAATCAACATCGGGTCCGCTTATGAACTGGAGAGCTGGTGCTCTAGATGAGCTGTACAAGAGTTGGACTTCCGCTTAGTGGAGACTATCTTTCATATTCATCCCCGTCAACCTAGAAAACGAACGCTCAATAGACAAGTCCCAAAATCAACATCAGGTCTGCTCCTGTTCATGATCTTGAGAACTTGGCGCCGACCTCTTGAGTCTAGTCGACCCTCAGTCGGACTTGTATTCGATGGCTTTTCATCTGCCTGTTGACATCCATTCAGTTCCAGGCTTGATTAGATTGGTCTTGTCTACTAATGTTTCACTACTACCTTAAGACATGAGGACTCCACGTCCAGTTGACCAGCAGATCGATCCATCCTTTTACAAGCATTGATTACTCCTGTAGTTGCATAGGTGACCTGTACCTACATCCATATCCGGAAGAGGAAGCCCTCTAGGCTGCTATGAGTCTATAAGCTAGGTCAAATCACTCGAGTACACAGTCGAGTCAGCTGTTATATAACTGTGAACGTCGGGGCCTGGATAACGAATTGAGTCATAGCTACTTTGCTAGGATGTGCATATTGATGCTTTCACCCTTGTCGTTATTGTTATATGTAGTCACCGTAGCATAAGGCAGCAGAGTAGTTGATATCCGCCACGTCGTATTCGGATAGTCTTATTTGAAATAACAACAGTTCTGTCATTCTCTCAGGCGACTCTCGACACTATGGGAATAAAGGAAAAAAGGAGGATTCCAAATCACCCACATGAAAGTTAAGCCAGAAGAGTCGAATCTTAACCCCTAGCAAAACTATACGACGTATACTTCGGCCAAGGGTCTCATCTACACAAGCATTTCTGAAACCTTATTCGCCGGTGACTACTCTCCAATATCCTGAACGGGACCAAGCCAAGCCAAGCCTGTATCTATCAGAGCCGCCCAGCCTGATGGCTATTCCCCTCGCATACTCTGCACCTCATCGTTGTCCCACACCATCGGCGACGCCGATGCAAAGCGGCGCCATCCACTCATATACTTCTGTCCTACCTGTCACGACAGACGGAGGACTTACTTAAATGGACGGCCTCTTTCGTACATCATCCAAAACGGGGTTTTGGGGTTGCTAGCAAGCCAGGGATCGGAGACAGGGTATGCCATGCCAGTCAAGACTGGCTCTTGCTATGTAGCAGGTGCCACCGTTGAGGCAAAACTGAACGTTGGTCAGCAAATATTGCTAATCACCTTGCCCCAACTCGAATCCCGAGGAAGAGAATCCATATCCCGAACTACGAATCATATCACGCCTACTTCAAGGTAGTTAATCATCAGATATGTCATCAGGTTTGAGCAAGGTTGTTAATCTGAGATAGGACAAAGTCCAAAGTCCATTCTCTATCATTGTCGATGTGTTCTGTAGATCAAAGTTTATTAATCTAGGGCCCCTGTGGCTTGAGGCTTGCATTTACAGACGGACAAATGGAACACGGAGCATTCCCATCTTGCGATGGCATCAAACTACGAAGTTAGTTACATGATTGCAGTGCAGTATGTAATGGCCCGGCGCATAAGGGAATTCGCGTCCGCTTGGTGGCTTACAGCCTCACGGGTGTGCTCCGCGAGTTACCCCACTGGCAATTCTGAAATCAATATCTCTGATTGGTGTGAATCAGTGCGTGCGAGTTACTCGAAGTATGGCGTGTTGGATTTAGATTAGATCAAAAAGTAGCCATGGGTATGGACAAAGTTTGGCGTATTTGGTGCATACGCTCATTTTGGGGCGTACTACCAAGTCGTACAGCTCAGGGCGAGAATCGAACGAGCGCTTTGATGCTGGGGCTATCTTCGTCTTGGTCTGGCCTTGGCCCTGCCCCCCTCTCCTGTTAGTCTTGGTAGTGGCGTTGAAAATAAGGGGTTGATTGGGTGCAATCTTAAGATGGCGATGCATGCCATGGTGAATGTGAATTCGAGGTTACTTTGTATTTGAGACCAGTTTTGGTTTCGATTTTTTACCTTCTCTGTGATGAGTTAGCGCTGCGAGCTTGGCCAGGCGTCCTGTACCTACGGAGTAGTGAAGGAGCGAAAATTTCATTTAATATCTCCTGATTGAGGATAAAGTACT